AGGTAGAAAAATATTGTTAGAAAATAAAAGTACGTGTCATCAATTCAGCGAGGTCAAAAGACGTTATGATATAAACCTTCATTAGATTAAGCGTTATCAGTACCCTGTATATGCATGTTATTCATACCATCGAACATAAACTTACCTGCTCATAATGAAATCCACTGCCAAAATCATATCAATCTTCGTTCTTTTTGTTACAACATTTATTATTGGGATTTTACCACATGGATTACTGAGCCTCTTGGAGAGGAAATTTCCAAAAGGAAATCGTTTACAGCAGTACATAAGCATTCTGAACTGTTTTGCAGGTGGTGTCTTTTTCGCTACAGCCATTTTGCATTTAGTGCCAGAATCGTCTGAGTTATTAAAAGGCGTATTTACAATCGAATACCCAATTTCTGGGGCGTTATCTGGCGCGGGATTTTTTCTTCTCTTGTTCATTGAACATGTGATAGGAACTTGTAAAGGTGATGCCAGTCATCACTTTACCATGGAAAACACTGAAATTGAAGTGAACAATATTGAACTTACAAAAGTAACAAAGAGTAAAGATGCTGGGTTTACTCGTGATGAGGAAACGGGAGGTAAAAGCAAAAATACCCAAATTCCGCCCGATTCAGATGATAAGCCAGAGCATCAAAAAAACATTGTACAAAAGGACAGTGTTCTATCTAAACTAAGAGCGTTTGTTCTGTTGCTGGCTTTCTCGTTCCACATGATATTTGAAGGCCTCGCTTTGGGTTTGGAACAAACGGAATCGGGAGTGTGGAGCCTACTGGGAATTTTGGCTCTCCATAAGTGTATCGTGTCTTTCAGTGTAGGACTCCAGCTCAGTGAGAGTCTACAAAGGACACAGCCCGTCATCTTGTCTTTAATAGCTTTCTCTGCCGTGGCACCTGTAGGTGTGGCCATTGGATTTCTGGTAACAGAGTACGGAGACAATGCACGTGCGCAGAAAATTGCTGCCGGGGTACTGCAGAGTCTGGCTACGGGAACTTTTTTCTACGTAACTTTCTTCGAAATCTTGCAAAAAGAACTGACAAAAGGACATAACCTGTATAATGTGTTTTCTACTTTTATGGGGTTTTTAACAGTTATCGGAGTTGAATTCCAACATGATAGCGATTAGTTGTAATTCGAATGAATATTGTGAACGACGAACCCTGTTTCACTGGAGAACTACCATAAAATACTCATTACAAAGATTAAAATCTTTAGTAAGAAATTCATATTGTTGATTTCCTAAGGATGGATCGGCATTTCAACAAAGTTGATGAGATGAAAATACATTTCGTGCCCTAGTTCATCAGCTGCCAGGACAGATCATACGAGTCACAGGCACTTGGGGTATGGACCCCCCTTTTTTTCTTTTTTTTTTTTAATCTGGGATCAAGTCACCTTTTCCCTATTTTTGTATTCTAATATGTTATCGATAATATAACCCTTTTGTCTCTATAAGCTGTTTTTAAATATATCAAGTTGTTTTCGACTGATAAATAAAAAGAGAGACTCTCTTTTTATCAGTCGATATATACAGCTTATAGAGACAAAAGGGTTACATTATCGATAACATATAGTGCATATTAGAATACAAAAATAGGAAAAAGTTTACTCTACCCCAGATTTAAAAATAAAAAAAATGGAAAAAGGGGGGTCCATACTTCACTGAAATGCCTGTGATATGAGTCTGAATACTCAATTTTCTTTACATATCCAATGGAAGAATGAGATGAAGATTTTGGGTATAAGTGTTCAAAACGAAAATGTGTGAAATCTGAGTCTGAGATGCGGTGTAATGAAATATTTATTCTTAAAATGAAAACAGTAATGTATACTAAATATTAAATAAAAGGTATACACTATGCCAAGGACTTAAATTTCTGGTGATTAAATTTACACTTGATTTACCTCGATATAGACCGCCGGGCCGTTTCGACTTTAACTTTCAATGGCATATATTGTGATATAATCCATACCATCAATTTGAAAAATTACCTACAACAAACATTTTATAAACAGATTCCACACACCTGTGCATGCAGTAACAATCTTAATTATTATGAATGCATGAATTCTTATTTAATGAAAAAAGGCATTCCAAGTATTTTTACCGCAGGTGCTTGTGGACAGGAACTCCCGCCCAATATATTATACACCCTACGGAGTACTTTAAATTCTTAAATGTACACGAAGAATTAATTATTGCGTCATTTTCCGAGGAGCATACCTTGCGAAATAGTCCGAAATATCTGGCGTTTCCAGGCAATTTTCACGGTTTGATATTTGACGTGCCAGGAAATTTTCCTGGTACATCAAATGTCAAAATTGTGAAAAACGCCTGGAAAACGTAAGATATTTCGGACTATTTGCGAAATAAAGTACTCGCTATTTATATTGCTGAACATCTTTGCTAGCCAATTAAGTGTTTCTGATCCACACTACTTCCACAGCAGGCGCGTAGCCAGAGTTGAAATGAAGTGTACGCAGAGAGCGACACGGGGTCTGCCCCAGTGAGTTCAGGGAGAAGCCCTGGCGGGGGCCAAGGGGGCGAAGCCCCTGGAAGCTCCCGGGTTTTACCAAGTATTTCAATCCTTTTCCGCTTACTTTACAAAATAAATGACTTGGAAATACCGTTTTTTAAGTTAATACTTCCTTGGATACGTACATATAATTGAGACTGAATATTTTACCGATACATGTACAGGTATATGTTGGTATCGTCTGCTCTTTTAAACGTTCAACGACAAGTATAATAAATGTGATTTAAAATCGAAAATACTATATTTTACAGTACATGTACATCATACAGTAAATCATACAGTACAATATCAAACCATTCTACGATGTGATTGAAGTTTCATTTCTCAAAGATCTTTTTTAAAAAAATATCCATTTATTACAGAACATTTATATATTACAGGTATTACCAGATTTATAATTTAAATATTGTATAAAATTTGAATAGGAACAATATGGCACAAAATGATTGAAACACAGATATTTACTGGATGGTAAATTTCATTTTCTGCAAAACTTTCTCTTAATTTTTTTTTTTTTTGAAAATGATGTGTACGCATTTGCGTACTTGCGTATAGGCAGCTACGCGCCTGCACAGGAGTCTGAAGTTTTTATCGCAAAATTAAAAAAAAATCAACCCTCAACTAAAAATACGCTTAGGGTGGGATATTTTTTTTCCGGATTCTTCACCGTTTTTGGAAGCGCGGTGCGGATCAGAAACCCTCTGATTGCGAAATAGATTGAAAACTCTTGAGCCATACACGGTATAAATTGGGATGGGGATTTTTATTTAGTATTGTTTTATTTCAGAAATTATTCTTCTAGTATACAATATGTTCAATATTATGAGAGAGAGAGAGAGAGAGAGATACCTAGAATAAGCGTTTATAATTAAAAATTAATTCATACTCGTGGTGTTCTAGAAAAGAGGAGCTCTATTAGAGAAGCTTTGTATTTTATAACATCGCCATCCTCACAACGTCAGGGGTCCTGTATCAACTCATCCTCACAACGTCAGGGGTCCTGTATCAACTCATCCTCACAAACGTTAGGGGTCCTGTAACAACTCATCCTCACAAACGTTAGGGGTCCTGTATCAACTCATCCTCACAACTTCAGGGGTCCTGTATCAACTCATCCTCACAACGTCAGGGGTCCTGTATCAACTCATCCTCACAACGTCAGGGGTCCTGTATCAACTCATCCTCACAAACGTTAGGGGTCCTGTATCAACTCATCTTCACAAACGTTAGGGGTCCTGTATCAACTCATCTTCACAAACGTCAGGGGTCCTGTGTCAACTCGTTGCCGTTGGACCCCTGACAAATTTCATTCGATATAGATCTGCGGACTTACATTGTATTTCTCTCATTGAGAAGCACCAATCAAACTAGTATTAATTGTAACGGGGACCGTTACAGATGTTCCCCAAACGCTCCCCAACGTCCTTTTGGTGTCTTATTCCCTGTAAGCTTCATTAAATAAGGCAATAAAGTATATTGGTTTTTTTACGCATTACACGCGCGCGCACGGGCATGCATGTACAAAATGACCATGTCAACTTGTCTACACTTTTAATACATCTTTATATTCAAATTTCATCAAAAGATAAAAAAAATTCGGCTATATTAAGTATATCTGTTATTTTACGCATTGCAAGCGCGCGCACGTGCATGCATGTCCATGATGACCGTGTCATCTTGTCTACACTATTAATATATCCTTATATTCTGAGTATCAAAGTATTTCATCAAAAGATATGAAAGTTATGGCTATATCAAGTACATTGGTCATTTTACTCATTGCACGCGCACGCCACGTGCATGCAAGTGCATGCATGTGTGCGCTGATCATGTCATCTTGTGTACACGTCTAATATATATTTATATTCTGAGTTTCAAAACAATTCATCAAAAAATGTATAAGTTAAGTCTATATCATTTGTATTGGTTATTTCAATCATTGCGCATGCGCACACGTGCATTCATGTGCATTCTGACATGTCATCTTGTCTACACTATTAATATATCTTGATATCCTGAGTATCAAAGCATTTCATCAAAAGATATGAAAGTTATGGCTATATCAAGTATATTGGTCATTTTACTCATTGCACGCGCACGCACGTGCATGCACTTGCGCGCAAAATGACCTTCGTTCCGCAAATCTACATAACATTCCTATTCACCCTAAAAAGGTTTCACCTCAATCGGATGTGTAGTTTCGGAGATCACTCACGGACAAAAAAGTACCCAGGAAGAAAAATAATAATAATAATAACTAGAAACTCATTGCGAGCAATGAGAGGTCTTCCGTCCGATTCTGAATATAAAAACGAAAATTCAAGCTGAAAAAGTGATAAAAGAAATTCAGACACTCTGGAGATTTAACCCTGGTCTTCAGCGTGAAAATCCAACGTGCTAACCATTAATCATTCACTTTTTTGCATCATTTCCTGTCACAACCGGAAGTAACGGCGACACACGATTTTCATACGATGCAAATAAACTGATGACGGACTGTCAGTCCTGAAAGTTTCAGACTTCAGTCGTTCATTGTTGCCGAGCAATTGTGAGAACAAATTCTAATTTTGAGGACAGGAAAACACGCAACCGGAAGTGAATTTTATAAAAAATCTCTAACGTGTCTCTAGACATTTGCAGTATCTACAACATGTATTAAAACATTTCAATTCTTTTTCTTTAAGCGATATTTATGAGAAAGTTAAATATCGAAATTATGTATTTTATCTCCTAAAACCGGAAGTTGACGTTTTTGTTTCCGGAGATGTCTAACATATTTCAAAACAGCAAAAGAGATGCAATAAGGTGATGCAAGTTTTAATTTAAACAAGAAAAGTTGAATTTTTTGATTTCTTTGATCACTTCCTGTGACGACCAGAAGTGACGGCTGACAGTTTAAACCAAATAATTTTGCCTACTCTTCAAGGTCTATTACTCATATAAGTTTGTTGTCTTAATCTCATACCGTTTCTGAGATCTCGCTCAGATATTTTCTCACTTTGAGGACAGAAAAAAACACGCGACCGGAAGTGAATTTTGCAAAGATATTTGACGTTACTCTAGACATTTGCAATCTGAATAACATATCTAAAAATCATTTCAAATACTTTACGTATAAAAGATATTTATGGGAAAGAAAAATACTCAAATTATGTAGTTTTTCTCTTATAACCGGAAGTTGTCGTTTTTGTTTCCGGTGGGACCAACATATTTCGAAACCGCGAAAGAGATGCAATAATGTGATGCAAGATTTGATTAAAAAAAAGAAAAGTTGAAATTTTCGATTTCTTTGAACACTTCCGGTGACGACCGGAAGTACTGACGACGAAAATCAAGGTAATTTCGAACATCTGGAAGTCATGGTCTATCATCTCTAATAAGTCTCCAGTTCATATCTTTAGCCGTTTCTTAGATCCTTCGAGGACAAAATTTCATTTTAAAATCAGGAAATTGTCCATAACTTGGCACTGGAACCGAATTTACCAAAAAACGGAATTTTATGTAAACTTCATATAAAGACCTTTTATCCCTGAAAATTTCAAAGAAATTCATTGAATAGTTTTCGAGAAATCGCGTGCACAAAATTTTGTCTAAAAAAAAAAGAATAATAACTAGAAACTCATTGCGAGCAATGAGAGGTCTTCCGTCCGATTCTGAAAATAAAAACGAAAATTCAAGCTGAAAAAGTGATAAAAGAAATTCAGACACTCTGGAGATTTAATCCTAATCGTCAGCATGAAAATCCAACGTGCGAACCATTAACCATTCACTTTTTTACATCACTTCCTTTCACGACCGGAAGTAACGGCGATGCAAGATTTTCTCACGATTCAAATAATCTGATGACTGAATATCAGTCCTGAAAGTTTTAGTCCTCAGTCGTTTACTGTTGCTGAACAACATTGTGGGACTAAATTCTAATTTTGAGAACAGGTAAACACACAACCGGAAGTGAATTTTATAAAAATCTCTGACTGTTCTCTAGACATTTGCAGTATCTACAACATGCATAAAATCATTTCAGGTACTTCATTGATAAGGGATATTTATGAGAAAGTTAAATATAAGAATAACTTAGTTTATCTCCTAAAACTGGAAGTTGACGTTTTTGTTTCCGGTGGAATCTAACATATTTCAAAACAGCAAAAGAGATCCAATAAAGTCATGTAAGTTTTAATTTAAAAAAGAAAAGTTAAAATTTTTGATTTCTTTGATCACTTCCTGTGACAAGCGGAAGTGACGACTGACGCGTTTAACCCAAATGATTTCACCTACCCCTCAACGTCCATTACTCTTAAAATTTTGGTGTTTTAATCTTTTACCTGTTTTTGAGATCTCGTTCAGACAACTTCTCATTTTGAGGACAGGAAAACACGCGACCGGAAGTGAATTTTTGAAAAAAATATTTAAGGTTACTCTAGACATTTGCACTCTGAATAGCACATTTAAAATTCATTTCAAATACTTTATCTATAAAGAATATTTACTGGAAATTAAAAAAACTCAAATTATTTAGTTTTTCTCGTCTAACCGGAAGTTGTCGTATTTGTTTCCGGTGGAATCAACATCTTTCGAATGTGCGAAAAAGATGCAATAAAGTGATGCAATTTTTAATTAAAAAAAGAAAAGTTGAAATTTTCGATTTCTTTGATCACTTCCTGTTACGACCGGAAGTGACGGCTGACGCTCTGAACCCAAATGGTTTTGCCTACATCTTAAGGTCTGTTGGTCATATAAGTTTGGAGTTTTAATCTCTCACCGTTTCCGAGATCTTGCTCAGACAACTTCTCATTTTGAGGACAGAAAAACACGCGACCGGAAGTGAATTTTACAAAGATATTTGAGGTTACTCTAGATATTTGCAGTCTAAATAACATATTTAAAATTCATTTCAAATACTTTATCTACAAAGGATATTAATGGGAAAGAAAAATACTCAAATTATGTAGTTTTTCTCTTATAACCGGAAGTTGACGTTTTTGTTTCCGGTGGGACCAACATATTTCGAAACTACAAAAGAGATGCAATAATGTGATGTAAATATTGATTTAAAAAAAGAAAGTTGAAATTTAACGATTTCTTTGATCACTTCCTGTGACGACCGGAAGTGCCGACGACGAACGAAAAGGCGATTCTGCAAATTTAGAAGTCACGTTCTATGCTCTCCAATAAGTCTCCAGTTCATATCTTTAGCCATTCTTGAAAAAAAGGGGCGACAAAATTTCATTTTAAAATCAGGAAATTGCCCGTAACTTGGAACCAAAATGGAATTTTCCAAATTTTCCTTGTGATGAACAAAGTTCATACAATGACTGATTTTTCCTGAAAGTTTCATTGAAAACGACTGAATACTTTTCGAGAAATCGCGTGCACAAAATTTTGTCAAAAAAAAGAATAATAATAATAATAACTAGAAACTCATTGCGAGCAATGAGAGGTCTTCCGTCCGATTCTGAAAATAAAAACAAAAATTCACACTGAAAAAGTGATAAAAGAAATTCAGCGTGAAAATCCAAGAAAGCTAACCGTTAACCATTCACTTTTTTGCATCACTTCCTGTCACGACCGGAAGTAACGGCGATACAAGATTTTCTCACGATTCAAATAAACTGATGACTGACTATCAGACCTGAAAGTTTTAGACTTCAGTCGTTTACTGTTGCCGAGCAATATTGTGAGAACAAATTCTAATTTTGAGGACAGGTAAACAGTCGAGCGGAAGTGAATTTTATTAAAATCACTGCAAACTTTTTCAATCAAAAAGAAGAAAACATACATAAAACTCCAAGAAGACTCTCTATTAACCCTTTAAATCCCAGAGAGAAATATTGAAAAACAGAAAAGTTGCAAATTTAACATTTTTGAATTCACTTCCGTTTGCGACCGGAAGTAAGAACGACGAAAATTAATGGTCGATCAATATATCTACATTTGATGCTCTATCACCTCAGCAAGTTTCTTATTCATATCTTTAGCCATTATCTGATGATACAGTTTACTTTCTTTTATTCTTTATGTATTCAACTTTTTATTTCATGTAATTCCATATACAGGCATGTCATGTAATCTTTTTCTGCACTTCTATATACTTCTGCATCAGACCATTTGTCTACTACGAAAGGTTGGTCACGATACATTATTTCGCGTGAAACGTCACGGGTAAATATTCGCGCATATCCTTTGGAATGTATTTTCTATTGAATGGTGATTCCTTCAATGAAATTTCAAAATGTATCTTCTTATAACCTGAATATCGAGCTTGAGAAAGTATATTTATCATATTGTACTTATCATATATCGTATGGATAAGTAACACTAAAGCAGTGATTTAGGTAAGAAGTTTTATTTTCCTGTTTACCCCCAAAGTGGACTATCACAATTAGTTACACATTCATGAAAAGACTGGAATGTTTCGCCCAAAAACATGTCTCGTCCTGCGGCGGTCAAGGAATCTGATACCATTTATGTTCAATAACAACATCTTTTAGAAAAAAAAAATTTATATCAACTTCATTAAACAATCTTTAAAAAAAAAAATGGTTTTCTTATTTTTGTCTTTTCTGTTCATTTAATATGACACAAGCCTGCATGGGGAAAAAAAACAATGGCCACGTAATAATTACTATATATTGATTGCTTTAGTCAGGCAAGTTTCTTGAAAAGCTATTACTTATTACCATGGTTTAGGATCAGTTTTTCCATGGTGTAAAACAAAACGTTGTAGTTATCGTATTTCCACTTGTAGTCATGTCGTTTTTCTACTTTGAGATACAGACAAGAACAATTATTGTAGACGTTTGAGGAAACCCCGGATTAAAACTCTAGTTCAAAACAGAATTGCAACGTAATTGTGATGTGACAATCCAACAATTCCTTCACATTTCTTTGATCCTTATGGTACTTTCATTCAAACAAACGCTCGGCTGACTCCGTAAATTCTGACCTACTTATCGGAGTTTACGGAGACAGCCGCCATTTTGGACCCGCTTCAAATTTAGAAATGCGAATATCTAGAGTTTGGATTGATCAATTCTAAAATAAATTATATATTAAGCATTTTCAGAAGAGCCTCTATTAACCTTATTAAAATAAAAGAAAAATATAGAAAAACAAAAAAGTTTAAAAATTCGACTTTTTTAAATTCGCATCCGGTAACGACCGGAAGTACTGACGACGCACAAAAAGGTGATTCCCCTCATCTAGAAGACATAACCTATCATCTCTAACAAGTCTCCAGTTCATATCTTAAACCATTTTTGAAAAAAAGGGGGGACAAAATTTCATTTTAAAATCAGAAAAATGTCAATAACTTGGCACCGGAAGCGAGTTTTCCAAATTTTCCTTCTGATGAACAAAGTCCATTTGACGACGCATAATTCCTGAAAGTTTCATTTAAAACCACTGAATAGTTTTTGAGAAATCGCCTGCACAAAATTTTGGGGAAAATAATAATAATAATAATAATAATAACTAGAAACTCATTGCGAGCAATGAGAGGTCTTCCGTCCGATTCTGAAAATAAAAACGAAAATTCAAGCTGAAAAAGTGATAAAAGAAATTCAGACACTCTGGAGATTTAATCCTAATCGTCAGCATGAAAATCCAACGTGCTAACCATTAACCATTCACTTTTTTACATCACTTCCTTTCACGACCGGAAGTAACGGCGATGCAAGATTTTCTCACGATTCAAATAATCTGATGACTGAATATCAGTCCTGAAAGTTTTAGTCCTCAGTCGTTTACTGTTGCTGAACAACATTGTGGGACTAAATTCTAATTTTGAGAACAGGTAAACACACAACCGGAAGTGAATTTTATAAAAATCTCTGACTGTTCTCTAGACATTTGCAGTATCTACAACATGCATAAAATCATTTCAGGTACTTCATTGATAAGGGATATTTATGAGAAAGTTAAATATAAGAATAACGTAGTTTATCTCCTAAAACTGGAAGTTGACGTTTTTGTTTCCGGTGGAATCTAACATATTTCAAAACAGCAAAAGAGATCCAATAAAGTCATGTAAGTTTTAATTTAAAAAAGAAAAGTTAAAATTTTTGATTTCTTTGATCACTTCCTGTGACAAGCGGAAGTGACGACTGACGCGTTTAACCCAAATGATTTCACCTACCCCTCAACGTCCATTACTCTTAAAATTTTGGTGTTTTAATCTTTTACCTGTTTTTGAGATCTCGTTCAGACAACTTCTCATTTTGAGGACAGGAAAACACGCGACCGGAAGTGAATTTTTGAAAAAAATATTTAAGGTTACTCTAGACATTTGCAATCTGAATAGCACATCTAAAATTCATTTCAAATACTTTATCTATAAAGAATATTTACTGGAAATTAAAAAAACTCAAATTATTTAGTTTTTCTCGTCTAACCGGAAGTTGTCGTATTTGTTTCCGGTGGAACCAACATCTTTCGAATGTGCGAAAAAGATGCAATAAAGTGATGCAATTTTTAATTAAAAAAAGAAAAGTTGAAATTTTCGATTTCTTTGATCAATTCCTGTTACGACCGGAAGTGACGGCTGACGCTCTGAACCCAAATGGTTTTGCCTACATCTTAAGGTCTGTTGGTCATATAAGTTTGGAGTTTTAATCTCTCACCGTTTCCGAGATCTTGCTCAGACAACTTCTCATTTTGAGGACAGAAAAACACGCGACCGGAAGTGAATTTTACAAAGATATTTGAGGTTACTCTAGATATTTGCAGTCTAAATAACATATTTAAAATTCATTTCAAATACTTTATCTACAAAGGATATTAATGGGAAAGAAAAATACTCAAATTATGTAGTTTTTCTCTTATAACCGGAAGTTGACGTTTTTGTTTCCGGTGGGACCAACATATTTCGAAACTACAAAAGAGATGCAATAACGTGATGTAAATATTGATTTAAAAAAAGAAAGTTGAAATTTTACGATTTCTTTGATCACTTCCTGTGACGACCGGAAGTGCCGACGACGAACGAAAAGGCAATTCTGCAAATTTAGAAGTCACGTTCTATGCTCTCCAATAAGTCTCCAGTTCATATCTTTAGCCATTCTTGAAAAAAAGGGGCGACAAAATTTCATTTTAAAATCAGGAAATTGCCCGTAACTTGGAACCAAAATGGAATTTTCCAAATTTTCCTTGTGATGAACAAAGTTCATACAATGACTGATTTTTCCTGAAAGTTTCATTGAAAACGACTGAATACTTTTCGAGAAATCGCGTGCACAAAATTTTGTCAAAAAAAAGAATAATAATAATAATAATAATAATAAGAAACAGTAGAATCACTATAAGGTCTTCCGTGAAGACGGAAGACCTTAATAATAAGAAACAGTAGAATCACTATAAGGTCTTCCGTGAAGACGGAAGACCTTAATAACTAGATGAGATCTCGTTGCGAGCAACGAGTAGGTCTTCCGTCCGATTTCTCGATAAGATGAGATATGATTTTGATTATGATCTTTGTTAAAAGATAATAATATATAGACTTCCCCAATTAGATTTTATTCTTTTGATTTATATACCATTATCAAAGAGCTATAGATGACATTCTTTTGGCCCCTCTGAGCCCCTAGTTTAAGGAGTCAGCCCCTTTTTCTTGATATCAATTGAAAGGTCTTGTGATTTTGGAAACGATTTTTCAAGAAATATTCAAAGATTTCCTTTCGTTGTGGAGATATGCTGAATGGAAATATTTAGGGGTCACCCCTCCAAGTCCTTAATCGGGCCGTTTGACAAAAAAATGAAAGGAAGCATATTGTTTAGAACATTATTCTGACCATCTTTTGTTCAGTATTGCTTATCAAAATATTCTTCCTTTTCGAGATATAAAGCGTCAAAGATTTTGCATTCTGGCCCCTTGTGACCCCTTATTACGTAACATATGATCAGAATCTTATCATATATTGTTGTAAATCGTTAAGATAAACATCTTTGCTTCAGTAATGTATTACAAATTTTTGATGGTTAAAGAGTTATAGATGAAAGATTTTGGCCCCTCTCAGCCCCTAATTTGAAGGGTCAGCCCCTTTTTCTTGATATCAAATGAAAGGTCTTGTGATTTTGAAGACTTTTTGTTCAACAACTATTCAGAGATTTCTTTTCGTTGTGGAGATATGCTGAATGGAAATATTTAGGGGCCACCCCTTCAGGTCCTTAATGGGGCCGTCTGACAAAAATTGAAAGAGTGCATGTTGTTTAGAACATTATTCTGACCATCTTTTGTTCAGTATTTCTTATCAAAATATTCTTCCTTTTCGAAATATAAAGCGTCAAAGATTTTGCATTCTGGCCCCTTATGACCCCTTATTACGTAACATATGATCAGAATCTTATCATATATTGTTGTAAATCGTTAAGATAAACATTTTTGCTTCAATAATGTATTACAAATTATTGATGGTTAAAGAGTTATAGATGAAAGACTTTTGGCCCCTCTCTGCCCCTAATTTGAAGGGTCAGTCCCTTTTTCTTGATATCAAATGAAAGGTCTTGTGATTTTGAATAGTTTTTGTTCAACAACTATTCAGAGATTTCTTTTCGTTGTGGAGATATGCTGAATGGAAATATTTAGGGGCCACCCCTTCAGGTCCTTAATGGGGGCGTCTGACAAAAATTGAAAGAGTGCATGTTGTTTAGAACATTATTCTGACTATCTTTTGTTCATAATTGCTTATCAAAATATTCTTCCTTTTCGAAATATAAAGCGTCAAAGATTTAGCATTCTGGCCCCTTGTGACCCCTTATTACATAACATATGATCAGAATCTTATCATATATTGTTGTAAATCATTAAGATAAACATCTTTGCTTCAGTAATGTATTACAAATTATTGCTGGTTAAAGAGTTATAGATGGAAGACTTTTGGCCCCTCTCAGCCCCTAATTTGAAGGGTCAGCCCCTTTTTCTTGATATCAAATGAAAGGTCTTGTGATTTTGAATAGTTTTTGTTCAACAACTATTCAGAGATTTCTTTTCGTTGTGGAGATATACTGAATGGAAATATTTAGGGGCTACCCCTTCAGGTCCTTAATGGGGCCGTCTGACAAAAATTGAAAGAGTGCATGTTGTTTAGAACATTATTCTGACCATCTTTTGTTCAGTATTGCTTATCAAAATATTCTTCCTTTTCGAAATATAAAGCGTCAAAGATTTTGCATTCTGGCCCCTTGTGACCCCTTATTACGTAACATATGATCAGAATCTTATCATATATTGTTTTAAATTGTTAAGATAAACATTTTTGCTTCAATAATGTATTACAAATTATTGATGGTTAAAGAGTTATAGATGAAAGACTTTTGGCCCCTCTCAGCCCCTAATTTGAGGGGTCAGCCCCTTTTTCTTGATATCAAATGAAAGGTCGTATCATTCTGCACAACTTTTCTTCTATATATTTTAACAAATTATTAACATGTATGAAGATATGAAAGAAAAGGTGTAAAATTTTGTGAGATGTTTCTGAGACAGTTTTTGAGCCCTACCGAGCTTCGGCGCCTTTTGAGCTAGAGAGATTTGGACACCTGCCTGCAAATCTACAAACCTTCCCCTACCTTCACTGAAAATCTTGACTCAATATCTTAAGTCGTTTCGGAGGAGTTTCCAGGACAAGCCGACCCTCTGAAAATCAGAAAATCCTAAATATCTCGAGATGGAAAGTGACGTCATCAACGAAAAAAATTTCCAATAAGGTTCAGATCAATACCTATCAGATCTGAAAGTTTCATGAAAATCGGCCAAGACGTTACCGAGAACTTGCGTGCACAAAATCGGTAAGAATAATAATAATAATAATAATAATAATAATAATAGGGAAAAAGAAACCGAACGAAAACAATAAGGTCTTCCGTTGGAGACGGAAGACCTTAATAATAAGAAACAGTAGAATCACTATAAGGTCTTCCGTGAAGACGGAAGACCTTAATAAGAAACAATAGAATCACTATAAGGTCTTCCGTGGAGACGGAAGACCTTAATAATAATAAGAAACAGAGTAAAAACAATATGTTCCCAAACTTCGTTTGGGGAACATAATTAAAGTAGACAGATAATGTATTACTGAAAGGAATCAGTTGACTCAGGGACTAAAGAATCTGAAGTTATTATCTTGAAAAAAAAGAAGAAAAAACTCCGAAAAAATATTCTAGTACATATCTACAATGTATTCCATATGAAAAATCCCAAAAATAACGTAGAATTAACGTTTTATTTAAAAAAATCATACCCGCGGTATTATAAAAAAGAATAATGCCGCGGGTATGATTTTTTTAAATAAAACGTTAATTCTTCGTTATTTTTGGGATTTCATTGTAATGTGTGCTAGAAGATTAATTTATGAAAGAAGACAAATAAAATATCTTTGGATCCGAGGTGTATATTCGGAGGGGGGCTGTCCGCAGGCACCTGCTAAAATGCACGTGTTATGCATGCATTAACCAATGATCGAGGAAACAAAAACTTAAGAAAAAATCATTAAAATTAAAAATCTACACAACCATATACGGCATACTTATCTTTATTTTTTTGTCTCCGTAAACAGAGCCAAAATTCTGCTTGCCGACTTGAAAATTAGTCTCAGACCATGAAGTGAACTAAAACGATCCGGAAGTTTTTAAGTCGTGTGATATAGGTTTTTCTGTTCTTCCTTGCCGGAAGTGGGATAATTGCGGGAAGGTTAAGAATAAAGTACATGTAATATGATGTATAAACATAAACAAAAGTTATTTTAAAAGGATATGTAGTAGCAAACTCTTGAAAGGTACTTTTTGTGTCTATGAGAATGAACATCCGATTTATTATTTTATGGTAAAAATGTCTGTCCATGAACTACGGATATTATTAAGTATATATAACATTGAATTTGTTCACCTGCAGTAGATGATTCGAATCATGGCTTTATCACTAGATGAGGAAAATTGGATACATGAAGAAATAGAAAAGCACCAAATTCAGATAAATGCAGGTATTGTCTTAAAATATATATCCCCGAATAGGATCATAGGCGTTCCTCATTTAACATTCTGATTCAAACATAACCAGTTCTGGTACAATATCACTAGATTTAGGGTGACACGAAACGCCGAAATGTCGGGTTTCTGCCGAAATGTAAGTAGAATGCGCCGAAATGACTGATGAAATTCTGCAATGACTGTGAATATCAATTGATACGGATACTAATACCTCACAAACATAAACTTTTTGAGGTCAATCCTTACCCTTAAGGTTTTAGAGCCCATTTTATCGTAAATATTGAAGGAAGTCAGCCGCCATTGACGGGCTTCGTAGTATACCGTATACCACTCCCGGTTGTTTTTTTTTAATCCGCTTTGTAATATGTCAGTCTCGTATTACGTTTTTATTTAAATTGTAAATGATATATTATATACCTTATTTAAAAAATAATAATAATAATAATAATGAGGATGTTGATCATCAGGATAATATGAATATTAGAATATTAGCTAAAAAAAAACAACATATAATCAGGGACCTATATATTAGTATATAGGTCCCTGATATAATTAAGTATTAAAACTAATAATAATAGAAAAAATTATAACATAAGTTTCTTATTAAAAAATTTTGACTCCCCAAATAAGAGCCATAATTTTGAATTTGAAAAATAGATATTTAAAAAAAAAAGAATGAAAGAAAATGGAAAATTAACCTCTAAAGAAAAGCCAAACAAACATATTTTGGATATCATATGGGGGGAAAATAAAAATATTGTTATTTTCCACTTAAACATTTAATCTTTTTAGAAATGAATGAGAAAAATAAAGAAAATTTGTAAAAATGAGTTGGAAAAGTTGGAATTAGAGCTTTAAAAAATATGAAAACTATAATGAAATACATACGCAAAGAACACCAAAACTTTGTAAAATGCATAAAGCTAGGTTATTTGGTCATTAGCATTTTATAAAGAATGAACTTAACAATAGCACATAATATGTACATTAAAATTTAATTAAAACCAAAGAAAACCATAGGAGTTACTAATAATACTAAGGATGAGATTGTATTTGGAGAACTGTTCTTATTGTGTCAAACACAACGCCCTATCAGGGCCCAGACTCAGTTCCCAAATACACAATCTTTTTCAAAGATACGTAAAACTTAGTACATTGTATACATGTCTTATAAGGAAGTGAAAATAATTAATGAGAATTTAGGAATTAGTTTATTTACTAGATGTAAAAATACTGTAAGTTAAACAATGTAAGATCAGTGAATTGGAATTCAGATTCAAATTACTAGGTCAGGTGTATATCACATGTATACAAATTATACTACACTGTATGTGTGAACCAAAAAGGTGTTTAAACAATAGGAGTTGATCGTACCAGGCCCAGGTGTCAGCAAATCTGAAATATTCAATGTTGTCCTTTTTTAACATCAATGTATAATTATTATTTCAGGTTATATGCAACAAAGTTATATTTAAATAAATACAAAATGTTACAGGTAAGAGAAAGGTAATAATTTAGGCTATTCCTATACAACCACCTTATATGTTTAGCAGAAAAGGAAATAGACCAAATGACTAAGAAAACAACATTTACATATATTTGACATGTACATGTATACGAAATATCTTTATCAGTCATTCTACGATAAGAGGACCAAATTCAGGGTATAAAACATGAAAAAAAAAATAATTGTTTCAAATAGCAAAATGAATATCATAATTCTCTAAAGAACATATCAGTTAACTTAAAAAAAAATATCCACAAATCGGCTATCGTTAACTTTTTACAACAATTTCAATATAACATTGATTTCAAGGAATGTTACGGAAGTTAATGCTTGAACAAGTCTTATTATTTTCTAAATAAAGCTGGTTTTGACCAATTTTTGTTTTCTGATGTTCAGTATAGAACACTAAAGTTTGATTCATGAAGTCTCGCGTGAATTCGATAAGTTAAAATTTCGTGAAAAATATCGTTACTGAAGTTAATCGTTACGGAAGTTAATTTCCAGCAGTAAAAGTTAAAAATCTCGACAATATTCAAAAATAACTGTTGTTTTAAGATGTTAATCAAAAGTATAAAGCATTTCGCTTCCAAAATTTAAAAAAGTATATATACCTAAAAAAAAAAAAAAAATCCTGAATTACGGTTATGGAAGTTAAATTTTTAAGAGAGACAACTGTTTTTTGTCTAATTCATTTTATTACATCGAAAATTTAATGGTCTAAAGTAGCTCGCAAGATGTTGAAAATAACCGATTTTATTCATTTATTTTAATTTATAGAAAAAAAAATTTAATTCCTCGAAAGTTCCAAATATTCCCGTTATATACATATATGATGAAAAATGGCAAAAGACCAAGTTCACAAATGTTACAGTATCTTATACGAGTATGAAGACTGTTAAAATTTGTCTGAAATGATATGGATGTCTGAATTTATGTTTACTGTGTATACACAGACTGCAAATCTCAATGAAACTAAATTATCGATCTTCATCTATACCCGACAAGTGCGTAATATTATGTGGTATTACATAATTAGGTACATGACAAACTGTGAAGTTTTGCACGTGCGCTATACACACTCCATGATGGAATAATGAACCATAAAATCAGAATTAGTAAAAAAAAAATTACATATTAAGTTAAATAAATGAATTTAAAGAAAAATAGAGGGATTTAATCATGTTAAATAAATACACTTGCATGTTTTGAAAACTATAGAAAAGATCCCCGATTTACATCCGAATGCTGCATTTTTGACCTGACTGAGAATGTATTTAATTCATTAATAAAATCAATATAGATCAATAAAAAAAAAAAATATCTAATTGACGTACATTTATTGAAGAACAAATATAATTAAAAAAATAAAATAAAATCATTCCAATTTTTTTTTCGACTAGGTCGTAAACAGTGGTATAAATCTCCTTGTTTTTTTTTAATCTATATCTAAAACTATTGTAGGTTTATTTTAGCAAAATTTATACCAAGCTAATTGAATTTTATTGCATGCTTATATAGCTAAAATATGTAAATGAATCATGTCTATAAAACGCATCCTTTACAAAAAAACAACATTGTCATCAAACATGTATTTACACAACCCACTTCTTTATGCTTCTTTTTACCCAAAGAATAATGTTTTGATTAGTATGTTTAGCAAGAAAAGTTTCATTCAAGCCCCTCCCCCGGCAAATGTTTTTTACCAAAAGAATGAGGAACCTCAGTCCCAACCCCAAAACACACACACGAACGAATATACGCTTGTTCTTCTTCAGATTAGTATTATAGAGATTGTTGTAATGGTTACACAATCTGTATCGTGAATCAATTTACATATATCTACATAATTGGTTTCCGAAACTTTCCTTGATTATGATGATTTTTTTTTTTTTTTGGGGGGGGGGGTGAAGACAGAAATGAGAATCAGAAACGTGAAAAGAAATTCAACATGTATTTACAATGTCACATCACGATCTCATAACTAGATGTTTAGACTAATTTGATTCAACCAAACTTTAACAGTTCAATTGCTACCAGCATGAAAGATGAATAATTTATTGCACAAGTTGTGTCTAACAAATTAATGTACACACCATATGAGAGATAATTTTATTTTATTATTAAAGGTGATTGAAACGGTGATAAATTTCCAAATTCTCAAAAAAAATCAATAAGTACTTGATCCACCTGCATGAAGTTGATAAACATGCAATCTTCTTGTTCAAATTAATATATATTGCATGTATGATATAACTGTAAATTGTCTCAATTTATTTGTTATGACAATCATATTTTATACACTGTTTGTATAATGAGGAAAGGATTTTTAAGTTGAAATAACTTGCATCCTATCCTTTTCGAAATTTATTTCATTAATACAAAAATAAATAAATAAATGAATAAAAAACCAAACAAACAACAAACAAATCCCCCAGTTTCCAAACATCGTTTGCGATGTAAATTTATCAATTATATATCAATAATAATCGATTGATATTCACAATAATTTATAATTGATAATTAATTAAATGTTTTTTCTCACAAATAATAATAATTGTATAATGAATGAAACATTTATAACATATCGAAAAAAAAAACACAATCGGGCGTGGTATACGGTATACTATGAAACCCGTCAATGGCGGCTGACTTCCTCCAATATTTACGATAAAATGGGCTCTAAAACCTTAGGGGTAAAGATTGACCTCAAAAAGTTTATGTTTTTGAGGTATTAGTATCCGTATCAATTGATATCCACAGTCATTGCAGAATTTCATCAGTCATTTCGGCGCATTCTACTTACATTTCGGCAGAAACCCGACATTTCGGCGTTTCGATGCACCGCTAGATTTAGCTTGAACAGGTTCAGCACAATCAGGAAATCGTGCCCGACCTGTTGAATTACCTATTATATGATATGAATCAGTGCATATTAATGATTTTATTTTGGCTATAGATATTGTAAATTCCCTTAAACAGGCCCAGTCCAAACTTAGCAAGACTATATTTCTACCTAGTGCGTACCTAGGTAACCTAGGTATTTAAACCTACTTGAAGTAGCTACTTCTACCTACTTTTACCTGTCTTTGAAAATAAAATTAAAAGATAATTATGGCGCATCTTTAAAACAGGTCAAACTTGTTGTTTATCATCCTGTGCACTTGCACGGAAAAATTCAGGATGATAATTTGAAAATTTTTATAAGGGCAGACCTGTTTACTCTTACGATTTTGCCGTATTTTGTATGGATTTTGAGTCCAAAATACGTCTCACGTTTTGCTATTTTGAAAATATGGAAATCAGAAATCAGTTCATTTGTAATTTAGCAGTTAGTTTTCGTTATGATCTCTCTCAGTTTGACGCTTTTTAATTGCTAAAAAAGTGAAAAATTTCAAAAACCTGGGAAATGTTGGGTTGTTAAAGCGCGGTGGTTTAAAAAATGACAGAAAACCTCCAAGGAAAGCATGATGTTTTTCTTTGTTATTAAACCAAACCATGTTTTTGTAATAGGAAATGTAGCTGTTATCTAGCAAAATCGATGGAAAGTGAAATCTTGCGGGCAAATGCCAAATCTCACTGACGAATCTAATAAAATATACTGAGAGACAACAATATGGGTAAACAGGTCTGTAAGGGTGAAGATTAGAGAAGAAATTCATTAAAAATCACCCAAAAACATTATCTAGAATGCTTGAAGATTAGTTTTAAAATTGATACAGATTTATAAGTCTTTTAGACTTAGTTTTTATCCATTCCTACCAGAAAATGAAACTGGATGTAGTTTTTTAATGCAAAAAGTAATCATCTTTTGCCAAAATCTTTGTCGTATTCATCATCAGTGTAACTGCATTATTGAATTTGGTGCTCACCATATTGCACCATTTCTGCCTTTGACCACAAAATGTAATTAGAGCAAAAAGTAGGTAAAAATAGTTATCTGGAGTAGGTTTAAATATAGGTAGCTATAAGTAGTTATGTAGGTAGAAATAGTCTTTGGACTGGACCTGTTAAATATACATTGAATGCAGATAACTTTTAGCACACAAGTTTTTCTATAACCCTACAGTTTAAGTGATTGATCTCAGAGAAGTTTACATCTCTCTTCTGAGGGATCAATCTCCTGAAAAAGTGGAGTAAAGAAAACCTTGTTAACCAAATGTTGTAGCTAGTTAAGTGCTACAGTATGATGCAGATTTACAGTATTTATAGGTAAAAGAAAAATCTTCATTATTTGTAATGTTGATTTATATCCCATTTTTATTTGGGGGGGGGGGGGGGGCTTATCCCAAACAGGCTATTATAGTATCCAATTTATGCAATGGGTCCTAATAAACCAGTCTAATTTTGGAAGTGACAAATAAGAATATATAGGTTTATCCTTCTGTAACATCTATGCTATAAAATTGTTCAATTTAATGAATTTATGAATCTTCATGAATGTGTAAATGCCAGGTAACAATTAATAAATTCATTTGTTTTTAGCATCTGTGGAGGTTGGTGATTTTTCTGAGAAAGATCTAAATGACAAGTAAGTATGTACATTAATATTCTTTTGTCTTTATCCTAATTTTCTTTCATTCTGAAGTCTATTATGTTTTTTATTTTTTGCTGAAATACATGAGGTTAAAGTCAAAAATCATGTCATGTTAGACATAAACAATTTCACCTGAACAAAAAAATAATAAAACACTTTACAATTTTTAATTAATTTTATATAACTACTACTCATTGAAATAATCATTTGGTAATGGTGTACATATTATTGAAGCCTTCATTTATGGATTAAGCAGGTGGTTCACCAAAGAAAGTATAATATTATTCTCCATTTACAGTCAGTGTGAAAACTTTTAATATCGTATTTTTTTGTATTATGTACATACCTTTTCCTTTATGTCATATCAGTAATATTAACTTCTTTTAGGGTGTCTGAAAAACTTGATGATTTGTTTGAACAGACGATGTACAGGGAAAGGATAAATCTATTCAATAAGAGGTATTTACTTATAAATTAAATCTGTTTTAATAAGACAGACATACAATTAAGGTGTCCTCGTCAATCAAAATGGTCACAGTAGCTCATTTGGTAGAGCGCTCGCTCTGTGATCGGGAGGTCATGGGTTCGAGCCCCGGCTGCAACTGACCTAAGTCGATAGAAAATAGGTAGCGACTGTTCCTTCGCCAAGCACTCGGCACTTTGAAGTGAAAATTGCGGGTCCTTCGGATAAGACCTTAAAAACCGAGGCTCCATGTCACAGCAGGCGTTGGCAGGATAAAGATCCCTCACTGCTCAATGGCCCTGAGTGCTGAGTAAAGGTCTAAATTTGAAGCCCTTTATCGGTATATTCTGACGTCTCTATATGAGTGAAAAATTCTCAAATGGGACGTAAAACAACATACAGTCAATCAAAAATAGTGCAAGATCTTTTGAAATGCCTCTGAAACTATGAGATAAGTGTACAACTAACTGTTAAATTCTCATTACATGTATATCCCACATTCTTCAGTCTTGAATTTGGGAGTATTCTAAAGTAGAGCCTTTTGTTTTGAATTTGACAATCATGATAGATGAAGTAGATTATAATTTATAACAGCTTTATATCCAGATTATATGTAATTGATAGGTTAGAGAGGAGCGAGTTGATTGTTGCCGAGTTGTTCCAGCACCCTGAGAAAGGAAAGGGAGATGCCCCACACAAAACCCCAGAGAAAGAGTAAGTACATTGTATGGCATCAGTTTGGCAGCAAGTGCTGGATCTTACATACATTTTCCGGATGAGTGACCAGGTTAAAGTTTATGGAGGAGAACTCATTTTCAAGTAACTATAAGCCCTATGTTGACCAAACTTGCTTTGATGATACATCTACACTGTAAGGATGAACACTACTGGACTTTGGATGCTGGATCTGACCTTCATTTTCTGGATGAGTTACTGGGTTGAAGTATTTGGAGCAGGTCTAATTTTCAAGTAACTATAAGCCCTATGTTGATCAAACTTGCATGGATTATACATCTAAGGATGCATACTACTGGACTTGCTTTGGATGCTTTCGTATCTCAAGATTAGTTTTGTATTTACTACTTCACTAAACATATTAGGTAGGCACACCTGAAGAAGGAAAGCATGTATATTGTGAATTCCCTATATATATTTTAATGAATTCATAAAGAGATATATAACAAATTACAGATACAGTGAAGTAAATTCACAGGTCCCCAGGACTTTGCTATAAATGACTTTTACTGTACAAGTTTACAAAATGCCAAGTTTACATTCATGCATTCCCACAAAGTGCAGATGCAAATTTGTTAATCTATGACCCCTTGGGCAAGGATGATACCACAGAAGGGACTGGCTCAAAAAAGTCATTGCTCCAAAAAAAAAAAGATAATAAACTGTGGATGTTTGTGGTGCACACATACTATTAGTGATTTTTGCATTGATATACACATCTTTTCTCCAGAATAACACCTTTTGTATTTTATAGTTGTTCCCTTTCTTTGTTCAACAGGTATTTGGAGAACCTTATGGAGCGGCAGTGTTGTTTGGTGTCGGATATCATGAGAACACTTAAGGTTTGTTAGCTCACCTGAAGGTCAAAGTGAGCTTTTCTGATCACTTGGTGTCCAACATCTCAAACTTGCCACAACCCTGCCTTCTGTAAAGGGGATTCAGTTTTGTCACACCATCTTGGAAAGGGAGATAAACAAGAAAAGACAAAAATAAGATGGGCTTCTTAAAAAAATCTTCCTCTCAAGAACCTGTATGAAAGTTTCTTAACAAAGTTCATATATAGTGTCAAATTAGTTCAAACCTGGGGGAAGGTTTGGGCCACACAAAGGATGGGGGGGGTTCAAAGTTTTGCATGGAACATATGGAAAAAGTCCATTAAAATCTTCTTGAGAGGAAAAGATAGGCTATGATTATTACATGTAGTCATATTAAAGGGACAGTTCAAGCAAAAAGAAAATTGATGGCCAAGTGTTGCTCTGCAGGTGAAACAAAAACAGAATTGAAAATGTTGAAAATGTTTACCATAAAGAATGTTAATCATTCAAATTTTCTGATGATAAACATAACAGATAATCACTAATAAAAAGTCAGAGATTGACAAACTCCAACCAGCTGCCATTTTGATGTTCTTCATGATTGGAGTAAAATTTCTTGTAGCTTATCACCGGGTTTTATCTCTGAATCCCAATCATTTCCAAATGTTCTGCTAGTCACCAAAACCCTTCACAATTCCCCAGTTGTGTTGTTTTGAATGTGTTTAATGAAGTTACAAAGTTTTGATAAAAAAGCCTTCTCATCTTGCCTTTCTTTGAACAAATAAGCATGGACAGTACATGTTATAGTACATAAGCATTTTTTTAGTCCCCTACCGGTGAAACCGGAGGGGACTATAGGTTTCCTCTGAGTCTGTCCGTCCGTCTGTCCGTCTGTCTGTCTGTCTGTCTGTCCGTCTGTCTGTCTGTCTGTCCCTCTGTCTGTCTGTCAGTCTGTCCCACTTGGTTTTCCGCACTTTTTTCCTAAACGCTTGTACATATTGAGCTGATTTTTGGTATGTGAGTGTATCTTGATGAGTTACAGATCAAGTTTGCATTTCGTTCCGCTTCATTGATTTTTGACCGAATTACGACCTTTTCAATTTTTACGGGTTTTCCGCAATTTTCTTCTAAACGCTTGTAGATATTGAGCTGATTTTTGGTATGTGGCTTTACCTTGATTAGTTATAGATCAAGTTTGCATTTCGTCCCGCTTCATTAATTTTTGACGGAATTATGGCATTTTCAATTCTTAACGGGAACCAGATTACACTTGCCGGTAGGGGACTAGTATTGCTAATGCAATACTCTCAGAATGCTTGTTTTTCTTGGACCTCAGTTAAAAATAATTATTTTAATAAAAATCAATTAGGATATAGAAATTGTACAGTGTATCTGAAAATTTATCCCACAGACTAAAAAATGTAATATTATATACAATTCCTGTGACTTACATGTATATGTAATATTATGTACAATTCTGTTGACTAACATGTATATGTAATATATACAATTCCCGTGACTTACATGTATATGTAATATTATCTACAATTCCCATGACTTACATGTATATGTAAATATAGGATCTCCCATGATTTGTAGTTGGATATGATTTTTATCCAACGAGTTGTGTGTTTTTTATCCCCGAGCCTTGGCGAAGGGATAAAAACACACAACGAGTTGGATAAAAGTCATATCCAACTACAAATCATGGGAGATATTTTTTATCCCATGTTTAATATTTCACAACCAATGTTTTACACTGTTTTATATAGGACTCCACTTTATTTTACTTCATCACTCTAACGCAAAAACCATTGTGACGTCACAACTGCACTTAACTGTGGAATATGAAAAATTATCCAATGAGTCATATCCACGGGATAAAGGGGTAAACATGGGATAATATTATTTCCTGTCAGTTTGTCTCTATATAATTATATACCCAACTACTTTTGCATAGTGTTCTAAGGATTTGTATGTAATAATATATACAATTCCCATGACTTACATGTATATGTAATATTATATACAATTCCCGTGACTTACATGTATATATAATATTACAATTCTGATGACTTGCATGTATATGTAATATTATATACCAGTACAATTCCTGTGACTTACATCTATATGTAATATTATATACAATTCCCATGACTTGCATGTGTATAAATTAAATCAATACACACACTGAAATGGACTTCATGCTAGGTATTATCTCATAAAGTGGTGTGTATTCTTTAAGAGAAGACATGGATCTTTGGGAGGTCAACATTACTGCTACATTGCAAAAAATTTCAACTCATTACCGCTACATTTTCTCAAATTTTCGGGCGATCTTTACCGCTACATTTTATCAAAGGGACTAATGCCGACAACAACTCATTACCGCTACATAACAAATCGGCCAGAAATGGCACGGGATATGATTTCCATTCAATATAATTCACTCAACATGTAGTGAAGTACAATTTGGATCTGAATTCTAATCAACAGTGATCAAAATGAGTATATATAAGTCTGTAGTCGATTTAGCGTCAGATGAATGTCATGGCTACTATTATTGAGAATTTTGTGACAAATAAAAAATGAAAAAAAACCCATCCTGCTCAAAGTCCTACGTTCACCTTCCCGTGGTGAGCAGGGGCAACAGGTCTTATGCATGTATATATATGTTGTACTGTACACGCATAAGACGCTGGCTAACAAAAAAGACAATGTTGCGGTAATGTATACTTTTAAATGTAGCGGTAATGAATCTTTTATTGTAGCAGTAATGTGCATGTAGCGGAAATGAAAATTTTGAAAATGTAGTGGTAATGATACGCACCCGGATCTTTGTCTACAGGACCTTACCTTTACATTGTTCTTTCTGTATACATAATAATATTCTTTTTGGTGTCACATAAGTTATTCATTATGATCAATCTACTAATTCCTATTTGTTTTGGAAAAAATGACATGTATATCCATGAATAAAGTATTGAACATTTTCAGCTTTGTTGCTGATCTGGTTGAAACAAAATTTGGTATATAATCTTTTAGAATATGTCCATGATCCTCTTGCTAGAATTTCTTATACTTTTACAGGAGTGCAGGAAATATCAGGAAGAATTGGATGAGGTGAAAAAAGAAAACAGAGGTACACCACTCATTTTTAGCTCACCTGAGCCGAAGGCTCAAGTGAGCTTTTCTGATCACATTTTGTCCGGCGTCCATCTGTCTGTCTGCTTACAAACTTTTCACATATTTGACTTCTTCTCAAGAACCACTGGGCCAGATTCAACCAAACTTGCCACAAAGTATTCTTGGGTAAAGGGGATTCAAGTTTGTTCAAATGAAAGGCCACACCCTCTTTCAAGGGGAGATAATTAGGAATTAGTGAAAAAATAATGGCATCATTTAAAAATCTTCTTCTCAAGAACCACTGGGCCAGGAAAGATGAAACTTATGTGGAAACATCCTCAGGTAGTGTCGATTCAAATTTGTTCAAATCATGACGCCCGGGGGTAGGATGGGGCCACAATGGGGGATCAAAGTTTTACATAAGAATATATAGAAAAATATCTTTAAAAATCTACTTCTTGAGAACAGCAAAGCCATGATTGGTCATATTTATATGGAAGCATCCTCAGGTAGTGTAGATTCAAGTTTGTTCAAATCATGACCCCCCCCCCCCCCCCCCCCCACAATGGGTGATCAAAGTTTATAGAGGAATATATAGGATAAAATCTTTTTCTCAAGAACTGCAAAGCCATGATTATTCAAATTGATATGGAGGCATCCTTGGGTAGTGTAGAATGAAATTTGTTCAAATGAGTGCCCCCGGGGGTAGGGTGGGGGCCACAATGGGGGATCAAAGTTTTACAAATGAATATATGGGAAAAAATCTGATGCTCAAGAATAGCAAAGCCATTTGTTATATTGATATGAAAGCATCATTAGGTAGTTTAAAATTCAACCCCCCCTCCCCCGTAAACTTTTCAAAACTGAACTGATTTTTGCTTTTTTCCTAGCCAATGTTCTCATGTGAGCTTTGTAGCCCATGGTCCTCTTGTTTTTATTTATTTCATTAAATGCTGCAAAAATTTTCAATTTTGTGATTTTTATTATTAAAAAAAGCCTAATTTCATTTGTTTTTTTTTTTGTTTTTAAATATAGACATACAGGTAGAAAACAGACAACTACTAAAAGAGTTGAAAGAGAAACAAGAGAGTAGGAAAAAGATGCATGACCAGGAAACTCAGAGGTAAGACTGATACAATCTCTAGAAAACCCAGAGCTAAAATAGAAATCTTTTAGGAATTCAGAGACCCTAGAGGAAAACTATAAATACAATCTCTAGATATCCTAGAGGAATTTAGAGACCCAAGAGAAAAAACAAAATACAGTTTTCAGAAATCCACGAGGAATTCACAGCCCCCAGAGTTGAAATAAATACATTCTCAAAAAATTCTAGAGGAATTCAGAAACCCCAGAGGAAAAAGAGCTAAAATTAATTAAGTTTGTAGAAAATCCACAGAGTGGGAAATATTTAATTTCTGGAAACCAAAATGTAGAACTAATAAGACCTAGAAAACCCAGAAGTAAGACATATAACGTTTCTTAAAACCCATAAGTAAGAGTAATAGTCTCTCACTGTCTCTCAAAGCCGAGAAAAAAGACTAATAAAACCCTTTGAAAAACCACTGAGGAAAGACTTGTGCAGTCTGTTGAAAAACACAGGTAAAACTAATGAAATCTGGAGAAAACTATGAAGTAAACCTAATGCAGTCTCCAGAAATACTTCTGATTTCCCTGAAATATGCATATAATATGGAAATATATGTACATGTATTAATGGTTTTTCCATCCTTCTGTTTATGAGTGAAGAAGATTTAAAGACTTAATGCCTTTTCAAATGAAGCACTGCCCTTAGGTGTAAAACCTGGACCCAGTTGACCAGAATTTTACAATTTCAAAAAATGGCTCATAGTCATTGTTCTTATTCTAGCAGCTTATATTTCAAATTTTATATGTTATGAAAAGATACACTGCAGTCTCTGGATAATATATCGAAAAATCCTTTTCAGGATTTGCATTGAAATTTCACATCATAACTCTCTATGACTTGGAAGACTTCCTTTTGATTTTGAAATCAAAAGAGCAAACGCCAAGGTCCAAAATTCATGTATAGCATAAAATGATTTCCAGGTAATAACTTAAGTCCTCTTTGAGTTTGCAATGAAACTCTTTGTAACAATGAGCCCTAATGATTTTGAAGCCAAAGTTGAAAGGTTAAGGTCACAAGTCTGGTATGAAATAATTTTCAGATTTACTTCAATACTGTCTCTAAAGGCCTGTACACATGCTGCAATTAATCTCATGCAATTGATATCGTGAGTTAAATTGCAGCGTGTGTACCGAGTAAATATTACAACATAGTTGTTGTGACACGAGATTGTGCAGGGTCAAGTAAAGATTGAAGATTGTTATGTAAAGGCAGTTATAATCCCTTCAATGGCTTTCAGCCTTTGGTTTCTGCCATAAAAATTGTATGGGATTATTTGCAGTGTGTACCAGCCTTATCTGCATAAGACAATATGGCCCATATTGACAAGAGTTGAAAAGGTCAAGGTCACAAACTTGTATTTTGTTACGAATTGCTTCTGGGTAATAAACTTCTGTCCTTGATCCTGTGTAAGCTGAGAAATGTAGATGTCCATCAACACTTCTTAGCTCACCTCAACGAAGTTGGCGTCCCAGGTTAAAGTTTTTGAATCAGTTTTCTTTTTAAGTACATGTATTTCTATGCCCTACATTAATCAGAGTGAATGGAAGATACTTCTACTAGTGTGTTTCATTGTACCAGTCAAGGTTTCAGTCAAGGTGCTGCAATTTCAGCTAAGGAACCAGGTTAATGTTTTTATAGCAGGTTAAGGTTTTTGGAGCAGGTTAAAGTTTTAAGAGCAGGTCTCATTTCCAAATAACTTTAAGCCCTATTTATAACCAAACTTGCATGGATGATACACCTAAGGATGCACATTACCAGACTTGCTTTGGATGCTGGATCTGAACTACATTTTCCAGATGAGTGACCAGGTTACAGTTTTTGGAGCAGGTTCATTCTAAAGTAGCTTTAAGCCCTATGTTGACCAAACTTGCATGGATAATACATTTAAGGATGCACATTTCTGGACTTGCTTCAGATGCTGGATCCGACCTATGTTTCCACATGAGGGACCAGGTTACAGTTTATGGAGCAGGTTCATTCTAAAGTAACTATTTGCCGTACCTTGTCCAAACTCGCATGGATAACACATCTAAGGATGCACACTAATTGACTTGCTTCGGATGCTGGATTTGACCTACATTTTCCAGATGAGTGACCAGGTATAAGTTTTTGGCGTAGGTCCACTACCAAGAAATTATAAGGCCTATCTGAACCAAACTTGCATGGATGATGTATCAAGGCATGAACACTCCTAAACCTTTTACCATGCAGGACCTTGACCCCATTTCATGACCCCACCTTGCTCTGAGGCTGTGATTTGAAGAAAAGTAAATCTGTAATACTAGATTTGTTTCTTTTCCTTTTTTTAATTTCAAAGTTTTTCAGGTAAAATTTTCCTAAATATGAAAAATGGATATACATGTATAAGTTGTTGATTATGACTTGTTGTAGTTTGTGTGAGGAGTTAGACCAGCAGTTACAGATGATATCCATCACTAGGTGTATACTACAGGGCCTTGTTGTAGGAAGTGGGGTACACTGGGCAGAGAACCAGCAGCTTCAGGAACTAGTTCTCAAACTAGGGGAAGTCCTTCAGATATAAGCTGTCATTAGTCACTGGGATCAAGAATCAATAGCAGCTTGCCTTGATGCTGGTAGAAGTGATATTTACTCGTATTTAGTCACACTTGGATATATAGATGATTCAGCAGATGAAGTTCTTCAGATTGTTACATGGCTTCAGTGGCAGATACAGTTAACTGAATATTAGATTATTTTTTACCCAAGACATAAGGCAACAGATTTTATACTATTATAAAATTTTATTTGTCTAAAATAAACACAAGTTTTTCTGGTGTGAACAATTTATCAACAATGCTGCAGTTATTGTTTTGAAAAAAAAAAAAACAATTTACACAATAGTTTTAGAGACTGCAATAGTTTTTAATGTCACAGTCTTATGTCAGTCCATTACTCCCTGTGTTATTGAAAACAAGTAATATTTATAGTATTTTATTGTATAAGGTAAAATGTTAAGTACCTGTGTTTATGTACATGTACTTCAATTAAGATTACAGTATTGTTGTATTGATACAGTATAAATGAAATATAGTATGACTTGACATCTCTTTGTTATATTTTAAATAGAAAAATACTCTGTTTGTTAATTAAAATTAATAAATGTTATTTCCACATTGTAAAAATAACAAGTGTTATTTTTACTGTCTAAAATTAAAAAAAAAATGTTATGTTCACAGAGTAAAAATAAGTTTTGCAGGGAAAATTCACTAATTTCCTACCATTCCCAAAAGTGTTAAAGAAAATACACCTGTACACAGCTAGAGTTAATAAACCATCCTGTCACTAAAACAGCCAAAGTTTTTCCAAATTGTCACTAAATCCATGTTTACAGTTTTTAATCAGTCACAGCCTACGCCAGTGCATTACCAAGAGACAGCTAAATGTTGGTAGGTGCAAAATGAATAAATTGAAAATTTATTGGATTGTGGTTAAATATGGAAATTTATTTTACTTGCGCTTGCACTCATGAAAATATTTATAAGAAAAAATCCTGTTCAGTTCCTGAAATAAATTCACAATCCATATCAAAGTACAAATCATTGAATATCATCTATACATTATACATTTACATGTACGAATTACATGCACTTTATTCCAAATGGAATAAAGTATTGTATTAATATTCATGCATTAAAAAAAAAAACATTATCAAAAAATTTGTATAGTATTATTCACTGAATATTCTGATGAAAACCCATTGTTGTTATCAATCAACAATTAACTAATTACAATCGGTTTTTTTAAAGTCATCTGAAAGATTTCTTAAGAATTTTGATAGGTAGTATGCAGCTTCCTATATACAATGTAAATTCTTCTACATACTTTTCACCAACTTACACAGATAGAAATGCATGTACAAACAATGGTTGCAGTCATTGCAGAAAAAAATGACATAATTTTACATCGTCCACTTTTGTGGGTTATGTATTTTTCTGCAATGTCAGAACTGTTATCCTGCATTAATTTCACTGTTTAATTAAATTCAATTCGAATTATATATTTATTCCAGTCTTCTTTTATTCATATGTTGCTTGTTTTAATATTAATCGAAATTCTACATAAAAAATAATCTCTATAACATAGACTTTTTCTTCAGGAATATATAAGTTTTGAACAAATAAAAAAAGCATTTACACTATAGCCCTGTTTGAATTAAGGGGATGAAGGACACATGGTCACATGACTCTGTTTAACTACGTCATAGTCTCCGTTTATATAAGTGCAAAACGTGTAAAGCATGTTCTTGTATAATTTTTTAACATTTTTTTAAACTTTGATAACCATCTTATATTAAAAAAATAAAAAGTTTTAAAGTTCTTGTAAACATTAACAAATTATGAAAAAGATTGATCCACTCCTCTGTTTCCCTAAACTGCGCGTCCAACAAGTCGGTGACGTCATACACGATCTGTTAGTACAGCAAGATCATACTCAGTGAATACAGGGGCGGTATTACTTTGTGAAAACAGGTCTTAATCATTATATGATAAAATATTCTGAGACACGGGGAACACAAAAATTATTTTTGCATGGCTGATGACGGAAATCTTATGTAGGTATATCTTCTTTCGCTTATTTAGCTACATGTGACGTCATAGTTGGTTTTTCCCGCACTCGAGAAATGTAAACATGACACGTTTTTGTCATGCTTATGCCCTCTTTAACGATGTCCTGTGCAATATTGAGGTCAGCTTCACCATTCAAAATTTTTACAGTTAATCAATAATTTGAAGGACTTACATTTCAACGTAAATTTAAAAATATTGAATGATAGAATTTTTGGTAAATTACGTTTTTTGTTGTTAAAGTTGTCTTAAGAAGTATGTAATTTTCGCTATCCAGATGCAATGTGATAGAAGAAACTTGCTTTTTCGAATTTTAAACCCTATTCATACTATGAAATATTTTAAAAGAGACATGTCCACTTACATATTTTTTATCTTTGCTTAAAAAATCCCATTATGGACAGAGTAATGGGCCCGGAAACATGGAGAACTAAAACTCTACCTAGATACTGTAGGGCATAGTATTTGTCCATCAATATCTCTAAAATAAGGTTAGAAACCTAATGATATAACTGCTTTAAGATATGTGGGACATACTTAATAAGAAATATACAAAATATGAAAAAAATTGAATGACAGGTATTTTTTCACCTCAAGGTCATTCTACCCCTTAAAACAACAGGCCCATGGGCCACATCGCTCACCTAAGCACACTGGCTAGAAAAAAGCACAAATCAGTTCAGTATTGAAAAGTTTACATTGGGGGTTGGGGTGGCAAACTTGAATTTTACATTACCTAAGGATGCTTCCATATCAATATAACTAATAGCTTTGCTTTTCTAGAGCAGAAGATTTTTAAAGATTTCTTAAAATATTTTTTCCTATATATTTCTTTGTAAAAATTTGATCTCTCATTATGGCCCCTCCCTATGCCCAAGGTTCATCATTTAAAAAGCTTGAATCTACACTACCTGAGGATGCTTCCATTATAATATGACTAAACATGGCTTTGCTGTTCTTGAGCAGCAGATTTTTAAAGATTTTTTCCTATATACACCTATGTAAAACTTTGATCCCCCCACTGTGGCCCCATCCTACCCCCGGTGGTCATCATTTGAACAAATTTGAATCTACACTATATGAGGATGCTTCCATATCAATATGACTAATCATGGCTTTGCTGTTCTTGAGAAGAAGATTTTTAAAGATTTTTTCCTATATACTCCTATGTAAAACTTTGACCCCCCACTGTGGCCCCACCCTACCCCCGGGGTTCATCATTTGAACAGACATGAATCTACACATTTTTTCCTATAAACGCCTATGTAAAACTTTGATCCCCCACTGTGGCCCCACCCTACCCCCGGGTTCATCATTTGAACAAACATGAATCTACACTATGTAAAGAAGCTGTCATATAAGTTTCAACTTTTATGGCCCAGTGGTTCTTGAGAGGAAGATTTTAAAAGATACCACTAAATTTTCACTTTTTAAAAAATTATCTCCCAATGAAAGAGGTCATGATCCTTCATTTGAACAAACTTAAATCCCCTTTACCCAAGGATGCTTTGTGGCAAGTTTGGTTGAAATTGGCCTAGTGGTTCTGGAGAAGGTCAAAAATGTGAAAAGTTTATGGACAGACAGACGGACTAAAGACAAAATGTGATCAGAAAAGCTCAGTTGAGCTTTTAGCTCAGGTGAAAACTCAGGTGAGCTAAAAAATTTGTTTAAAAAAAAAAAATATGTCTGAAAATCTAAAACATGAATGTTCCAACATTACATTTAAGATTGCACTTTTCGAAACATAAATATACTGATATAATATGAAGAAATAAGTTAAATAAAAAAAAATAAACATTTTTATATATGTCCATTGTATCATCTGGAATTTCCAAACCAAATTAGTCTCTGATGAATCCGATTCCTGTACTAATTTTGTATTACCCCTAACTGGTAATTATAAATTTTAATTTTTTACAGTGCAGATTTAAATAAATGTTCTCTTTGTTTTCATGTGAAATCACAATAGAAATCAGACTCTGATATGAATGTCTTGTAGCTCAAAGTATATGTATATAAGATGTACTTTGTAGTTTTAAATTCTTTTGCAAGTTATTGAAGAAGAAGGAAAACCCCAGTTATTAATAAATATCAAACTGGAATACCTAGAACCTTTAACTGATAAATTGTTATTCTACCAAAAAAGTCTGTACTGTTGTTGAATATTATTCTGAATTTTTTCAGAGAGGTTACTCGTGGTAATTTAAAGCTGTAAGCAAGGTTAAGGAAGAATGTTACAGACACACTTTCGAAGCATTTCCATTTATTTCTACAGCATTTTATGCAGGGTTTTAGGTCAGCTGAGTCACTAATTTCAAACACTTTTTATAAGCCATTTATGGGTAAAGGGGCACAATCACCCTTGAGCCTGAGAAAAGTGGCCGAAACTATCAAAATTGATGCGTTCTTTGAAAATCTTTTCTTCTGGACTTAAAGCAATTAGACGGTTGGCATGATTATGATGAGCAATTAGCTTATTACCAAGAATTTGAAATTCATAACCCTTGGGTTAAGGCCCAAGGGTAGGGCTAAATTTGTCATATATGTGATATATTATAATATGAAATATTTACCAGATCTATACACAAATGCATAAGTGTAATTAAAGTATTCACACTCTTGCACATACCCTCTTTCACCCTCTTTTTTTCTTATTTCTATATGTAAAGCTATCACAGTAAAGAGTCAAATTGTAATAGTGATAGTTTTATATTACTTAAATTATTATGATATTCAAATGTATAATTTATCAATTATACATTTATGAATATGCCACAACTGATTTTAAACTCTGAAGTGCATGTATTAATCTGTGTGTCAATCATTATTGACAAAGACAAATAATTTAAAATCAAATATTGTTAATATTCAATAAAATAATTTATCAAATAAAATAATTAAATATAAATTAAACAAAACAAACTAATTGAAATAAAATAAACAATTAGCTAAAATTTTAGATCCACCCCTTGTACTATTCCTATGCCTGAAATAAGCTACCTGAGTAGAATTCAACTTTCTTTAATCCTGTTGGTCAAAACATTTACCTCCAAATTCTGGGCATGAGACAAAGGCATTATTCAGCTTGATTTCAGACTGAGAAGACATGATTCTTATATATAAATTATAACTTTTACTGTGAACTGGCAACCAGATCCTAATATGTAAGTAACTTATTTACTTCTACTTATTAACAAAATATATTTCAAAATCTGATTTATCTGAATTATCTGAAATTAATAAACTAATGAAAATATTGAGTGTGCAAGAGTTGAGAGTGAATGATATTATTTTATTACAGTACATACAATGATAAAGTGCCAGTAATTGTTGTTAATACAAAAGTACCAGGCACTCTGTTCCATAAACAGGTACATTTCCTATTTTTACAAATGTACTTATCATTTTTATATTTTCTTAATTAATAAGTGGACTTATAATGCACTTAATGACTATAATAAATAATGTAAAACAATTCAATATATGTTTCAAGGGAATATATATAAATTGTACAAGCATAAATGTAGATTTTTATAAAATGCTGTGAAAAGGGGAATAACTCTTTCAAAGTATGCATAGTAAGAATGTATTGTGATTTTATGAGTATATTGTATGTTTAAAGAATTGTTATCCTGACTATATTAAATTGTACTAATATTATTTATATGTATATTTACAGGGTATTATTATTTACAGATATTCACAAATAATAAATCAGCAATAACGAACCTGCAGGTGTCTTGGTTTTTAATTCATCATCTATACCTGACCGGACTCCGGTTACAAAATTGATGTAGGTCATGTCATTTAATGTGTATTCGATTTACTTCATTAGAAGAAATGAAAGTACGTACTGATTGTTGATTAATCTAAGTGAAAGCACAAATAAAAAAAAAAAACATTAAAAAATTTGTCATATGTTGAAAATGCAATTACCAAGTACATCTTACAAAATCTCTACTCCTGCATACTGGGAGGCAAACTGTTTCAGTGCATGATTATACTTGTAATAAGAAACTAGGATTCATCAAGATTTTGAAATTCAATTCATATCTAAAGGATTCAAAATTCAGGCTCCATGGTGAGACTCAGTTGGTCATACATTGAAAATTTGTTATACAGTACCTTGAAAAATTATTTTTATTCCTGGACATTTAGCAAGAAAACTTCATGCATGGTGACTGTAAACTATTTGACCTTTATCACATTTATATCCCCCAGGGGTTCAGTTAGCAAAGTTGATCATATATTAACAATGCACTTTATCTTTAAAAATCTTTTCTAATCCCAATTATCTAGGAACAAACTTCATGAATTTGATGATGAATATATTCCTCATTCCTCAACAAAGTTTAAAATTCATGTCACATGTACAGATTTTCAGTTCAAGGTGGGCCAAATGTTGTAATATCAGGCAAAAAAGCATGATGCTCAGGTGACTGTCAAGGCCCAGGGGCCTTTTTATTATTTCAGGCAAAAACAACTTTTCTGTGTACATGTATATGATTATGTATCATTGTTATAAAAGGATATTTGTATGGAATTCACATCTTCTGGGAAGAATTTCATGACAGTGTGTTTATCATTATTTTCATCAGTCATCTGTATACAGCAATCTTTCCCTGCAAATCCACCCTGAAATTGGATCTGGATTTCTTCCACATTAGATAATGAGTTCAGAGTAAGTTCAATCCACTGGGGGGAACCCTACAAAATATTTCCAAATATTTGGCAGAAATCAAAATTAAAAACATATTAAAGGGTTTTTAAGTTTGTTCAAATATGGGGCAGAACCCATTTCCAAAAGGGAGATAAAAAAGAAATATGATTGACTGTAGTTTTCAAATGTTTGTAATAGTTTGTTAATAGGTAAGCATCCTCAGATAAAGCAGATAATAATTGGTTGACACAGAAAGGGATCAAAGTTTTACTTAAGAATAAATAGGATTTTTTTTTTTATAAACAAGCATTTGGTCAGAGAGTATTGCATAAGGCAATACTAGTTCCTAACCTACAAGTGTAATCTGGCTCTTCAAACTTTAAAAATTAAGAAGGTCATAATTCCCTAAAAAATCATTGAAGTGGAACTAAATGGAAACTTGATCTATAACTCATCAAGGTAGACTCATATACCAAAAATCAGCTCAATATCTGCAAGTGTTTAGGAAAAAAAGACGAGGAGGAAACCTACAGTCCTCTCTGGTTTTGTCAGTAGGGGACTGACAAGCATTCTGAGAGATTTACATAAGCATAATTAGTCCCCTACCTGCAAGTGTAATCTGGTTCTTATTAAAAATTAAAAAGGTCATAATTCTCTCAAAATTAATTGAAGTGGAACAAAATACAAACTTGATCTATAACTCATCAAAGTAGATTCACATAACAAAAATCAGCTCAGTATCTGCGAGTGTTTAGGAAAAATGTGTGGAAAACCAAGTGGGAAATCTGTTACCCTTAATTAAAAAGAAAAAAAAAATATTAAAAATATTTCCGTCAGAAATCACTGAAGCAGAAGGAAATGCATACTTGATCTGTATAACTCATCAAGGTACACTCACACACTAAAACTCAACTCAATATCATAATATCTACAAGAGTTCACAATATAACAAGAAAGAAGAATTTATGGCTGGATTGGGAATCGAACCTGGGACCCCTCTATCACTAGTCGGGTGCTCTACCAATTGAGCTACCTAGGCTGATATCCATGACCCAAACTATTACATTATTTCCTCCTGAAATTGTCTTTGCCCTCAAAGACTTTCACCTGCAGGTCCAGGGGTGGTCTGAATGACACCAAGTTATGTAACAGGAAAGTAGAAAATATATGGCTTGACCTGGAATGAGCCCTGGGACCCTTGCATCACTAGTCAGGTGCTCTACTGACTGAGTCACCTAGGCCAATATCCACGACCCAAACTATTACAAGAACAAGAGGCCAATGGGCCATATCGCTTGCCTGAGCACTTTGGGTAGGGAAAAGCAGAAATCAGTTCAATATTAAAGTGTAAGAGGCCTTGCCCTACTCCCAGGGACATGATTTGAACACACTTGAACCTACATTACCTGAGGATGCTTCTGAATTAATATGACTAATCATGGCTTTGCTTTTCTTGAGATTTTAAACATTCTTCTTTTTTAAACATTCCTATGTAAAACTTTGATCCCCCATTGTGGCCCAACCTACCCTTGGGGGTCATGAATTGAGCAAACATGTGGAGCCCTGATATATCGGTTTTTGATTTCGATGAACGGTGTTGCCATGGTTACTAAAAATAGAAATTTCCTTGAAAAACTTTCAAAATGCTACTTCTCCTACAGTTTTGATCTGATTTCAATAAAACTTGGCATTTAAGTAGACTACACTAAGATACATAATTCTGTGTATCGGTTTTTAATTTTGATGAACGGTATTGCCATGGTTACTAAAAATCGAAATTTCTCTCTAATACTTTCAAAATGCTACTCTTCCTACAGTTTTGGTCTGATTTCAAACCAGTAGATAAGTACAAACCAGTAAAGCTACAGTCTCATCAGAGACTTCTGGTTTTGTTTAGTGTTTTGTTTTAACTAGACACAGATCTGGAGCTTGCTGGTCTGAAAAAAAACCCAGAAGTCTCTGACAAGACTGTAGCTCTACTGGTTGTACTTATAAATGAAGATAAAAGTAGCACTTGGACTTGAAACTTTGCAACAGCAATAAATAGAATAATGATCCTTGGTTTAGTCTCTTTTTGTGGCAAGATTTATTGCAATCAGACTAAAATTGTAGGAGGAGTAGCCTTTTAAAACAATATTACAGAAATTTTGATTTAAGTAAAAATGGCAACATCATTCAACAAAATCAAAAAACAATAACATCAATTATGCATCTCAGTCTAGTCTACTTGTATGCCACGTTACACTGAATTCAGACAAAAAGTGTAGGAAGAGTAGCATTTTGAAAGTATTCCAAAAAAAATTTTATTTTTAGTAACCATGGCAACACCGTTCATCTAAATCCAAAACTGGCAGAGAGAATTATGTATCTTAGTGTAGTCTACTTGTGTGCTAAGTTATACTAAAATCAGACCAAAACTGTAGGAGGAGTAGCATTTTGAAGTTATTTCAAAGAAATTTCTAATTTTAGTAATCATGGCAACACTGTTCATCAAAATCAAAAATCAATACACAGAATTATGTATCTTAATGTAGTCTACTTGTTTGCCAAGTTGTACTGAAATCAGACCAAAATGGTAGGAGGAGTAGCGTTTTGAAAATATTTCACAGAAATTTCTATTTTTAGTAACCATGGCAACACCATTCATTGAAATCAAAAACCGATACACAGAATTATGTATCTTAGTATAGTCTACTTGTGTGCTTAATTATATTGATATCAGATCAAAACTGTGGGAGGAGTAGCATTTTGAATGTATTTCCCAAAAATCTCTATTTTTAGTAACCATGGCAACATCGTTCATTGAAATCAAAAACCGATACACAGAATTATGTATCTTAGTGTAGTCTACTTATGTACCAAGTTATATTGAAATCAGACCAAAACTGTAGGAGGAGTAGCATTTTGAAAAATTGTTTACAGAAAGATGGACGATGGACACCTTGCTATCACATAAACACTTCTGGTCTCTAACCAGTAGTGTTAATGAGATGGGCGACCAGAGAGCTACAGTGCCACCCATAAAAAAACTATATATTTATTGTGCAAAAAAAGTTGCGCTCGGTTTTGGATTAATTTCTCCAAATTCTTACCTCAACTGCACAAAAGCTCTATTTCAAAAAAATTCATTAGACCTCTATCAATTAACTACTCTCCTAGGTGACATCTGCACGAAGCGCACTGGACCGAATTATCTTGCCACTCAAATTGGCAGCATAAATGGGCAAAATCTTTGATGATCTCAATATCAGTCCCAGGAGAGCTATAAACAATTGTTATAAGGAATGTTTAGTTGTGGAAATAGTAAACTATACTAGTATGTTAGGAACACACGGTTAGTAATATTTTGAGATGGCAGTTTGAAGAAAAGAAAAGAAAAATAAATTGAGAAACGATGCACTTTTTGTGTGCAATTATTTAAATATACACTTTTTCCAGTGGGTGGCACTGCAGCTCTCCGGTCTGTCTGTCAGTATATATTTTTTTTCCGGAGAGCTACATTTCTTGAGTTTTGTGTGTGTTTGGGATATTAGAATGGGGATGCTATCAGGCATAGCAACTGTTAAAACATTACTTGATCAGAATTCCAACATGTATCCTCTTCCCCATCTACCATATGTCTTGGTCCATATGTTTTGATGGCTCTATTCAGCACTGAACTAACTCTGTAAAGTAGTGCAATTAATGTATTGAATTCGAAATTACCTCAGTTGGGGTAGCTTTTGTCTCATCATAAATAAAGTAACTTCAACTTCTTATGAAACAAAATTGTGCTTTTGGGGTTATACTTGCCTTAAACTAGTGTCTTTGCTGGTCAAACTGCTCGTCATCATTTTCACATGTGTTTTTGTCAATAAGGTAAATAAAACGCATTGGAGACCTCGGAATGTGTGTGTATTTTTTTTTTATCAAGTTTATCCATAGAGGGTTTTTTTTTTTTTTTAGATGTAATTATGTTTCAAGTTTTCTTTTAGTCAACTGATGATATCTACCTATTATTATATTTTCTTTTCCCAGTTTTTTTTCCCAAGGGACGAAATATTTTTAAGGAATAACATTTGTACAAACTACCTAATTTTGATCTAGGTTACGTATGCGCTTGTAATGAAAAGGAAAGTTGAATTGAGAGATGTGGTTTTCATCGTTTTGCATCAGATATTGTCTCAATTACATACATTTCAGAAAAACAAATACAGATTTCACTATTGTTTCAACGCTCCCGATTTCATTTGTTCGAATTAAATCGATCCACGCTTCATTTTCCAACCCGATGCCGAAAAAGGCGAAGGTGAGCAGACACCAAAATTTGCAAATAAGGCCCTTAGCTAAACAGGTCTGATACAATCACTAGATTTAGCTTGCTTAAATTACCTACATAGCTTTATTTACCTACCTGAAGTAGCTTTATTTAGCTACTAAATCAAACTTATTTCTTAAAGTAACATTTTCTCCACAAAGTGCAGAAAATTGCATTTTGAACTTGAATCGGTGATAATTTTCAACTTTGAAATCGTCTGAAAACAATTCAGGAGAAAAACACTCTTGGAGGTGTGTCTTTTTCTGCGCAATTGCAATCAAAGTTCTAAGAGTTTTAGGGCTGTATAAAATAGTTAATTTGTTACCAAACAGTTACTTCTTGAATGAAATAACAAATGTAGTAGTGTGGAATATATTTAATAAATAAATGTTTTAAATTAAATGTAAATAAATTAAACTACCATAATAGATAAAATGTTGGATCCACCCCTTTATTTCCCTAGCCCTACCTGTAAACTTGTACACCTGTATATAGATAATTAGTTACCTTAGGGCAGGTCAGAGGTTTTGGTGTTTTATTGGTTTTCATTGGTAGTTTGTTTATAAAGTTGGATCTCATTGGTTTTATTCTTTTGGTCATTGGTTTTACCGCCAAAATATTCATTCTTTGTCTTGTTGAGAGATTACCAAGACTTCATTTTATGGACTCTCTCATGACCTTGACTTGGAGACTGACTTTTTTTCCACTTTTGGTAAGTACTAACTTTTCTTTATTGCTAATAGTTAATTAACTTGTGCAGTCTGTAAATATGCAATTATAATAAATCCCTTCTACACTTTATATTAATAGAATGAATGACCATGAGAGAAAGATATTTATTTTTATGATTGGAATTATTGATTTTGAAGATCAGTAATGTTATATATTGAAAGTGTAAATTGTTATGTTCAAATTACACTATATATTTTATGACCAAGATATTTGGTTACTTTGTTCAAAGTGAACAGATGATTTTTTTTATTTTAATGGAATATATATTTTAATGTATACTGTATTAAATTACAGAATCCATATACATGTTTATGACATCATACATACATGTGGTAATTAAAGCCTTTTCCCACAGAATGGTGAGGAACTATTTGTTTTAATTAGTAATATTTTTTATGCCTTTATATGGGAGAAAATATGTAAAGTCTATGTATCAGTTGTAAGAGTTATCTCCCTTAATTGAGAGTCAATGTACATATAAAGATACATCTTGTCTATAATATATCATTATCAATATGTTATCTATGAGAGCTAGATGTATGTATAAATGATGCATTAATAGGATTGATTTGATGTGATATAATATTGTTGTTTTATTATATTTCAGGGCTATGTTAATATATACTGCTCACTGTGTCAATAAAATAGACCTGAACCTGACAGAGGCGTGCTTGTTTATTTACACAAATCCCTGTTACAAATTGGCGCCCACGTTGGGACACAGTGATGTACAGCAGTGAACGGAGAGGACTGGAAATCGTGTACACCATGGTATTCCAAGGAGACGTAAATTACGACTGGTACCTTGAATAAACAGCGATTCGTGCACGACACTTCAGAGTGAACACTGAACAGTGTATGCGATTCTACTGATTCGTGCTTGACTGATCAGAACATTTACACTAGTGTGTTTGTGATATCAACTGATAGTGACAGTGTAATGATTTGCATCAGCATGCATGCTTCATCGGCCTGATTGGTGCACCAGAACCAAAGACAGCAGTAGATAAGATTTTCTTTAGATAAGATTTTCTTAGTTTGATACATGCATGTTTATTTATTTTTGAGGTAGCTAGCTAGCATATATATATATAGATAGATACACGTGTTTATTGATCATGACCTGTCTGTCCGTCTGTCATCTTATTTAGCTTGGGTTATATTTGTATATACTGTGCACATTAATTTTTATTTGAATTAATTACTGGACTGAAAGCAGGAGTGCCAGGATGGGTAAGTGGTATAATTAACAGTGCACATTATAGCCCTATACCCTTGAACCTACCAGGTATTAATAACTACAATATTTAACTGCTATATCTTCTGACATTTGACTGTTTACAGACAAGACATAGTTGTTTTAGTCTTTATGTAGTATTTTATAGCAGGTGTCAATAAGTTGAGTGGAAGTTTAAGTTTCATTTATTGTCAGTGGTGTTTTGTGCTGTTGGTTCATTCACGTGGTGTTTGTAGTGTATAGTAGTCTAACTCACTAGATATAGTTAAAACAGCTCTTTTAAAACCCCAAATTTCCCACTGTCTTGTATTTATAAATTTGTGTTTTGAAATTACCGCCTTTACGCTTGTATTCATATCGAGATCGGTTTCTTTATTTACGCATTTTCGATCGAGCTCGACCTGCGCGAAATTTGTTTTCAGTTTGCAGCTTCCTGTGTAAACACGTTTTTGGTTTGACTTAAAAATTTCGTTTATTTTCTAAGTGTTTGTTATTTATTTTAATTAATATGTGACTTTCAGGTAAGAATTGGGTTTATTGCATTGCATTCATTTACTCTTTAGGTATTATTTAAACGCATATTTCTTGATTTCAGTGAAATTTGACCATACTTGCACTTGTAAATTTTAGACTGTATTGTTGATCAATCTTTCCTTTATTTATAATCTTATGTGACTTGCATAGTTCAATCATTTGACCGGAAGTATATTAAGTTAACCGGAAGTAGAAATTTATTTTTGTTTTTCAGGTTTATAAATACGATACCACATTTATTTTAGTTCCACATGTGAACTACCCTCCTGTATTAAAAAGTTATTCTTCAATATTAGTCTAGCATTTCATTTGTTCAATTAGAACAACCCTCCCTTACATATTGAAAATTATTTAAAGTTACATCTGGAGTGAATAACTGAAATTTTCCATTTTTCAAATATTTTGAATGTAATTTATGAACTTAGTTTATTGTTTATTGTTTTCTATCACACTCGTCATCATGTCGAACACCAAGGAAACAGACTTAACACAGAAAGAGGAAATATCCTTCACACAGACAGAAGTTCAGAATATTGTAGATGCTTTATCAACAATGAAAATAAAGCCGAAAGCCGACACTCCACAAGACTTTTTACAGTGGATGGAATCCATGAGCAAGTTATCTGAAGTGAAAATGGAGCCCCAGTATGCTAGTGGTACCACAGCAGAATCAAAATCAGTGGTTAACATCCATTATCCAAAAATCTCATTCTTCTCTGGAAACACCAAGACAGACACAACCTACGATGTATGGAAATACGAGGTTGAGTGCTTACTTAGAGAATCGTACAAGCCAGAAGTCATACATCATGCTATTAGACGTTCTCTGAGGGGAGAGGCAAGTCGAGTTATTATGCATCTTGGCCCAGGAGCTTCCATCGCTGCCATTATGAATAAACTTGACAGCATATATGGAACAGTGTCTGAAAGAGAAGATATACTGGCAGAGTTTTATAGTGCTCATCAGAAAGAGGATGAAGAATGTGCCACATGGAGTTGTCGTCTGGAAGATATCATCAGTAAAGCACAACAGAAAGGCCTAGTAGGTTATATAGAATCACAAGAAATGCTGCGCACTATGTTCTTTAAAGGACTACGCCCAACATTGAAGGACATTTGTGGTCATTTATATGACAAATGCCTTACATTTGACAAATTGAGATCAGCGGTCAGGAAGGTGGAATTGGAGCATCAGCCTCCAACTGAAAAGAAAAAGCTGGCTACTGCAAAGTCTGCAGTTCCTGCAGATTCATCAACAAAGAGCTTTGAAACTCTTGAAGCCCAGATCCAACAACTGACTAGTGAGGTTAGGGGAATGAAGCAGCAATATAGCTATAGTTATAACCCACAGATGCCTCAGCAATACCGACCAACAAGACAATCCTTCCAGCGAGGAAGAAGGCAGGGAAACTATAGAGGAAATTCCACTCAGGCAGTTAGGATGCCACAGTCAGATGTTGTTTCAGACACACCTAGGTATAGGAATGAGTATGAAGTCCCTACTTGTTATAAATGTGGGCAGAAGGGTCATATAGCCATTGGATGCCGTGTACGAATGGATCATAGAAGAGCGTATTTAAACTCCAAGAAGCCAGCGTCTGGGGACAAGGGGTTGGCAAGAGAACAAGGAGTCCCAAAGTTCCAATAATTGGATCATCGAATGAGATCAGAGTGTCCATCAATGATATATCGTGTACAGCACTTATAGACACAGGAGCTACGGTCTCAACGATTAGCGAATCCTTTTATTATGAGAATCTTAGCAGAGATGTTGAGCTACATTCTATAGAAGAGGCCATAAGAATAGAATGTGCAGATGGACAACTTATGCCCTACATTGGATATGTCAGTGTTAATCTGACACCATTCGGCATCCCTGGACTAGACAAACTACATGATTGCTTGTTCCTTGTTGTGCCTAATAGTACATACAACTCTCATGTACCTGTATTAATAGGGACAAACATTTTACAGAACCTTATTGATGTGACCAGAGAGGAACATGGTTCTAGATTTCTACAGGAAGTAGCTATTCAGACCCCATGGTATTTAGCCTTCCGTTGCATCATACTCAGGGAAAGAGACCTACAGAAGAATGGATATGCCTTAGGACTGGTGAAAAGTGCCGAGACAACAAGAGTTATAATTCCCCCTAACAGTAACATCACTATCACTGGATATGTGGATAAGAAGATTCCATACCAAAAAGTTACTGTGATGATGCACCAGTCGTCTAAGTCTTCCATACCAGATGATGTTGATATAGAGGCAACACTACATCCATATCTATATGATGAATGCCAGATATTGCCCGTGACAATCAACAATATTACTACTAGGACCATTTCCATTTCACCAAAAGCAGTTGTCTGTGAGATTCAGCCTGTGGTCATAGAGGATCCTGGTAAATTCTCTGAGAGTGAACCAACTGCATCACCTGAGTTGGAGAGAATATTGAACAAGATTCATTTACCAGATGACATCACTGAAGAAGAAAGACAGGCTTGCAGAGAATTAATAGAATCCTATCAAGACATCTTTTCAACTGGCGATTTAGACATAGGAACAACGGATAAAGTAAAGCACTGGATTGAATTATCTGATGAGACGCCATTTAAACAGAAATACCGGAGAATACCACCAGCCATGATAGAGGAAGTGCGGTCCCATATCAAGGATCTCTTGGCTGCTGGGATAATTAGACCATCTCATTCTCCTTTCTCATCAAATGTGGTCTTAGTTCGTAAAAGCGATGGTTCACTACGCCTTTGCATTGATTATAGACAACTCAACTCTCGGACCAAAAAGGACAATTATGCATTACCAAGGATTGAGGAAATTTTGGATTCTCTCTCTGGTAATACCTACTTCAGCGTCCTTGATATGAAGTCCGGCTACCATCAGATCGAGATTGAGGAACATCATAAAGAGAGAACCGCATTTACTGTAGGACCTCTGGGATTCTATGAATTCAACAAGATGAGTTTCGGTTTAGCAAACGCCCCAGCCACGTATCAACGTCTACAAGAAGAATGTTTAGGCGACTTACATCTCAAAATTTGTTTTATTTATTTAGATGATTTAATTATTTTTTCTTCTTCTTTCAGACAACACCTTGACCGACTCCAACAGGTTTTCCAACGTATTCGAAATTATGGTCTTAAACTTTCTCCTAAAAAATGTTCTTTTTTCATGAGCAGAGTCAAGTATGTAGGACATATTGTCTCAAAGGATGGGGTTGAGCCAGACCCAGATAAAATTTCCAAAGTCAAAAACTGGCCAGTACCTACTAATTCTGAACAGGTTAGACAATTTTTAGGTTTTGCTGGATACTATAGGAAATTCACCAAAGACTTCGCTAAGGTTGCTAGACCACTCATTGATGTAATGGCTGTTGGTAAGAAACCCAGAAGCAACAGTAAGCAAAAGGCAGATCCCAAGTGGAAATGGAATCAGGAACAACAAACGGCATTTGACATCCTCAAAGAGAAACTGACATCACCACCCATCTTAGCCTATCCAGACTTCAGCCAACCATTCAAACTGCATACAGATGCATGCCAAACAGGATTAGGCGCAGTTTTATACCAAACTCAAAGTGGGTCAGATAGAGTCATCGCCTATGCCAGTCGCGGATTAAGCCGCTCAGAGAAGAATTATCCTACACACAAACTTGAGTTTCTGGCGCTGAAATGGGCAGTCACTGAGAAATTTGCAGACTATCTTCAAGGAAAAGACTTCACCGTTTACACCGATAACAATCCCCTTACTTATGTTTTAAGCAGTGCTAAACTGGATGCTACAGGACACAGATGGATTTCTTCTTTGGCTAGTTACAACTTTAAAATTCTTTACAAACCTGGAAAAACCAACATAGATGCTGACAGCTTATCTAGACTCAAGGAAACTGAAACTATTTCTTCAGAGTCCATCAAAGCCATATGCCAGATAGGTCAACCTTATGCAGAGACATTATGTGTAGATGAAGAGATATGCCAGTTTATGCAACCTGTCAGTGAACCTGGAGAGCATTTTGATATTGTTTCATTACAAGATGATGACAGTACTATTTCTTATTGGAAACAGCAAGTCCTCACAGGAGTAAAACCTAGTAAGAACTCGCTCCAGACTGAAAGTGACCTTATTTTTCATCGGAATTTTTCAAAACTAAAGATAAAGGATGGAATATTGATACGAGAAGTTAGAAATGACGGAAACACATTAGAACAGCACATCATTCCAGCCTCATCTATTCCAACAGTATTGAAGTATCTCCACAATAAGATGGGACACCTAGGCCGTGATAAGACTTTATCATTGGTACGACAAAGGTTTTATTGGCCAGGAATGCAAAAGGATGTAATAACTTGGATTGAGAATTGTGAGAGATGCATCAAGAGTAAGAGGCCAGCTGAGAAGACAGAGCTAGTAAACATCACTACATCTCAGCCGTTAGAGTTAGTATGCATGGACTATCTTACTTTGGAACCATCAAAAGGAGGAATCCAGAACATTTTAGTTATTACAGATCATTTTACTAAATTTTCTATTGCAGTTCCAACAAGAAACCAGACAGCTAGGACAACAGCAGAGGCCATCTTCAACAATTTCATCATTCATTATGGAATTCCTGAGAAACTTCACTCTGATCAAGGTACAAATTTTTGTAGCAATATTATTAAAGAATTATGTTTACTTTTAGGTATTTCCAAATCCAGGACCACTCCATACCATCCAATGGGAAACGGAATAACCGAGAGATTTAACAGAACATTGTTGTCCATGTTAGGAACACTAGAGAACTACCAGAAAGCTGATTGGAAGCGACACATCAATAGCCTGGTACATGCATACAACTCTACCGTAAATGACACAACAGGATTTACACCATTTTTCTTGATGTTCGGGAGAGAACCGAAGTTGCCTGTTGATGTAATTTTTGGACTGTCAAAATCCTATGATGAAGACAAATGTACTAGCAAATATATTGCTGAGATGAGAAAAAGATTGCAAGAAGCATATAAGCAAGCGCAGACAGCTATAAAATCTTCTCAGCTAAGACAAAAATCCAACTACGACATAAGAGCCAGAGCAGCCACATTGAATGTTGGAGACAGAGTGCTCGTCAAAATTGTGGCTTATGATGGCAAGCACAAAATATCGGACAAATGGGAAGATGTACCATATGAGATTCTATCCCAACCGAACAAGGACATTCCTGTTTTCAAGGTGAGGCGAGAGGATGGCGAAGGACGATGTAGAGTTTTACACCGCAACCAATAGGATCCAAGTTTACATCCTCTTTACCTCCAGTACCCAAACCTAGACAAAGAAGGAAGGCAGAGAAAAGAGAAGAAACTGTAATTATTAACACAAATGATTCTCTTTATATTTCAGATACTGACAGTGAATTCTCATTTATAGGTAACCCTATATTGTCCGAGAATTTACTAACAAAGACCTCCTGTCAAGAAGGTGACGACCTTTCTTCGACCGGAGAAGCTTCAGCACCTGGTTCAGAAGAGGACGCTCTTCAGCAGCAGGAGCCTGCGAATCAGACTGAGGGTGAGGTTGAAGAAGAAGATGAAGTAGTAGAAGATGAAGTTGTTGAAGAAGCAGACGATAATCAGCCTTCCATAGATGAAGATGAACCAAATCACGATAACCCAGTTCCCGCTCCGCGGAAGTCGGCAAGACAGAGAAAGGTTCCAGAATGGACCAAGGACTATGTTATGATGACACAAGGTCAACCAGAACCAGACTGGCTACGTAGAGCCAACTTTGTAAAAGAGATGATGAAGGATGGATTATTACAGAGTGTGGACTCTAATTTGTGCCAGATGACTCTTTTAAATATTGTGTCATCATCTCAGTAATGTGTTTTTAATATTTGTACATATCTGTTATTTTATGCCGTAAACTTCACCGTTGAATGACGTGGACGTCATTCTGCAACCAGGGGGAGGTTGTAGTAGTGTGGAATATATTTAATAAATAAATGTTTTAAATTAAATGTAAATAAATTAAACTACCATAATAGATAAAATGTTGGATCCACCCCTTTATTTCCCTAGCCCTACCTGTAAACTTGTACACCTGTATATAGATAATTAGTTACCTTAGGGCAGGTCAGAGGTTTTGGTGTTTTATTGGTTTTCATTGGTAGTTTGTTTATAAAGTTGGATCTCATTGGTTTTATTCTTTTGGTCATTGGTTTTACCGCCAAAATATTCATTCTTTGTCTTGTTGAGAGATTACCAAGACTTCATTTTATGGACTCTCTCATGACCTTGACTTGGAGACTGACTTTTTTTCCACTTTTGGTAAGTACTAACTTTTCTTTATTGCTAATAGTTAATTAACTTGTGCAGTCTGTAAATATGCAATTATAATAAATCCCTTCTACACTTTATATTAATAGAATGAATGACCATGAGAGAAAGATATTTATTTTTATGATTGGAATTATTGATTTTGAAGATCAGTAATGTTATATATTGAAAGTGTAAATTGTTATGTTCAAATTACACTATATATTTTATGACCAAGATATTTGGTTACTTTGTTCAAAGTGAACAGATGATTTTTTTTATTTTAATGGAATATATATTTTAATGTATACTGTATTAAATTACAGAATCCATATACATGTTTATGACATCATACATACATGTGGTAATTAAAGCCTTTTCCCACAGAATGGTGAGGAACTATTTGTTTTAATTAGTAATATTTTTTATGCCTTTATATGGGAGAAAATATGTAAAGTCTATGTATCAGTTGTAAGAGTTATCTCCCTTAATTGAGAGTCAATGTACATATAAAGATACATCTTGTCTATAATATATCATTATCAATATGTTATCTATGAGAGCTAGATGTATGTATAAATGATGCATTAATAGGATTGATTTGATGTGATATAATATTGTTGTTTTATTATATTTCAGGGCTATGTTAATATATACTGCTCACTGTGTCAATAAAATAGACCTGAACCTGACAGAGGCATGCTTGTTTATTTACACAAATCCCTGTTACACAAAGAAAACCAGTTTTGGTTAACATGAGCACAATCTGATGTAATCATACTTATTCATGCCCCATTGCACACAAGGTGGTGTACAGTTACTCAAACAATGGAAATACATCTTTTCCTTTAAAGTGTTCAAACGCAGCAAGGATCGCTTTTTAAATAATACCTAGAATAAATATTAGTAGACATTTACTTGCGATTTTTTGTCTTTTTAAAATAAAAAGCAAAATTGTGAAAAGTTGTTTTGAAATAGCTAAATAAAGGTACCTGAGGTAGGTAAATAAAGCTACAGTAGGTAATTTTAGCTATGTAGCTAAATGTACTGATTGTACTGGACCTGCTAAAGCTAGAACAAAAAAATCACTCTTTTTTGAAGATTTTTCGTTCTGGGGTTTTATTTGCTACTTACTGATAAAAAATCATGTGCTTGTGGTCTGAATACGAACAGTAAAACAGATCCAGCACTATCCGGTTAGTCGGTTTAAGAGCTCTACGGAGCTCATGTTGTTATCATGGTTATGCTATGTTCAAAATGCCGACAGGCGGCTTTAAATAAAATTTACCTACTAACTATCCATCAATTGATCTGTTGATTAAGCAATATAACTTGTAGCTTTCATAAACTTGGCTATTCAGTATAGCTAGATTAATCTATTGAAATGTTTATTTTTTTCATTAATATGCCTATTTTCAATACCTGAATAAAGCAATAGGCCCCCTATAGCTAATTCCAGAGATTATAACAAACCATGTAAACACTCACTTGAAAAATAACCATATTAAAACTTGATGCAGTCAACACTAGATGAAAATTTAGGTGTAACATTTGTAATAACAATCAAAAATTGTAATACAAGTTATAAAAACATTATCATTTGAAATTGAAATGATTTAATGGTGAAAAGGGAGCTTTTTTTTTTTTTTTTTTAGACAAGTAGAGGATCAAAACTAGGATTTTTTTTTTTAAACAAGTAGAGGGCCAAAACTAGGAGTTTTTTCAGACAAGTAGAGGGCCAAAACTACCACTGAGGCATTCAAGGGCTTTGACAATTGGATTTGAACTTTTTCTAACATAAGCAACTTCAATATTCCCTTGCCTTGAAATATGATTCTACCAATAGCCCTGACAGCACGTGCATTATGTAAATACTACATCTGAAAGTATATTTAAAATTGAATCTTTGACACTTTTTTAATTATTAATAAATTTATAGAAATATTCATTTTGATAATTTGTTATGAAATGTGAAGACATTTGGATCAAAAGATGATAATCCTGGAAGTGAAAAGAACTAAATGATGGGCCCAGTTCACCAGAGCACTGATGGTAAAGTCATGGTCATAATTCTAGCCAAGCCAGGAGCCAAACAGAATGCAATTACTGGTAAGTCTAAGTGACACAATGAATGTAAACACAGTCATGGATACTTAATCATCTTAATGAATATGTTCATAATAGGAAAACTAAGTTTATCTATATCCACTGAAAAATTGCCTATATACAGTCAAACCTCGTTATCTCGAACTTAATGGGACTGAGAGAAAAGTTCGAGATATCCGAGGATTTGAGATATCCAGGGTAAAATACTTAAAGAATAAGGGGTTGGGACTTCCAAATCACTTCGAAATATCCATGGTATTCGAAATATCAGTGTTCGAGATACTGAAGTTCCACTGTATATACAACTGAAAAACTATTATTAGTAAAAAAGTTTGTATTATACAGAGTCCTTTGTCACTTTCACCCATTCATCTTGTTCAACTTGGAGACAATTTTGCCCAGTTTTAAATTCACCCAGGTATAGCTGTATTATAGAGATAATGCCATTTACTTTGAATTTGTCCCATTTGAAATTGGCCCACTTACAACAAGGGCAAAAGAGATGAAACTAAAACGGAGTGAAAATTTTTTACTGTATACAGTAAATGTATGATGACTATTTTAACATTGTTTTTCTCAAAGATATCTCTGAGGCAGGTATTGGTGTACAAGTAGCAGCACCACCTGTAGATGGTAAGGCCAACATGGAATTGGTTAAGTTCATGGCCAAGACACTGGAAGTCAGGAAATCTGATGTGGTGCTGGAGAGGGTAGGAAGTGCAGTAGTATTTAGAATTTGTATTTCATGTAACTTGAAATGACGAAATGCTTGAATTTATTTACAGCAATTTGCACAAATTTTAACAATCAATGGTATCTGAATCATAGAATAATTTTTTGTTTGTCCTCAGTGAAAATGAATTTATTTTTAGGGTTTTACTTTCATTAAATAAACTATATGTTAATTTAAGGCTCACATGTTCCAAGTATAAAATTTTGTCATTATTTGTCTATAAAGGGCTCAAAGTCTCACTTGAAAACCCTGGCAATCACTGGTAAGAGCAGAGAAGATGTGCTGGGCATGATCAGATCTCAGATAGAGACAGACCACTGATGCTCATAAAAACTTCCTAGGATTCTTCTACATGCAGTGTGGATTTGAGTAGAGGTAAACTGTACAAGATAATCACACAGAAGTAGACAACTTTATAGTCTTTATTTCAGTATATTTTGTACAACATCTTAAGCTTATCGCTGGCAGATTATTGCTATATTCAAAATATACTTGTGTATAAGTTTTATCTCAAAATATTCTTTACATTTTAGACACATTCAGTATTTATTTGTACCAAAAGAAAAATTCATAAATCTAAAACCAAATTTTTATGAAAATCACTATCATCCATGCCATAAATTTATAATGCATTACCAATACATTCTACACCTTGAATGGTTCACTAATGAAATACTTCCTTGCTGATGGTCCGTACATTTGAATAGCATCAGCTGGCTTCATGGTTCTCCCTCTCTCTGGGTTATTCCTGACATTTAAGTCCTTGTGTGAAAGGTAAGATGCTCCAAGATTCTCCTTGTTTTCAGACATGGAACTAGGCCCATTGTTCTGATCCAGCGAATGGAACAAAGGAAATTCGTTTCCTGTAACTTGATCTCCCTTTTTGACGCTGTTGAAGAAGCTTGGTTGACTTGGGTATCTGTTATATGGAGTGTACTTTGTATACAAGCCTTGATTTGGTGTTGAAATTTTTATATTGTGCATTTTTGGAGATTTTGTCTCTTCTGGGATTGGCTGTAGAGCCTGTCGTCTGCCACTATTCCTTCTGATTGGTTCCTGGGACCAGAGACCTTTACAGCCAATAGTCTCATCCTTGATCTGAGCTTCGTATCTCAGACGATCTTTATAAGCTGCCCATGTGACAGAAGTGATGTCGGAATCGGACAGCTTCTCAATGTTCTCCTCCTGGCTCTGTTTTCTATAAATAAACCCATAGTTATTAACTGGCAAAATTATCCTACATTGTTGGTCAGAAACAGGGCCTTTAAATTGTGGGGAATATGGACTATATGATCCTCAAAAGAGTTTTTTTTACCTTTAGCAATATGTTTGATAAGTTGGGTATACCTCTTACAGTAGTCCACACATCCTATGATACAGGCTCGGAAGAAAAGCCATGTGACCTCAAGAATGGAGACGATTGAGACTCCTATCAATAAAGAGGACACGCCTCCAATGTTTGCAAGCAGCTGAAGCAACTGGAAGTTCAACAAAACATGGTTACATTTTAGAACAAGTTGTGATTTCTTTTGGCTTCAATATTTAGTAGATTTAAAGATGTGTGACTAACATTAAGTTTAATTTGAAAACTCACAGAAGATGAGTAGCTCTCTGTTATTCTTGTTTCTCTTGCATTCCGCATGTCAATTGATACCTTCACCATAGAAGATCTGCAAGATTTTAGATGTAGCACATGAAAAACATACAAATTGTCAGTTTTAAGGTATGTCACTCGTGAAATTTGTTATATCAAGGATTTTTTGAGAAGTATATTTTGGATAAGTACTCATATAGTATGACTCAAAATCGCTGAGAAAATGGGGGGTCAGTGTGCATCTAACTGAGCTACGGTACAATTAAGTTGACCTTTTTGCACTTAAATTGTAACTCGTTGGTTAATCACTTTAACCATTATCATATTTTATCAGATGTAACCATGGCAATAAACATAATCTTATTTTACGTAAAATAGTTTGAATAAGATTTATCATTGAACAAATCATGCAAATTAATGCGCGTAAATTATTGTGTGACCTTTTTGCACTAAAAAAGTCTCATATTTGGGGTATTAAAAATCTAAATAGGCAATAGAATATTTTCTTGTATCAAACTTTTTACGACTTAAGTGCTGATCGGTCAAAAGTATCAAGTAGTTTAAAATAATGAAAGAAAAAGTTGGGGCCAGTGATGTAAATTTTGAAATATTGGTCAAAATATGGATTTCTGGCAAAAAACTGTGTAAAGTTTATCTCGGCTTCTTTAATATATCTTCATTTTTTGGCAAAGTTTGTTGACAGAAGGTGTAAATTTTGTTATAAAAATATAAATTGAGACCTCTATTTTATATTCCAGGCATATCATAACGGAAAATATTCCCTGAGTAAAAGTATGTGAGGCTAAAGTTCCAAGATATTAGATTTAATAAATGTGTAGATTTGCAGAATTTCTGCTTAATATCCTTCCACCACAAGAAATAGTCCCTTACAAATCTTGCTTCTTTATGAATTTTTGAGCAGTTTTTAAATTGAATGTTGAACATTTTAGATTGTTTAATTGAAATATGTTATAAAGATTGAATTGATATAAATAGTTTTTAAGTAAGAGGTTCTGACTGAACTTTTCTAAAAGGCTGACGAGTGACATACCTCAAGACTAGACTTAACAAGGCAGTATGAGGTATGAGGAAAAAATGATAGTTTGACCTTATTTGACTGGCAGTCCTGACTAATCCCTGAGTTTGTAAGTAGTTTTGTTCATGCTTTAGATTCCCCTCAGATGGCCAGGGCAGGGACATATCTCGAGATTCTACAAGCGTAGTGCTGAAATATTAAAGACTTTAGTTAAGATTTAAATGGATGTGTTCTTTTAGTAACTGGCAGCAATAGCTATTCACCAGTTTTCCATCTATTTTATTCTCTGTGATGTTTATTATACCACCCGTAGTGATTGGGTTGTCCATTCTTCTGTACATCCATGACACTTCAAGGAGCCTATACCCATCTCTCATTTGCAACTTCTCCTATATCACTGAATAAAATTTAATCAGACTTTCACAGAATCTTTAGTACATAGTGCCATTGTACACCTATTTAAATTTTCAACCTGTAGCAAAATATGGAGACTGCCATTCTTTCTATAACATTGGGAGTACCTATCTCTTATCCACAACCCCTATATTACTAATAAAATTTGATGAGACATTCATCGAATCTTTTTTGCATAGTGCCATTGTGCACCTACTAGTGTTTTAATTTTCAACTGGACAGGTATTTGCTGTTTTCTTTAGCAAAACATGCACGCTGCCACTCTTTGTATGATATGAGGGGAGAGGGTGTTACCACAGGCACTTCTTTCGTATACGGGGCACCCCCAACTCATTTTTACGACCAGAGACGTCTGAAACGATTTAATTGACAAGAAAAAAAATCTTTCAAAGCGAACGATGTCATTTTAAAGTAGGTTAATGATTGATATATTAACAAAATACGACCTTTAAGCGGTATGCCTGAAATTGAGTTAGGTACCTTGTGGTAAAAATAAGTAAGGGGTGCCCCGTATACGAAACAAGTACCTGTGTTTCTCGTAGCAAAACCTGGACACTACCATTCTTTTTATAATACTTGGGGTACCCATCTCTTATCCGGAACTCTTTCTATACTAATGAATGATTTAATGAGACATTCACAGAATCTTTGTTACATCCCTAGTGTCATTGTACACCTCCTATTTTCAGTTCTGATTGGACATATATTTGGGATTTACCATAGCAAAACATGGATTATTTACCATAACAAAACATGGACTATTTACCACAGCAAAACATGGACTTTGCCATTATACTCATATGGGAGAGGGTATCATTTTGTGAGCTAAGCTTCCTGACACAGCATCTCTAGTTTTCTATAATATACATGTACCTGCATGGACTGGGACATGAGCATGGCAACTTTCCATCTGAGGCCAGATATGAGAGAACCGAATAACACAGGACTGTAAACAAAAAAAATATAATAATAGACAGCACGTATGTACAAGTACACTATTTTTAGCAGTAGTAAAAATTGTTTTACTTTATTAAAATGTTCAAATACATGTATTAACAATATTCTATAGCACTTGCATTCAAACTGCACGTTAAGACGGCATTTCTGTGTGCTGTTCATTTCAAAAGACTGTCGACATTCACAGTAGATTTGGGACAAATTGTCGATACAGCCAGAAATGCATTTCTGAAAGAAGAAAAAATCAGAATCAAGGATTTATATTTTGAAAACAAAATACAAGAGAGAGAGACTTTAACCCCACCCTCTTTCCATTGAAAATTAAATTTTTATCATTAATTTTATTATTAGACAAAATGAATTTACATGCTACACGCATGTACTTAAATATTTTGCCAAGCTAAAAATTTTCGTATCAGTACAGTGTTTTTGTCGCACTGGTACATGTATATACGGTGATCATTAAAAGACCGAAAGTTAATTTGATGATCGATAACAGCCCCAGACAAGGTACCTTGGGATATACTATACACAGAGTCTAGGAACCATCAGTCAATCAATTTCTAGTAAGAGATAGGATACAAACAGAAGGGTTTTTAACTGATACTTTACCTGCTTGTTGTATTGCCGCATATTTGTACATCCTTCCTGTTTTGTTCTGACAATCTATTCATGACGTAAAAATAAAAAAAAGTTAAAACGTGTATACTTTCATCAATTCTTAAAGTTAAGGAGGCTGGGGGGTCAACAAATTAACCATCAGATATAACTTAATTTTTTAGACATGATATCTTAAGCTGTCAACTATCATTTGGCAAACAAAAATTTCATACATTTTAGTTTTAAAATTTGATCATTTTTGTATATCTTTATATGGAGCTCTTCTTCTAAAGGAGATCAATATAGTCTGAAAATGGCCACAACCACCCAGCCCTCTTAAAAAGTTTCATGTTTCTTAATTGGGCGTAAAAGTTATGTTTTGAATTATTAGAATGAAAATATGTTACCACATTTTGCAGGTCAATGACGTAATGTGATCCAGGGGCCACTGAATATCGTGATCCTTCTGTGACGTCATTTTTCTGTGTGTGGAGGAATATAATGGCGCCTCGGTCTGGACTCAATACATCAATATACTCATCCGACTCAATGTTTAGTCTTAGTTCAAGTTCACCTACAGAAAAAAAAAAGAATCCAATCATTGTCAATGTAATGAGCTTAAGAGTGTGTAAATCACTGTCATTCTTATGGGACTCCTTGTTTTCTTTTCATTATTTTTCTGCGCTTAGGCATATTATGCTTTTCTCAACTTTTGCAGATTACTGTTAAAATGAAAAGCATATATGACATATTGTATGAGATATTGTAAGTATTATAATGAGTAATTTAATGGTTAATAAAAATATTAAATTGAATGTGAGCATTAATTTGTATGAAAAAAAGTACTGTGATGAAACACTTGCACTGTTAATTGAATACAGTGTGTTGAATTGTGATCCGCCACACATACCTAGAGGTTTTATATTAGAAGAGGGTATTGTAAAACATCGTCCATAATTCTCCTTAACAATCTCTTCAGTGACCCTGAAAATTTATTATTTGTCAAATTAAAAAAAAGAAAGAAATAAAAAAAAAAACTCGGATTAAGAGAGGAGACATCAATTGAAAGGCATAATAATGCAAGTAAAGTTGATCTATTTATTTGCCTGTACTTTCCCCATGTGGACAAAGCAATAGTTCAAGAGCATTAGAAGTTAACACATTTTATTCCCCCTTACATTGGCCTCTCTTAGTCTTTGAAGATTATTTAGTAAATAAAGATATAGTACTTTTGTCCTATTTTCATTTATCTATTATTTAAAAGTCTACCTAAAGTAAAAGGTAAAGATAATGAACAGTGATCGATCTAAAAAAAAATCCACAAACTATACAAATATGTGAAGAAGGCTAACCATTAAAAACTATGAAAGTACTTTTTGTATTAAATATTATTAAAATTCTTGTATAATTCTGTTATTCAATTGACCATTTCAGTTACATTATTTACAGTGATTAACTATCATAGGTGAATAGCAAAGGGGAATAACTTCTTTCAGTAGAAATGAATAAATTGACCAAAGGGTACAGAATTTCAAAATCTGGTAAAAACACCCTTGCTTATTTCTACTTTATATACTCTGTTTGCATCCAAGACACCCTGGAGCAGGGAGGATTTTTAAAGAAATGATCATTTTCACTATAGATTCAATATAGCCCTGCCTTAATACCAGAGCCCCTGACAAAAGAGCCAATATAAGCACATTTTGGAAGAGGCACCCTTGCTAATCATTATCATGCACTTTGTATGTTTCCTTAATAACAATGGGCAGAGAAGATTTTCAAAGAAATAATGCATTTTTACGGCTATATATTCAAAAAAGCCTCACCCTAACACCAAAACCCCTGACCCCGGGGTTATGAATGTCAAATTTTCTGAATAGTCATCCTTGCTCATCATAACCAGCAATTAGATTTTATGTTAAATACCCAAGGGCGGAGAAGAAGATTTAAAACAAAATTATGCATTAAACCTATATATTCACCAGACTCCCACCCCTCCCCCGCCCCATATGAACCTCTGATCCTAGGACCACATGTTTCGTAATTTTGGAAGAGGCATCCTTGCTCATCATAACTATATACATGTACTTGTTTTATCTGCTAAATATCTAGGAGCAGAGAAGAAGATTTTCAAAGAATTAATGCAATTTTACTATGTAATCAATTGAGCCCCACCTCCTGCAGAATCCCTCATCCTGGGGCCACACATTTCACAATTTTGGAATAGGCACCCTTGATCATCATAACCATACATCTAGTTTATCTGCTTTATATACAGGGGGAGAAAAGAAGATTTTTTAAAGAATTTATGCATTTTCACATTTCTCTACTACAGTAGTATATGACCATTAGAACCCCGCCCTTACTACAGAACCCATGACCCTGGGGCCGTGAATTTCACAATTTTGGTAGAGGGTTCAATGCTTATTACAATCATGCCAACAGTTTGACTGCTTGATGTCCAGGAGTAAAAAGATTTTTAAATACTGCACTCATTTTGATGGTTTCGGTCCCACCCTTAAGGCCCAAGAGGGGCAGGGACCATGGAATTCACAATTTTTGTTCCCCTTCACATATAGATGATCATGTTCTATGCCAAAATTGGTTGAAATTGGTTCAGAGAAGAAGCTGACAATGTTCAAATGTTAACGCACGACGACAAACGAAAACGGATATTGCAGTAGCAATTTAATAGGTCACCTGAGTGACTCAGGGTTTTTATTTGAGTGGGTATGAACACCCCCCCCCCCCCGGAAAAAGTCTTGGATCGATCCTCCCTTGATAACTGTAAACTACTTACAACTGTAGTTTATGAATCGCCTAATGAGGGTCTGTCATAACATTCTAAGTTACTGAACAAAATATAAAGAGAGGATAAGTTAAAAAACAAGCTACATGTATTTGGTGAGTCTTCTTCGATATACTGTATCCACAATTTGTACTCCTTTTGAGATTTAGAAAAATTTTGGTTTAAACTTCTTTCTGAAAATCGGATTTTTTAATGATGTTCGTATTGTTTCAACAAAGCTATATACAACGTCATCATTATTCTGAATGTTTGCTTGTTTGTTAAACGTCCCTTCGAGATTTTTTCACTCACATTGAAACGCCACCACTTGCCGGTGGAGAGCTGCAAATATAGACCTGTACCCAGCACTTACGGCCTTTGGGCTGTGAGGAATCTTTTTTCGTGCTTCTATTGCGACAGGGGACCTCGATTTATAGGGTTTCATCCGAAGGACCGGTCTCCACGTTCCGCAGTGGGATTCGAACCCGCGACGTAAGGATCAACTCATTACGCCGTGATTCTAGAGCAAACGCTCTAAATTGAATGATATTTCGTATTAATTTAGACAATGTCACATATACTACAGGTCCTCACCTTTTCCGACAAACTTCAAATTAAGCATGCAGAGATTGGGTTTTGTTCTTCATTTAAAATGAGGAAAGGGTATTGATATCGCAAAAACATGATCTACTGAAAAAAAATTATCGCAAAATTCAATGATTGGGAAAGAAGTAATATATATATATATATATATACATGTACATATACAATGTACATATTCTTTCGAATCAGGAAAAAAAGCATACCGGTCTTGTAGAGTAAGCTTTCCCCTCTAACCCCCCCCCCCGGAAAACTGGCTCTAGAGTAAGATCCCCCCTGGGAAAGTAGGCTCTAGAGTAGGATTTCCCCCACGGAAAAATGACTCTGGAGTAGGATTTCCCCTATGGAAATCCCACACCAGATTCAATATTTCGGGGGGGGGGGGGGGTCCTACTCTGTGTAATAGTTATAGCGTGCGATTTCCCACAGAGCCAACCTCCCCCCCCCCCCCCCAAAAAAAAATACCATGGCTGTACTTATGTATGAGGGGAAAGAGGAAGGCATATTGTTACAAGTGTTCCCTCTACAAAATGGCGACCATTTCCATATTGCAATATACGAAGTTTTTCTCCATAAGGTCCTTTTTTTTTAGCTTAAAATCTTATTCTTTTCATCTGGTCACACCTCGTTTCTAAAATAAATTGGTACAATATAATTGGTTGGACAAATTTTAACTGTATTCATAGAAACAAAAAGGAATTTTTATTAAGTGGATTTTTTCTCTCCAATTTCATTTCAAACTACATGAACATAATATTGATGTATAAGTGTCTCTCCAAAATTCCAGTGTTCATGGATTTAAAAATGTGTCAATTTGAAATTTTGTAAAACAAATTAGAGAGTATTGCTTTCAAATCCAATATAACATCGCTTTGATTATGGGGACATACTTGTGCATGTTTCGGCTTGCAAAGGCAGTATTTCTTGTATTGTTGTATTTATTGTTTTGGCTTTTTTTCCATTTGAAGAACTACCCAATTAAAATACTTACAAAAAGACATGTGGAACCTTTTGATAGCATAAATTTTAGAATTTTCTTACACACTCTTTGTAAAATGGATCACTGGCGGTTGGATCCGCCATTGTGGATGGGTCCATAGATGAAATACTGGGCCTTTACAGGGCAAACAAATTATCAAATAACTAAAAGTGACCAGATTTAATTTTAAAATTCGTGAGCAAACACGTACCTCTGCACCGATAGAGGGTGTTGAGACATCGAGGCTTACGATTTTTTGAGTGACTAATTTTGGGTTGAAGATCAATAATTTGAACAATTTGATTTATATATTTGATTTGATTTATATTTTGAGATTTCATACTAAATTCGACAATTCTTGAGTCAAAAACACTCATATTTCCATAAAAGAATCAGTTGATTTTCATATAAACTTATATCCAAATATTGTTGATATGATTTAAGCATTGATAATTAAGAGAGGAAATCCTACTCTGAGAAAGAAAGAGGGGGATTTGGCTCTAGTGTGACATTTCCCCTCGGGGGAAATCCTAAAGTACAGATTCCGGAGGAAAAGCTGGCTATAGGAGAAATCCTATTATACAACACCGGTACATCTACTAGAGATTTTTTTTAAAAGTGTATCTTATAAATATTAACATTGATATTTATGTAACAAGGATGGGTTCAGGACATTTTCCTGGAAGAAAGGGGAGGGATGTTCCATACTGAATCAAAAAGAGACTCGTAGGGGGGGGGGGGGGTTACAATCTTATCTCATGGGCAAGTGGACAAGCCGCTTACCTTGATATCCAGGTGGGGGTTATTCTTAAATTAATAGGCAGATATTCAAAGCCTTGTATCCCAAAAGAATCTCGTTTTTGTCACTATTGTAAAAATGTTGTAGAAAATGAAATACATTTCATATATGACTGTCCTATATATAAAGATTTGCGAAAAAAGTATTACCCTTTGAACATCTATAATTTAAATGATAACATGTTGAAGGAAAATCATTGTAAAGTACTTTGTAATCCTGACAATGCAGTTCATTCTAGAAGGCTATGCGAATTTTTACATGAATGTTTTGAATTGCCTTCTAAAAATAGAGCATAATAATACATATTTAATGCATCAATTAGTTCATCTCTGTCCATATTATACTGTTTATACTATTTGCATAATGATTATGTATAACTTGAAGTTGTAAACGTACTTGACTTCACTGATTTGTACATGTACTTTAGTGTATGTTTTAGTAATCTGAAAACACACTGTATTTTTTCATTTTGTTTGTAACATGGTTGTATGCCAACATGTTTGATGAATCAATAAATAAATTGAATTGAATATATGTGTAAATTTGATAAAACTGAAAATCCGTCTATGAGTAATATGGATTATAGTGCATTAATTGTTATTCTAATTAAGATTGCAAATAGGGTCTTTGTATAAAGTTCATTTGTTACTAACTAAAACATCAGAGTTAAGTTGCGAAAGAAACACGTAATGATGTTAAATAATCAGCGAAAAAGCATTGGGTCTGTACATGGAGCGATATTACATCACTCAGAAGTTCAACAGCAGCTTAGACTGTTTTGGTATATTATATTGATCAATATTTATAGCCGATAAAAACGTTCACCAAAACAAATAAAAGTCTATGTAAGTAAGCTTTATCAATTTTGGTATCCAACAAAGGCCACCTCCGAGAACAAGAAAAATATTACATAATTCGACAGCGGTTTTCTACGCGCACTACCCTCCAATTTGTAATCTTTTGTTACGTTTCATCCTTCGATTACGAAGAAGTACGTGGTGACATTTTATTTTGATTTTTGATGTTGTGCATGACATAATTTTTATTGGACTTGAGGATTTCAAAATTTTAGCATGTTTCACACCGACTTCTTTCGACAAATTTTCTTCATATGGGAGAGAGAGAGAGAGATAAAAATGTATTTTTATAAAAATGTAAAACAAATCCAATATTCATGAACTTTTTTTTAACAAAAGGGGGAAAAGGGGAACTGATTTTTTGTCCTTCGTGTGACGTCCACTGAAAGTATTAAAAGTCATCGTTGATACTTTTTTAATACCTGTAATGTGAGGTGATGCCTTTGTCAGCTGTTTGTCAGACACTTATAAAATAATTAAGACGCAACTGAATAATAAAAAGAGGAGTCTGATTTTCATCAAATTGTCGTAGCTTCTGTTTATATGTCATGTAAAATGGTTGAACTATGCTCGATATCATAAAGCTGTTTCAGTATACCGAGTACAGTGGAGGATTTAGAGGGCTCATATTCTGATGATCCTTGACCCCCATCCCCTAAAAATGGCCGATTTTTTTCTGGAATGGTTATAACCTTGTTCTTTGATGCTTCTATACTTCTGAGAATAAAAACATGAGTCCCCCCTTCCCCTGAAGATAAGTGTTATTTGAATAAAACAACAAATAAATTAACAAATAACCAACTGCAAAGGGTAATATTTGTCAACATCCATTAACTCTTCTTTAAATGATGGTGTACTTTTTCTTTCTTGTAAAACTAAGAGGAGGGGTATTTCTTCCCTGCAGAACTTATTATTCATATTCAAATATTTTCCGACAACTGCATCTAGGAGCAAAATACATGTACATACAAGTTAAGTATAATTCATTTTAAACTCTCATCTACTTACTCCTTGCAAGATCGTCTGTCATACAAACATTGAACTAAAGTCTCATTCGTTTGATGACCGTATTTTAGATATTCGTCTTTGCTTGGACTCGCAGCTCTTTGGAGAACCCAGAATCCGTACTTCAGGCTAGCTTTGTATGCGTTATCCCAGTCATTCGGAGAGGACATGGATGAAAAGGGCAGGAAATCGGCATCAGCCTCTGCTACCAATTTATCAAGCTTGTCTTTGTCCAGCAAAGTTTGGGCAAAAGAATAAAATGGAGTGAACTTGATTGCTTCGACTCCTTTTTTGTTTGAAGGTGGGATTAACATTTGTGCAGAAGCTGGAAGAGCAATCAGGTCGCGAAACCTACTACTAGAAGATGAAACAACTGAGAATCGCAGCTTGTTTTTATTGCACACGGTTACATATACCGGAACGGACGGTCTGTCGGACCGGGATTCAATCTGATAGCTGGATAGTTGCTGTAGATACACAGAAAAATTGAGATAAACGAAAAACACAAATCCACCAAACGCCACACAAGGTACAATGATCCAGATGATGGATTCCAAAACGTTTGCTGTTGTTCCAGCTAACCTGAGTCCATGGATATCTATAGCAGAAAACCAGTGCTTTACAACCTCGAAATTAGAAGTAGAATTCGTGAAGTCATCACTTGTTACGTCACGAAGCGTTTTCCATTTTTTCTTTTGCTTACTCTTATCACATTCCCCATTTCCAACACTCTCAGACTCCGATATGGAGGTAAAATATCTATCACACCTGTCCTTCCAGGCCCCGTAAGAATCCTCGTCCGCCATGTGTCATTCAGATCTGATACCTTATCCTACTATTACTGCTCTTTCATCCAGACTGTTGAATCCCAGCTCAACATCTAGACTGTCTTATACATATATAATATTCATCGATGTTACCTATCGGAATTCGAAATTATACGGAACAGATACTGAAAATCTGTTAGGTATACAGTCACGGTGTTACAATTGTCCGTAAATAAAATGCACTGACACAATGTTCAACCAAACGAAATCCAATACAATAAAACACTTTGGAGAAGTGACAATTAAAAGGGCGAGCAAAAATACGTATTATTCAATCCCGCACAGAAATCGCAAAGATTGCAGAACAAGATTTCTTTTCAGTTATTGTGACTGTTCTTTTGACGTCTCTAGTCCAGAGCGTCTCCCTTATTCCAGCCATATTGCTGTAAAGTTTAAATTCCCTAATCCAATTGCACAGTGATTTTTCCACAGTTTTGTGTGTTCGGAGGAAGGCGTTTCCCTCAACACTGACGAACTGAAAATAGTCATTTTTAGGGATTAACAATCCCCCCCCCAAATAAGGGTCATGTATCGTTATACTATTTTCGTTTAATTCAATATTCTAGATATATACTCATCCATAGAAATAATATTCGAGAGTTGCTCACCGTAAGTAGCTTTCTTGTGAATTATTGATAATATGGAGGTATGAAGGCATAATAGGACAATAAAAACGACCCACACAAAGAAATTGGTATTACTCTAACTGCTCAGTTTATAACAACTGGGAAAGCTTTTCAGACCAAACTACGTGCATTATATAAACCTGTTTAAAAACTTTTATCTGAAAATTATAAAACCTACGAATTTTGGGAGTGTTTGGTCAGGTCCGTAGAACGCTTGGGATGGGGAGGGGGAGGGCACCTCTTTTTCTGAGCATAGTATTTTGCTATAGTAAATTTTCCTTTAAATGCTGGTCCCCCTCCCACTTTTTGTTGCTGTAAGGCCAAGCAATGACAAATTCCATGATTTGGACACTTAATTAATTTCTTTTTTACTTGTCAGACTATTTTGGAAAGTTGCCCCCCCCCCTTTTTTGGTCAATTTATGGGTTTTTTTATGTATATATATGCCCCTGTAATCGAAGATTCGGGGGTATATAGTTTTATCCTGTCCCTCCGTCTGTTTGTCTGCAAAAACTTTAGCATTGCCCTTAACTTTTGATCGGTTGGGGCTATGGCTTTCATATTTCGTGACAAGACCTTCCCTAGGGTACCAACATATTTGACCTCTTGATCTCTAACCTTGGCCATAACTTTTGAACAGTTGGTGCTAGGGCTTTCATATTCCACATGTATATTCATCGTGACAAGACCTTTCTATGGGTTTAAATATTTTTTACCTTTTGACCTTGACCTAGTTTGACCAACTTTTAAAAAAAACTTTAACCTTGGCCATAATTTTTGATCGGTTAGTACAAGGGCTTTCATACTTCACAAATGTAATCCTTATGACAAGACTTTCCTTTTGGATACGAACAACTTTGGCCCTTTGACCTTGACCTACTTTTGAAAAACTTTAACCTTGGCCATAACTTTTGAATGGTTGGTGCTAGGGTCTTCATACTCCAAATATGTAATCCTTGTGACAAGATCTTCCTTTGAGAAGGTCTTTATTTGGGCACCATTAATTTTGACCATTTGACCTTGATGTTTGACTTACTTTTGAAAAATTTTAACCTTTTCCATATCTATTAAATGGTTGCTGCTAGGGCTTTCATATTTCACAGGTAAAATCCATCTGGACAAGACCTTACTTTGAGTAACAACATATTTGAGTTGCATTTGAGAAAGTTTAACCTTCGCTAAAAGTTGCCATACGGGGGCATCAGTGTTTCACAAACACATCGTTTTTTTTTTTTTTTGGTTGTCAGATTTTTTTGGAAGTTGCCCCCATTCCCCTTTTAAAATTGTTTCTACGGGTCTGTTGGCTGTCAACATTCTTGCACTTTGTTGATGAACTAAACTTTTTCATTCATTTTCAAGAAAATCGGGAAATCTGTGATGTATTGATAGAAGATATTAAGGAAGAAATTAAAGATTAATCAAGAAAAGTAAAATCAAAATGTAAGAAAGCAAAATCACACCAAAAGTCAGTTTGTGGTCAATGATGTGTGCAATGTCAGCAAACTGAACATACCTGGCAACATAAACATTATCAATAACAGAGCATTTTTTCAAATGTTAACATGAATATACAAATGAAAATAAAAATGTAGTTTTATTATTTAATTTAAATACATTGAGATTAATAACAAATATAGTCTTGACAAGAATGAACACAAAGGCAAGAAATGCAATAAATTAATATCAGATCTTGTGCAAAAATAGCAGCCAAAAGTATTTAAAAACATCCTTTTTTAAGCTTTATCACAAATAAACAAAATATTCATATTCCCACATGTCATCTGAGTACTCTGATTTGACACAGTTTTCGAGATCATATTCCGCTAACCTGCTGTTGACAAAGTTCAGCATTTTACCCAGTGTGTCTGTGCTAACATTTCCTAGCAGGTTCTCTTGTCTGCCAGGAGACAAAAGTTTGATTTGTTTCAGAAATTCAGACTCGCCAGCGAGATGTGGGTTGTTGATGAAGAAGCTGGGAAGGCGGCCATTTTGGAGGGCTCTCCTTAGAAAGTTTATAGCATCCGATACACGGTCAGAGAGGCTATCTATCCCCCACTGATCAGCCTTACTCTCTACTAACATGTAACTCACAATAGTCTCTATCATATACGATGTCACCTCTCCCCTGCTAAGCAATGTCTTTTTGGACTGGGGAGAAAACAAAAATTTCAAAATCTGAATAACGATTCTATGGCATCCAAAGACCCCATGATAATAACATTTCTGGTCCACCTTGTTGAAAAATAAATGTTCTAACTCGCCAAAAGACATACTCCAGAATAAATCATGAGTTGTTGTTTGTATTGGTTGTGTGCTATATCGATCTCTTGGGGTTACTTTACGTTTAAAGTCTACATTTGACCAAGAGGGTACAGCATACAGATTCACTGGGTTTATCCACTTGTTTGAACTTAACAATAGGGAGGGAATCAGCTGGATTCTGATGTCAGGGTTACGGAATCCCATGACGTTCCTTGTATCAAGAGACAGGTTTAAGCCGGGGCTAGTGATCCTCTGAATTCGGAAAGGTAAACGGTCAATCATTGGTCTGCCCTCTTTATACAGTTTCTGGACTGCGATATCAGTCAGTTCACACACTGAGTTAAGGAATTCTTGAGGGGAAATGCAATTTCTACTTTGAAATTGTTTAAGAAGCTTTGATGGGTCATCTTCATTATCTCCACTTTCAGCAACAATTAACACAAGTTTACCTGGTGGAATATCTGAATTTACACTATGGTCAACAGCAGACGACAGTCCAAATTGTGTACACTGGAATACAAAGAAATAGTCACTTTGATTTGCAGCCCCAACTTTTGTTCCTTTCAGCATGCTTCCGGTCGGACAACAGTGTATGTATCTGATACCATTATATGGCTTCATTGTTTTAAGAATTTTGTCTAAAAGGTGAATTGTATACTTAACTATTAAGTTTGACACGCAAACCTCTTCGAAGCTGACCATGCAACGATTAAGGTAGAAGTCCATCCATTTCTTGCTGTTTCCTAGCAGGGACTGTCGGACAGAATCTGGCAAGTCAATCATCTGAGTACAAATGCTGTTGTACACTATATCTTTTAGGAACTCCCTGTAGGCGACAGCTTCAGTGTCATCCTCGTTGTTCTGTGAGGACAATGAGGGGGAACTGTTCTGTCTTCCTGTGGCTCTTGGTACAGGTCGGCGAGGTAGGCGGACAGAGGAAGTTACCGTGCTGTGTAGTGGACCCTCGTGTTGTGTGGGATTCCTTCCTATCAAGAGTTTGTCAAGCTCTTGAAACAGACAGTCCACAGTCCGTCTCAGGAAAGAAGGCAAGTCACAGCTGGGGGTAAATGCATATCCAGTGTGATAGGCAATGTGTGAGAGAGGAATAAGTCCCTTTTGTATGGGTTTTGTTACAGCAGTTTCTTTGTTTTCAATAGCATCCGAGTCTTCAGAAAAGGTATCATCTGTATTAGTAATCTGTTCTGGTAAAAATTTCCCTGACTTCTTTTCGAAGAAATCAAAAATTTTGACGAAAGTTAAAGGAACCACTAACGTGATGAAAATTACAAAAATACATGCAAGAATTAATCCACTGTGTATGTCCAACTCGCCTTCAAAGCTGCTGATCTGCGAACATGAGGTATCAACTTTCACTTTCTCCGTATAAAGAATGTTTTTCCTCACCCATGAGGAAAGCTCTACCCCGAGATTTATCCATTCAGAATCAATATTCTTGGTATTTTCTACAGGTTTCGCTGCGTTTTCACATTCTGATAACTGGAGTTTTACACTAAAGCTATAATACCGCGTGTCATTGAAGAATTGCACAGCCATCTCTGACGCATGACTGTGTTCTCAAAACAAAAGTGCACACGGGTTTCAATTAGAGTTGTCTTTCTTTCTATGCAATTAAATCAGAAAAAAAAAAAAAAACTAAAAAGCAAAAATTACTTAAATATTTGTTTCTATGTCAAATTTTTATTTTTTTTATGTCTCTGAAATTAAAAGAAACTTGGTTTATATGTTTATATATATATATTTATTTAAAACAAATGTATTTATTTATTATTTGAACTATTTGAAACTTTTTAGGGAAAAAATAGCATTAATATATATTTATTTATAATAAAGAAATATATATTTTTTATTTGAACTATTTGAAACTTTTTAGGGTAGAGTGGGGTAATTTCGACCACTTTTGCTGATTTGTGGCTTTCAATCCACAAATCGCGACTGTTTTCAAATGTACTAGTTTAAAAATGATTCAAAGTAATTGAGAATGATTTTTTCTTCATATTTTTTGCTTTAGGAGTTAAAACATGCATAAAAAATAATGAATTGATTTAGAAATAAGTAAGCATGTTGCATGGGTTAATTTCGACCCGCCTCGGGGTAATTTCGACCACAACAAACATCAAAAAGAGAGATAACTCTTGCAATGCATATAAACTTTACCTGTCGCATTTTATTCAAAATTTATGAACCGAGAAACTGTATTGCCTTATGTAGAAAATACGTGTATCTATCTCTCTCAATAAAAAGATTAAAATGGATAAGTACTAGTATCCATACAGTAGAGAATTGGGTTGGGTTACTTAAGCTTTTCAGTGTTGTCTTATAGACATCTTAATTCTTATTCTTTATACTAAATGTTCTGCTTTTAATTCGCTAACTCTATATTTTAAAATTGTGTTATAAAGTTATGCAAATAGATAAAATTTTCTCAGATTCCACAAATAATTTCGTTGTTATGATTTTTAAATTGTTTATCCCAAAAGGGATTTTATTTAATATCGTCTTTTCACAACAGAATCATTCAAATTGTATATATATATGCATAAGGTTTGAGCATAGCATTAGAATTGCGTATATTTTTGCGTATTTTACGTGTTTTTTTTTTTTAATTCTTAAGAGAGATATATCCTGAGAAATTCGATCAAGTCAATTAAATACATCGTCGGAAACCCACGGTCGGACGAGACCGACCTTGGGTTTCAGACGATGATTCAATAAAGATTTACAGAAGCAAAGTCCTCTGACCCCCCCCCCCCCAAAAAAAAAAGAAAAGAAAAGAAAAAAAACTCAAACAAATCATTTATTTCGCGTAACATCATAGTGTTTTTTTTTGTGTGTGTTTCAAGATTGTTGCGACTCTTTTGGTGTGTTGTTTTGATATTTTGGGTACTATGGGTACTATTTGAATTTGTGTACTGGATTGTGTGATACGATCTTAATACGACTGGTTCGTTGGTTTTCGATAGCCTCAGTCTTGTCCGTCAAACACATTCGTAATAATAAAAAAAATACAAAAACCTGATTTTTTTTTAAACACATATTCAATATTGCCTGCATCCTCTCTTTTGTTAATTTGAGGGGTTTGGAATCTTATGGATTGCTTTCGCCATGTGTTATTTCAAAGCCAGTGCCGACTCCGTGTTCTCTCGCACGTGGATCAGCATGATCAGTGATGCACCCTCGTGAACGGCCCGGACAAAATATATAGCTAGGCATGCATATGTTAATTAATCTGACATATTTTTTTTAAATATAAAAGGTTATATGTAGTTAATATTGTAAATATACAGTATAATCATTTTTTTGGAAGATCTAACTCTGCATTGCATTAAACAGCTGTTAAAGACAACTTACACATATTTCAGAATAAGTGGTCGAATTTACCCCGCGTCTTTAATATCAGTAGGGGTAATTTCGACCAAAATCATATGGACGTTTCTTGTGCATTTTGAGAGAAATCCAAGATAAATTTGTAAAATTCTGCAACTTAAAGATATTCCAAGAAAAAATAAAACAATTTCAATATAATTCGTGCTGTAGACTGTTAAACAAGGTCAAACTTAAAAAAGAGGTTGTACGAGTTGTCTCTCTTGCATTTCCTTGATCAAATCAAGCGCACTGAAGACGGGGACTTCGAACGTCAAACTGGAGACATAAATAAATAGTAAAAATATTATTTATATAACTGATCAAGCTATATATGCGATGAATAATTATACTAGGAAACACTATTTGAGGAATAGTTTTCTATAATTCCGAATAAATTAAACTTGTCCTAACACTTCTGTAGTTCTTTGTGTGGAGTTGTGTTCCTGTGGTCGAAATTAAACGGTGGTCGAAATTACCCTGACTTACCCTAGGGGAAAAATGTCATTTTTAGAACAACAAAAACAAAATGTTTCACTTCAAACTTTTTAAGTAAAATTATTGACAACTTTGGTTATGTTTGGGATTTTGTACTCATTTAGCATTAAAAATAGATTCGTTAGGCCAAAAAAAAATTAATCAATAGTTTCTCAGGCACCGCCGCATCAGGTCAAAAACGGCCGAATTGATCAATTTTATTGATATTTTGAAAAGGGAAATAACTCAATTTTCTATTTTTCCAAGTTGAAAAAGAAAATTGAGTTATTTCCCTTTTCATAACAAATAATAAATAGACGTTTTTATTAGATAAACAATATTCTTCTAGTCTATACAGTCCTTTATTAATTAACTTTTAAAGAAATGTTTAGAATAGCATAATTTAAAGTTGAGTACATTATAACTAGTATATTAAGAGAAAAAAAAGTGAGAATCAGTTAATATCATCATTTTGTTGAACGACTGACATGAAAAAATACCTGTTAAAAAAAAAACCTGCCTGCCGTATTGAATTTTGAAATTTTTGGCCTGAGAAACTATTAATCAATTTTTTATGGCCTTATCATCCGAATTTTTAAATGTAGTGCTCAAAGTTTGATTCATTTTGACATTTGAAATGAGATCAATGAAATTGCTACAAAAAGCCTCTGAGTCAATATTTTGTTTCTGTTGTATTGCTGCTGAAATGTACCATTTGAATATGAATAAAAAAAATAAAGATATCAAACTGATAGATAAGTATTTCTATTCTTGAAAACAAGATGTGTTTGTGAAACACTGATGCCCCCGAATGGCAACTTATTATCACGAAGGTTTTATCTCAAATGCAAATCAAATATGTTGGTCCAGATCCACATCGCCAAAATCATGAAAAGAAAACTAATTGTTTGTTTGGAATTGCCTCCTGCCTCGATCCTTGAAATAACTTCCGCTGGAAACATTTCATTTCATTGACAAAAAGCAAAAATATTTTTGTTTTTCATTGTTTTATTGGTCTGCTACGATTGGTTCTGCCTATCACTTGTGTTCACTTTTCATACTTTTATTGCAAGTTTTTAATTTAACAGTGAACTTAAACATTTCATTGACAAAAAGAAAAAAAAACAAATTGTTTCTTATTGCTCTTTGACAATTGATTCTGCCCAGCATATGTGTTCACTATTGATATTTTTACTGCAACTTTTTAATTCAACTTAACTATGTAACAAAAACTACTCCCCACCCCACCCCACCCCATCTTGATAGTCGACAGTGACTGTAAGAGGTCAAAGGTCTTTGCCACAGACGATCTCTACTACGACTACATGTATCCATGGACTCGAGCCATCATGTAATGAAAAGCGTTGCCCTGCAAGAAATACTCCCATTCAATGGAGAAGCCCCATCTAAACCTTTCTCCTTAAAATTGAGAAAGGACTAGAAATCCACAGTGAATGCCATCTTGCCTGGTCATTGAAGAGCCTTATACCTGTCTTTTATGATGACATCAACTCTAGTACACCTAGCATTACTGTTCAAGAGAAGGAAACTGATGGAGTCAGTGACATCCTGTGCCTTGTCACAGGAAACTGAGGACAGTATTGCCGAGACAGACACTGATCCAAGATGTGCAAGAAAACTTTCCCGATCTCTCCTTCAAAAGTTTGGAAAGAAGTTTTGAAAGATAACTGGTTCCAAAGAATGCGTTTAAGATCAACATTGACACTACATCAGACAATTCACCAATAAATGACAAACCATCTTGTGCTCCTGATCACCAGACTATAAGGAGTCTAACTCAACAGGCCAGATCCCCACACAGCCGACAACTGACTGCGCATTGGCAACAACACCCTGTTCTCCTTCCTGATCACCAGGCCAAGGAGTCTTACACCGCAGACCAGCTCCCCACACAGCCGAAAAATAACTCAGCTTCGACTAGGACCAGGAGAAAACTGTGCAGTAAACTGGACCAAGCGTTTAATACAATTGAATCTACGGATAAAATTCAATTAACACTTGCTGAAGAGGAAAGTCTTAAATTTGACCATGATGAAAGCGGTGTCAGGTGTGGTCACTGTGACATACCAGTAGTCTACAAAGAGGAAGAAATAGACGTGTTTGGATTGGTTGTGATGGATCATGCAAATCATGGGTGCATGAAACCTGCATCCCATAACATCTGAGGCCAGGAGTCATCCGAAAAACTGAGAACTGGCAGTGCTAGAGAAGCGAACTGACAGTTGACTATGTAACTTGTTGACTTGATGGCATGAATTTGTATGTAAATATTTTTGTAATTATTTAACGAAACATATTCAGTTTAATTTAAAGTGACAGTACGGCGCATCTCATCAAAAAACTGACTTGATAAAATTTTCCGACAAGATTTGGTATTTTTTTACTGCTCATAAATGTATAAACTTTCAGAAAATTACAACTGTCACAATTAAATAATTTAGATTATTTCGTTAAAATTAATAGTTATTTATGGGACGTAAATATATACATCGCAACGTGTTCGGGGTTCCACATTCCTTGCTATGCACGCATGCGTAGTTTTCATAAACAAAACAGCATGGTTAGAGAGGGAAGCCCGGTAGGCCTGCTACATTGACAAAGTCGACCAAAAAGAAAAAGAAACTGAAAATAGAACTTGGAAAAAGCAACTTTCCTGACTAAAATTTAGTTTGGGGATTAATATAATCGCTGGATAAGGAAGAAACGGGAACTCGGCGACACTCGTGCAGGGCTCTCGAAGGTTCTATTCGACAGGCTTGTTGATACTTGTTATCATTTCTCATTTTTCCATCGCTTTCAAAGAAAAAAAAAATTAGTGTAAACTCAACATAAAAATGCACCTTTGACTTATAAACATTGTTGCCATTTGAAGTGCTAATTTTTTTTTAACTGTGCAGAAAAATATTTTGTTTGACATTTGCCGCGATAACGTATTATTAGTTGGTTTTTCCTTTCTCGGACCCCAATACACAAAACGTCAACATTTGTACTTTTAATTCTTTTAAATTCGCCTGAAAGCAGACTAAAATCTTTACAATTATTATATTAGATTATTTTATCAGAAAGTTATGATAATTTGCTTTTGAAAATTGCTTTTACCTAATATTCATTATAATTGTTAACTATACAGTGTAGGCACGTGTCATTTTAGAATTCACGTGGTACTAATAAACAGATCTAAGATTGCTCCAGTTCGTACGACCCTTGATTTTCCGGCAGATTCTAATTACGTTAATTTTGTTTGAGTAGAGAATATTTCTGTTTCTCAAACTGCTTACAACAACTTTATACCTTATTTCTTGGTGACATATTGGGTAAATTTGAATGAAAAAGCACACATTTTGCAGTCGTACTGTCGCTTTAAGTTCTGACATGAACATAAGTTCAGTTGTATATATATAAGCGTTTCAAATTAATTGAATGGAGTATTTAAAAAAAGTTTTTTTTTTAAATATGTAAAAAGAAAATAAAGCACTTCTTCAAAAGAAATGCATAGATATAGTTTCATACGAAATTTTGAAGATCGGATATTTACAAAATTTTAACCTTTTAAAATATAAATAATTTCCAAAAGTGAGTTGTATATGGAAGATGTACAGTACCACATTGATGATATTCGTGTAGATGTAATTTAGTATAGGTAGATTTTATTTACAAAATTTTAACCTCTTGTGGATTTTCCAATATTTGGTTCGAACAATGTTCCAGTGGCAGGAATTGGGTCCTTGCTTTTGTGAAGCAAAGATTAATCTAAATTTATCTTGAAAATAACAACTTAAGCTCAGCGAAGTGACCATGCGTACTTTAAGTGAATTTCTTTGAGAAGACAGTACATGTAGGAAAACATGCGGTTTTCGGTGATTAGAAACTTTTATAGTGTGAAAAAATAAAACTAACTTCTACAGCATTTATTATGATAAACCGTATGTTGCATTACTTATTGAACGACCCTCTTACATGTATATGCTTATATAGATATGTATGTATGGTCTTTTCCCTCTTTATGTTTGTTCTCTTTTTGCCAATATGGCCCCGAATAAGTAATACTAGAGTGTTATAAGGAACGCATGTGTCGTCTGCCTTGCAGCTTCATTAAAAGTTAATAAATCTAAGAGTGGTCAGCTCAAATAGAAATTATTAAAAATAAAGATCATATTTGACCTCTTGACCTTGGAGTTTGACCCAATTTAAGCAAAAAATTACCCAACTTTAACCTTGGCCATAAGTTTTGAACAGTTGGAGCTATGGATTTCATACTCCACTGTGTAATCCTTGTGACAAGATCTTCCTTTTGGTACCAACAATTTTGACCCTTTGACCTTGACCTACTTTTGAAAAACTTCAACCTTGGCCATGACTTGAACGCTTGCTAGGGCTTTCATACTTCACATGTGTATTCCTTGTGACAAGACTTTCCTTTAGATTTCAACAATAATAGCCCTGTTTAACTTTCTTTTAGAAAACTTTTAACCTTTGCCATTTCTTTTGAACAGTTGGAGCTAAGGCTTTCATACTTCACATATGTAATTCTTGTCACAAGACCTTTCTTTGGGTACCATCATATTTGACCTTGACCTACTTTTGAAAAACTTTAACCTTGGCCATAACTTTTGAACGGTTGGTGCTAGGGCTTTCATACTTCACATACGTAATTCTTATGACAAGACCTTCCTTTGGATACTAACAACTTTGACCTTGGAGTTAAACCTACTTTTGGAAAACTTTAACCTTAGCCACAACTTTTGAACAATTGGTGTTAGGGTTTTCATACTTCACATATGTAATCCTTGTGACAAGACCTTACTTTGGATAATAACAACTTTGGCCCTTTGACCTTGACCTTAGAGCTTGACCTACATTTGAAAAAACTTTAACCTTGGTCATAACTTTTGAACGGTTGGTGCTAGGGCTTTCATACTCCAAATATGTAATCCTTGTGACAAAACCTTCCTTTTGATACCAACAACTTTGACTTTTGACCTTGACCTAAGAGTTTGACCATAACTTTTGAACGGTTGGTGCTAGGGCTTTCATATTTTATCTGTGTGTTCCTTGTTAGAAGGTATATCCTTTGGCACCATTAATATCGACCATTTGACCTTGGGCTTGCATGATGTTTGACTTAATTTTGAAAAACTTTAACCTTTTCCATATTTTTTTCAAAGGTTGCTGCTAAGGCTTTCATATTTCACAGGTATATTCCTCGAGACAAGATCTTGCTTTGCGTACCAACATATTTGATTTGCATTTGAGAAAGTTTAACCTTCGATATAAGTTGCTATACAGGGGCATCAGTATTTCACAAACACATCTTGTTTTTGTTTTTTGTTTAACTTGGAATAGCCTTCATCCACTCGAAAATTCAAATGAAAGGTATGAAGATATGCTGCCTTAATAATATGATAATAAATGTTCCCATGATTTATTTTGTCGAGACACCAACATTGCATGATTAATTCTTTATGTTGCTGCTGCGTGTCGTGTGTTTAGAGGAAAGCTAATTATGTCTGTGGTGAAAATTGCATCCTGCATTCAAAGCGAGTCTGAGTGAAAAGAACGGGTCTCCTTTCTTTTTTCTAAACTTATATTATTTTCAAACTGAATGGGGCTAACAAAAATAATACACACTTTAAGGACGTGCATTAGACTTGACCCAGATTTTGTTATCATCGCTGCCCAACAGCTATAGACAAGGCACAGTTTCTGAGGCCATACTTCTCTAAAGAGAATAGGTTATCTACTGAATGTCATTGACCGGGACACTCTGACATACTTATATACAACAGTGCAGTGCCCTATTTTTAATGATTTTGTGTTGTGAATATCCCCGGAATCTTAATGCAGTCAGGTAAAAATACATTTTTAACTGGATTTTAATATGCCATGACTAAGAATTTATAAATAAAATTTAAACTTTAAAAGGGATTTTTAGCGAAATTTGGGTTTATCATAAACGCAAATAAATTAAAGCTTAACAAACAAATATCGTCGATCAACTTAATTTACATTAAATACTTCATGAGTGGATGTTTAGAGGGGATCGTGGGATATTTGTTTTTAAAGTGCGTAACCAAATTATGACATTGGAATCCCCCTCCTCAATGAAAAAGTTGGGGAGGAGTCATACATTTGATGAAAAGGGGTTTGATCATTAGAAGCCCACCCCAGCCCAAGGCAGATTTTTAGCTCACCTGAGCCAAATAAAGGCTCGATCGAAGTTAGTCCGTCTGTCTGTATGTTAACTTTTTTACATTATCAACTTCATTTCTAAAACCAATGACCAATTTCAACATGCCACAAAGCATTCTTGGGTGTTGGGGATTAATACTTTTTAACGAGGAGACAGCCGAGACACCCCTTTGAAAGGGGAGATAATCAAGAAAAGGCAAAATTAGGGTGGTTGTTTTGAAAAATCTTCTCAAGTAGCACTGGACCAGAAAAAATTACATTTATATAAAAGCTTCCAGACGTAGTGTAAATTCAAGTACATGATGTTCAAATTATGGCCCTCGGGTAAAAGTTTTACAAGGGAATACATATTAAAAAAAATGAAATTATTTAAGAACACCAGGGCTATGATTAGTCATTTTAATATTGAAGCATCCTCGGTTAGTTAAGATTCAAGTTTGTGTTCAAATTATGCCCCCAGGGTAAGATGAGGCCACAATAGGAAATCAAAGTTTTACATGGGAAAACGGAAAAAAATCTTTAAAATCTTCTCTTTTTTTTTTTTTTTTTAATTCTCCTGAACAGCAAGGACATATCTGTCATATAGATAATGAAGCATCTCGGCTAGGTACACACGGTAAGGCTTGCCTTTTAAGTTTAAAACCTTACGTTTTGCAGGACGTACGGCTCTCGTGTCCACACGTTAAGGCAAGACTTACAAGATTATATACAAACATCCATAAATTCCACATGTTTTCAGCCATAAATAGTGCATCAGTCATTAAAATAGAAGAATAGATTACTAGACTTTGTAATAATTATACCAACAAGTACATTCACACTTCTTAAAAAAAGAGGAAGAGGTTGAACAGAAGCATTAAATTTTGTGGATATTTTCATTAGCTTATTCGAATATACTTTGTGTTCACTTCAATATACCCACGTGTATGGTTTGATAAAAATAGAATGACATTTGGGCGAATGATTTTCATTGGTTGAGAAGAAAATTTCAGCTAAGTCTTGTTTTAAGAAATAGCTAGAGCAGTGTTCTATTTGTAAGTCAGACTAACCGTACACACACGGTAAGGTTAGAACTTAAGTTCCATGACTTATAAGGCAAGCATTATCGTGTGTACCGGACCTTAGCTATAGATTGGTTAAGTCATAAGCCCTTGAGGCTATGAATGGGACCACAATTCATGGGAATAAGGAGGGGGGGGGGTCTTTTTAAAAATCTGATGAATTTTAGAATAGCAGCATCAAGGTGATTCAGGTGAGTGTTAAGGCCCATGGACCTCTTATAAATTATGTTTGCAAAGGTTTTTCGTTTCTTTGCTTATCAAAAAATTCTTTTTAGTAGGCATGTACGAAGAACAATATGGAGGGTAATTCCCGTTGTGGATAATTATTTACTGACACTCGTACCTGCCAATACCAATGCTCGTTGGGTTAACTTTATCTGGTTACTTTCTGGAACATGCTTGCTACTTTCTGGAACATTGAACACTCATGCATATTCTTTAATACAATTAACATGTGTTTATGTTTAGCGCGTTACGTGTGTGATATATTTATACTGGGGAAACAAAGAGATCACGTGGTTTTAAAGGTTACAAAACACATGGCAAAATAAGATGATAGACAAGTATGTATTGGTTAAACGTTGTTAATGGCCAATTGTATACCGACAGGTTCACAAGACAATTGGGTGAGTACGTTATATAAACATTATCTCTATTAACGTTGGTTAAAAGACGAAAACAGATTGTATAGAAATAAATCAGTTTTGAAGAGGTTATTCACCGACCTTAAGGAAGAAAGTCAACACAGATAAACGATTGATTGGTTGTTAAAATGTCCGATTCAGACATTCCAACGAGGACACTGACTGAAAACTGGCATGACATAGTTACTGTAGTGTATAATTCCCGGGGGGTGGGGTGGGGGGTATAAAGTATTACACTAGAAATATCACTCCTGTGCAAAGGGATCTTTGTTGTATACATATATGCTTATTGCTTGCTGTATACATGTATAGGCTTTGTTATATATATATATATATATATATATATATATATATATATATATATATATATATATATATATATATATATATATATATACACACACACACACACACCCTCACACACACACCTTCTCACGTCACAGCTCAGTCAATGGAACAGTGTCGGACCTGACAAAATTAAAGGAAATCCTATACAATCCATGTCAGTTCGCATTTTTTTAAAATCAAAATCAATTTAACGTGTGCTCAGAGAAATTATGATTAATTGAGTTAGACAGTTTGAAGATGTTTTACTCATATTATGTTAGACCATAAATAACTATTTGGTTCCATCACGAATCCTTTTAAATATCCATTTTCCTGTTAAAGTGCATCGAGTTACCGAGTGCAGTGCATGACATGGTTAAATGGGTTCTTTTTATTTCTTTCTTCTTTTTTTGTCGACAGGATGGATCGTAGTCAAATCATTTTCACTTACTCACAGGTACACATGCCGATTATGATTAAAAAAGTTAAATATCTTAAGGTCAGACGATACGTTCCTCAAATATCTGTTTTGCATATCTTCGTATTGTGTGGAAAATATTCAAAATTTTCGTTACATTCTGATTTCTAAACTGGTTTCTAATTGTCTTTAAAAAATTGAAACACTAAAAATTGTGTTATTGGCTAATTAAGTTTTTTCCAAAAGGATTTTATAGGAAACAACATCCTCTGGTATCTTGCACAAATGCCTGGTAATGTACCTCAATTTTTTGCGAGTGAACATGTTAAAGTAGTAATACTTCAGTGACAAAATCTTAGAAAAAATTATATATTATTGAGGAACGTATCGTCTGTCCTTAAACAGATTTCTTTACGCAAGCTGTCACCGCGCAGGCCTACATTACATTTTTAACGTAACACCATTTTATTTTTTATTAGCGATTTTTTTTGTTTCATAGAAAGAAGAAAAGATCCCCACTCCCTCATTTTTGATGCCATCTTCTACGGAAATAAGAACGAAGTACAACAGCTGATTTCGGGAGGAGTGGATAAACATGTTGTCACACACCACCCCATGCGGTGGGAGGGCGCAAGCGTGCTTGGCGCTGCAGCGAACGAAGGACATATGGAAATTGTCAGATATTTAGTAGACATTGGTACATCAGTAAATTTTAGCGACCCTTGTCAGGGACGGACGCCCCTACACTGGGCTTGTTTGGGGAACCAGTATCAGGTAGCAGCGTACCTCATCAAACACGGAGCTGACGTCAACCACGTGGATAAAGAGCAGACGACACCTATTCTGCGTGCTGCCTTTGCTAGAAACTGTGACATGGTCAAACTTTTGATTAAAAATGGCGCAAGTGTCCTTCAGGTGGACTTGCTGCATTGTTCTGCGCTCCACTACGCTTGCATTCACGGTGATAAAAATCTAACTAGAACCCTCATTCGAGCTGGTTGCATTTCCAACAATTTTGCCTTGGTTGGAAAAGGTACACCATTACAAACTCTGACAAGTCAAAATGACCTAGATAATGTTACATTGTTATTAGAGGCAGGGTACAACCTACAAAATGATCAGAGCTGGATAAGATCAGTTTCAAACCCAAATTCAAACTCTTTACATGAACGTATTCTAAGCTGTACCAACAGTCCAATGTGTCTGAGACATCTCTGTAGAAAAACAATTAGGAGTCAAATGCATGGTGTACAAGTGGAAGAGAAATTAGAAAAACTTAAATGCCCATCATTATTGCAAAAGTTTCTTACACTTGATATTTTATGATTAAAACTTAACAAATTTTGTTTTTTTTGGACTGCTGGTTTCTTGCATTGAAAGTTTATCTTTTATGTTATATTTATTGCTTTACTTTAGTACAAAGATATCAAAATGAGTCGGATTTTTATTTTTAAAGATTTGTGAAAAGATGAACAACACTAAAACATTATTCTTAAATCCTTTTAATATGGAAAGATGCATCTAACAAGTAAATGATGCCAACTTCTGAAAGAATTTACAATAACAGTCAGTTAATAATTATTTTTAAAATTACATTGTAAGAAGAAGAGATATTTATGTCTAGCTTCATGAAAGTGCAAATTTATACATTATCAGAAATATACAATATCATTTTCACAGTATTTTTCATTAAAACAATAACATAAAAACAAAACAAAAAAAATTGCTAAGGATAACTTTTGTCCATGTAATAGTAATTTGAGAATTACGTTAATTACCACAAAGTGAATTTGAAAATTAAAATAAATTGTGCCAAACACTGGTGTTTTTGTAAACCCAGTAGCTTAATACATTAAACTTCATAGGTATGTGTGTATGCTAACATAATCCGTAATGACAAATAGCATACAGTCATTTAAAAAGATTTTATTTCCATTTCCCTTGCACACTGTCTTTTCATATATCTGCTTTTGCTTGCATCAATCGTCACAAAAAATCTTACTAAAACCTCTTTGCACAATCATTTTTCCTCTCAAGTCATGTTAAATATCCCTCTCTCACTGGATCTGTACCAATAAATAAACAACAACAGTACAGGACATCATCATGCTAGTCCAGTGGCCTGGATTGGCCTCTGAATGGCTTCCTCTATCTTCTCCCGGCGTATATAGGTGGGTGGTTCCTTTTTGTTGACAGTGTCTGCCGTAATGATGACCTTCTCCACGTCAGGCATACTGGGTACTTCATACATAGGCGTCAACAACACCTCCTCCTATAAAATGAAAAAAAAGACAGGATGTATATAAGAAGAAACAATTTTGTTAAAAAAATCTATTAATGATTAGTTTTTCAAGTCATACATGCATAACACGATTTAACTTCTGTTGATATATAAATAGTAATAGGAAACCAACCAGTATGTGATGAATTCCTCTGGCTCCTGTTTTCTTCTTGATGGCTTTTTGTGCTATGGCTCTTAAAGCACTGTCAGTAAAAATCAGCTGGCACTGCATAAAATAAAAAACATCCATCAAAATGAGTTCAATAAAAAAAAAAAACCAATCAGCAAATGCTACTTCTAGAGGAAAAAAATTATATTAGAATTAGACATTTTCCAAACGTGTGCGATATACCCTCAAAAATAAATAAACATTACATTACATTTTGACCGACATTTTCTTGTAATATACAGGCCTTGCCAATAGGACTGATGGTTTTCAACAACCTTGATATATTCTTTAAATAAGGCCTATTTGATGAAATTTTATGAGAGTTCATACTCTGATCATTATTTCATAATCTACCATTCATGATTTGGCATCATAATCTGTATAGATTAAGTACCTCATCATAGGACAACAAGAATTCCTTCTGTGCTATAAGAGAGTTCTTAGTTTCTGTTAAGATTTTCACTAAGTGGTCCTCATTGAGACTGTGTAGGGATACCACTATGTGGAACCGGCCCACAAATTCAGGAATCAGTCCAAACTTAACCACATCCATTGTTTCTACTTCACTTAGAAGCCTATCATATTTTAGGTTTAACTGTTCTATGTCTGATAGTTTTCTTTCCTCCTCTTCCATAAGAATAGATTTATCATCTCGATTACCAAAGCCAAAACTCTGAAACAGAAACAAAATAAGAGGTATATTGCTAAATGTAAATAAGGTAGATAGGGTATTCTCTAAAGTATAAATATAACACTTTAGGGAAAATGAAATCCAGTTCATTCAAGTAAAACAAGAGGTCAACAGTGTAGAATTCCTACAAATGTCCAAGGCATATGGCTAAAACTAAAACAATGTACCGGTACATGTAAATAGATGAAATGAAGACACCAAATGAAATCCCACATAATTATCTTAAATCAAGCCAAACACTCTAGTTGACCCCCTTCATGGCCTCACCCTAACCAGGATAGTTTTGATTTGAATGTACCATACTTGTGTATAGATTTTACTAAAAGCAGTGTGACTGCTCTTTAGAGAATTTACAAAGGTTGTCTCAGTATATATTCCTATGTTTAACAATTTGGCCCTTTGTTGTGGCATTTATCTGTGTCAAGACTTGAACAGACTTTGAATTTACACTATTTGGAGATGCTTTAATATCACAGTGGTCATACTGCTCTTACCTTTTGATTGGTTCTGCCATGTATTATGTCTGAAATACCAGTAAATGCCCCTGAAGCTATAAATAGAATGTTAGTGGTGTCCACTTGGTAGGTGGTCTCATGTGCATTTCTCTTCCCCATTTTATCAGTCACACTGACGACATTAGATTCTAGGAGTTTGAGGAAAGCTTGCTGTACACCCTCCCCGCCTACATCTCGGGAGGAGTTAATGCCTCTGGAGGAATTTCCAGGTACAATGCTTCGAATCTTGTCCACCTCATCAAGATATACAATACCTACAAGATGTAATTTTTTTTATAAATGAATAATGTCTTTACTGAATATGTATTACAAAAATTGAACATACACAATTTCACAATGAGCATATTTCAGATCAATTTAATGATGCCCCCTCTACTTGATCTGCACAAACATTTTCACGCAGTGTTCCTTCAGACACATCACAGTAGACTGTACAGTCATCACAACTGAATACAATGTAACGGTTAAAATGACGTCAAATTGCACTAATATATCAGGTCTTGAATAACTGAATACAATGTAACAGTTGAAATAACGTGTTGCATCAAATTGCACTAAAATATCAGGTCTTGAATGCATATAGAGAGATTACTAGTATACTGGCATTTCTATCTAGTCCACTACCCATATGCTTTAATAAATAAATGTAAACAGCTATTTACTAACATATTTAAATTCAAATTGTTAAATTCGTATAGGAGCTTCAATATATTGTTTTTAATTTTTCAATTTCTTAATTCCTTTGATAATTAAGCCGTTTTACTGCCTGCCTAAAGTTGTTTATAAATCCATGCAAAATGAGTTCATATTTTAAAATGGTCCCCATTTCACTACAATCAAGGCAAGATGATAACATTTTATTTTGATTTTTCTAAACCTGGTATTGTAATTACAATTATATATCCCTGAAATTCAAAAATATTCGACAGTCTGTTTTCTCTTTCAATTACATGGGCCCACGTTAATGATGGCCAAGTCTCAAGGTCCACAAGAATATTCAATTTATTTTTAAATATAATTTACATTAAATTTTATTTACATCTTTGTACAAGAGGCCCATGGGCCACACCTGAGTCACTGTGGCCCTGTTATTATTTCCAATATGTTCTTTTGTAAAATTGCCACCCCCTCCCCTTGGAGGCCTTGATTTGAGCAAACTTGAATCTACTTTACCTAATGATGCTTCCACGTTCATATGACTAATCATGGCTTTGCTGTTCAAGAAAAGTTTCCTATGTAAAACTTCAACAAGAGGCCCAAGGGCCTTAACGGTCACCTGAGTACAATACAACAATTTAGAGGATCCATAGAGTATTAAAATGAAATGAAAGGTGAAGCTTTGTTGCCCAAAAGCAAGAAAAATAGGGTGACCAGGATCAACAAAATAATTAGTCTACTATTCATTAACAGTTCATAAATTAGGTTCTAATCTGTTCCCCAATTATCACTATCACCATACAGTATATTACCAAACTATCAGTGCTTTTGTACTATTTTAATTCCTTGTTGTAATCTCTTACATTGGCCTCTCTTGGTCTTTGATGAACATTTAATAAGACAAGTTATTTTTGTCTCATTTTTATTTATCTATTACTTACAAGTCCACATGATCATTAAAACTATGAAAATACTTTTTGTATTATACAATAAAAATTCTTGCATAATTCTCTTATTCTATTAATTTTTCATGTACATTATTTACAATGATTAATTATCAAAAGTAAACGGCAAAGGCGAATAACTCCTCTCAGTAGAATGCAAATTAATTGAGCCCTGGCGAGGACCAGAACACTTGACCAAATGGTCCAGATGTTCAAAAATCTGGTAAAAATACCCTTCCTTATTACAACTTTTACACTTTTTGCGTCTGATATGCCCAAGTGCAGAGAAGATTTTTAAAGAAATAATGCATTTTCACTACAGATTCACTATATTATCAATAGAGCCCCTCCCCCCCCCCCCCCCCCCTTCACCACCGAGAAACACCAGAGCCTCTCACCCTGGGACCAGAAGTTTCAAGTTTGCTCATCATAAGTAATCACTTTGTTTAACTGCTTAACATTAAGGAGCAGACAGGATCATTTAATAGAATTAATGCATTTTCACTACATTATCAACAGCCCCACCCTTATACCAGCACATCTGACCCAGGGGTCATGCAATTCACTACTCTGGAAGAAGCACTCTTGCTCATCATAACTATATACTTAGCTTCTTTGTTTTTTAACCAGAAGCAGAAAAGAATATTTTCAAAGAAATTTTGATTTTTCACTATATAATCAATAGAGCCCCCCCCCCCCCTTTTGACAAGGATCCTTGACCCTGGGGCCATGAGATTCACAATTTTTGAAGAGGCATCCTTGCATATCATAACAATGTACTTAGTTTGTTTAAATAGTACCCAGGGGCAGAGAAGAAGATTTTCAAAGAAATAATTCACCTTCACTGTAGGAGCTATATAGCCCCACCCTAGCACAAGAACCCCTGTACCTGGGGCCATGAATTTCACAATTTTGGAAGAGGTGTCCTTGCTTATCATAATAATGTACTTAGTTTGTTTAAATAATACCCAGAAGCAGAGAAGAAGATTTTTAAAGCATTAATGCATTTTCACTATATAATAAATAGAGCCCCGCCCTTACATCAGAACCCCTGACCCAGGTGCCATGAAATTCACAATTTTGGTAGAGTTACTCTTGCTTATCATAACTATGTATTTAATTTGTTTAAATAATACCCAGGAGTAGAGAAGAAGATTTTCAAAGAAATAATGCACTTTCACTATATGATTTATATAGCCCCCCCCCCCCCAGCACCAGAACCCCTTACCCTGGGGCTATGAATTTCACAATTTTGGTAGAGTCACTCTTGCTTATCATAACTTTGTATTTAATTTGTTTCAATAATACCAAGGAGTAGAGAAGAAGATTTTTAAAGAAATAATGCACTTTCACTATATGATCTATATACCCCCCGCCCCCAGCACCAGAACCCTTGACCCTGGGGCCATGAATTTCACAATTTTGGTAGAGTCACCCTTGCTGATCATAACTCTGTATCTAATTTGTTTAAATAATACCCAGGAGTAGAGAAGAAGATTTTCAAAGAAATAATGCACATTCACTATATGATCTATATAGCCCCACCCTAGCACCAGAACCCCTGACCCTGGGGCCATGAATTTCACAATTTTGGTAGAGTCACCCTTGCTTATCATAACTATGTATTCAATTTGTTTCAATAATACCAAGGAGTAGAGAAGAAGATTTTCAAAGAAATAATGCACTTTCACTATATGATCTATATAGCCCCGCCCTAGCACCAGAACCCCTGACCCTGGGGCCATGAATTTCACAACTTTGGTAGAGGGCTCAATGCTTATTACAATCATGTCAACAGTTTGACTGCTTGATGTCCAGGAGTAAAGAAGAAGATTTTTAAAGATTGCATTAATTTTGATGGTTTTAGCCCCACCCCTCAGGCCCCAGGGGGGCAGGGACCATGAAATTCACAAATTTTGTTCCCCTTCACACATAGATGCCATATGCAAAAATTGGCTGAAATTGGTTCAGCGGTTTCAGAGAAGAAGCTGAAAATGTTCAAATGTTAACACACGACGCACGACGGACGACGACGGACGAAAACGGATAGCAATAGGTCACCTGAGTGACTCAGGTGACCTAAAAAGTTCAACTATCTTCTATCGAAAAAGTTTATCTATTGTGGCCCCACCCTATTTGAATGTTCACTACCTGAGGATATTGCATATTAATATTAATAATCATGACTGCTATTCTTGAGGAAAAGATTTTTAAAGATCTTTTCCAATATATTCCTACGTAAAACTTTGATTGCCTTTTGTGGCCCCACCCTACACCTAGGGGTCATGATTTGAATAAACTTAAATCTACACTACATGAAGATACTTGAATATTGCAAAATATAATGACTAATCATGACTTTGCTGTTCTTGAGAAGAAGATTTCTATATATTTTTTCCAATATATTCCTACATAAAAATTTGATCGCTTATTTTGACTCAACCCTACCCCCATTTTGACTCAACCCTACCCCCAGCGGCCATGATTTGAACAATTTGAATCTCCACTATGACAGGAAGCTTTCATACAAGTTTCAACTATTCTGGCCCCTGTGATTCAGAGTGACTCAGGTGACCTCAAAACTACCTAAAAAATCCATTTTTTTTGTCAGGAAAGTCTGTTGAATGTGTGCATTAAAATTCTTTCAATTCCTCATTAAAAGTTGATTTTACCTTGTTGACATTTTTCAACATCAAAGTCTGCATTCTCCAATAGCCTGTAGATGACAGACTCAACATCTTCTCCGACGTAACCAGCAGCAGTAATAGACGTACAGTCACACATCGCAAACGGAACATCCAGACACTCAGCTAACTTTTTCACCAATAATGTTTTCCCTACAAAAGGAAGTTATCAAAGATTATGAAGCTCATCTAGATATGGCTATGTATATTCTATGTCATGCAAAGTCTCAAACCAAATGAATGTTCTGGTATTGTGCATCCTTAGATTCAAAATACATGCAAATTTAGTCTGGTTAGAACTTCTAGTAACTTGTGAATGGCCCTGCTCCAAAATTTTTGACCTGGTCAATTATCTAGAAAATGTACAAAAGAATAGCTTTTTAAAAAAGCTTTGCCGTCTTAAGCAGCAACCTTAAACAGTAAACTGATCGACCTACACCAATCAGGCTGTATTATTCTTGAGCATTTCTTGGCTTTGTATTTTTTCATCAGCTTTTTACAGACATTAGCCCTACCATATGAAAGTTGTATGAAAATTAGATCACCAGCAAATTATCTCCCTTGTCTTGAACAGCATTTCAACCAATGAAATAATTGAAATTTTCATATCATGCAATTTCTACCAATCACAAAGTAGTGCATAGTCTGAAGACTGTAAAATCTTTAACTCTGCATACCATCTTCCAGAAAGACAGTAATAAGCTGCAGCAACTGAAGCAGGTCTGAAAATATGTATCCCTAGATGCATCATCCATGCAAGTTTGGTTACATTTAGTACTTGGAAATGGACTTGCTAATAAAAGTTTAACATGGACACCAACGCTATAGGTAGAGTATTAGCTCATCTCGACTTCGAGGTGAACTAAAATAAAGGCATATCCATTTAATTGCTGTCCTTGCTGTTTCAAGCAGTTACAGGTTCCATTAAAAGTCATGAATTATGCTAGTAAATTTACTTGAAATATTTTGCTTTGTTGTCTATATAGCTGTTTTGGGATATATTTCTAAAACTAACAATACCAGCTTTCTTACTATTGATTTAAATGTTTCTCTATTGCATATATATTTTGAAAAAAAAGCCCACATTTCAAAGATAGTCACTGATTACCTGAGCCAGTGGGTCCTAGCATTAAAACATTACTTTTCTGTAATGCAATTGGTTTGGAGTCAGTCTCTGAGGATAACATTGGGGGGTCACTCTCCTCTTCTTGGTGAGAGTTGAACCCCAGGGCACTGGAGGAATGCCCCCTGATGGCTGCCTCCAAGGACTCTGAGAAAAAAAATTAACATCAATTCTAACAATCAACAAATGTCCTACATACAAGTGACACAACCTCATCAATTGCACTATACACTGAAATACACTTGTAATAATTAGTAACCACAACTGATGATCCATAGCATTATACTTTTCAGATCCTCTGTTCACATTTACAATTCATCTGATAAACATATTACACACTTACATGTCAGTATTAATTATCATTTTTAAGGATAATGAAATCAGAAGTTTAATATCAAATTTACCTGCAAAAAGATTTTCACCGAGTTTGGGTTTTGGTTGAGATGTCTGGCTGCTAGTTTTACACCACCGGACTCTCTTATAATGGTTATAGGAAGCTACAGATAGACTTTTCTTTGCCAGTTCCTGACCAATTACATGCTCATCCAGAAATCTATGAATCTAAGTATACAACCAAGAAAATTAAAGGATTTTTAACACTGTCCAAGACTTAATTTATTGGATATAACAAAGGCATCACAAAGCCTAGAATCCCCTTGTAAAATAGTATATTGACCCCAATGTAAATTATTACTTCTGTTATGCCATGCACTCACTCACACACCCACACACTCACAAGTGTGTTACTATATCCCCTCCAACTTTGTTGCAAGGGGATAATACTGACTTTGAATTTGATATGAGTATATTATATTGACATTACATCACTTGCCCTGTAAAATCAAATTATAATAGCTAATAACTTTAATGAACGATGAAACAAATGACTAAGAAAAGAATAAATAAAATATAGTCTACCTTCACTTGTTCTCTTCCCTTCATTTATCAATGAGTATAGCATTCATTTTACAACATGTACAAAGAATGTTTGTCTTTGACTGCAGTTTTCTAATGGCCGTACCGATTCACTTATCTGCAGGGGTACAGATGGTTCTGTTCTTGTATTCTGATCCACTAATACAGATACAGCTGTAATCTACCTCTTTAGGGGGTGGGTATATATGTACAGTTCTAACCTACCTCTTTAGGGAGTGGGTACAAGTTCAGTTCTAATCTACCTCTTTAGGAGTGGGTGTACATGTGCAGCTCTAACCTAACTCTTTAGGGGATGGGTATACATGTTCAATTCTAACTATCTCTTTAGGGGTAGGTGTATATGTACAGTTCTTCTCTACTTCTTTAGGGGTAGGTATTCATGTACAGCTCTGACCTACTTCTTTTGGGGTGGGTATATATGGACGGCTCTAACCTACCTCTTTTGGCGTGGGTATGCATGTACAGTTCTAACTATCTCTTTAGGGGGTGGGTATACATGTACAGATTGAAGTTACCTCTTTAGGAGTGGGTATATACATGTACAGCTCTAACCTACCTCTTTAGGGGTGGGTATACTGCTCTTGTCCTCTTCTTCTGTGCTAATAAACTCTTGGTCAACTTGCTCCTCAGATACCATGATCATCTGTTTACAGTTGTCACACTTTACAAATCCATTGATCATCACTAAAGAAACAAAATTTAAACAAATCAAAATGAAATACATACATATATATATATATATATACATATATATATATATATATATATATATATATATATATATATATATATATATATATATATATATATACTGTAATCGTACTTTTTTCACCAGGGTCATACAACTATTCCATGGAATCACAATTTCTGTTCAATCTGCGGGTAGAAAATTATGTGGATTTCTTACATTGCCTCTATATGCCTTTAATGTATTTATAGTATACTGGGACAAATTTCTGCGGAAAATTTGTGACCCCTTACATAGCCTTCATTGATACCATATGAAAAAAGTACTGTATATACAACTAAAATGTGTTTGAAATGTGGATATGTTATCATTCAGATGACGCTTGATAAACGAACTTACCACTGGAGTCAATGTTGAGTGCACCTCCACAGTTTGAACAAGGCCTGACCCGACGTTCTTCTCCCCCAAAACTACCACCCCCTTCACCTGGTCCCTCTGTCTCTCCTCCATTTCCAGTCTCCTTTCCTCCCTTGGACTGCAGAGATGAGGTCACATGAAAAGGTCTATGTTTGTGACACAGCTCAAGTTGACCAAGAACCTTCTTTTTGTTCTGATGTCTAACTCCACCTATGAAACAATGTTAAAGATTTAAGCACAGTTTGACAATATTTACAGAATATTGCTTAATATAATATTCTATAAGAGAACAATGCAACAAGGGTTGACCTTAATGATAAGATTACTAATGGTTAAATTGATAAGACAGTAGATCTTAAAAACTTTTTCAACATTATTTTTATGTTTACTTCATTAAAATGCCTTCCTCTGCACTTTTGCAAATATAAGCATGATGAGTAAAAACATAGATCTGAATGAAATTCAAAAAAAAAAAAACAAAAAAAAAACAAAACTATGTCAGAATTTTGATTTATAGGAGTTAGGTGAGAAGCATGTTTAACACAGATGCAAGTGTCAGGATTGGGAGGTGTTTCTACTAGGGCTGTTGTTTTGCAGTGGAGCATTAGGAATGTTTCTGTCTGAATTGGGGAATAAAATGAAGATCATTGAAGCATCAAAGAGCTCTGGAATGTCAAGTCAGAGGATCTGGGTTCACAGCCTCTACCCCTTTTTGTTTTATTTTTACCATGATATTGGACTCATTTTTGAAGGCCTACTGCAATTCCCGTTGAAAAATTTACTTGCACTAACATTTTGGCACCAATTAGTCATTCATCTTTTCATACTGATGTGAATATATTGACCATTCATTTCTATTGTATAACAATTTATTGTTATGATACACATATTTTGACAGGATACAGCATGATATAATTTATCCTCTAATTCCTTGCAAAGTAAATCAGTTCATGGAAACACTTCTATGCTTAAGTTTTTCTGAATTTTTCAACCTCAACATAACTTGAACTTATACAATACCAAATTACGACATACCTGCAGCAGTGGCCAGTGATCTGCGCGATTTCCCGGATAGACTTCGAATGCTAATTCTGACTCCACATCTTAACGCTAGCGACATAATTCAATATACAAAATGATGATAGAGGTTTCAATTCTAACATTTACGAGTCCCTGCAACCTCCAAACAAATCTAGTGTTACACAACAAAAGCAATCATGAACGACGAACGTGTCAATGGATTTTTGCTTCCTGTAAATTCAAATCTTCTGGTCCTGTCCAAAGAATAACAGATGTATGATGAATCTAAAATGTCGAAATATACTTGTAAAATATTAGAAATCTTGCATGTATCGTAGTAAATCAAAATATAAACAATAAATGTCAAGGCCTAGCACTGCAAATCCTGACCGACTTTCTGTTAACAAAATCAGGGTCATGAAGATGCTTTAAAATGTTATCCGATCCCGATCGAAAAAATATGACGAACGACAACCCTGCAAGGGAAATAACAAGAAATGTTCGAGAAACATATATGCCCCTTTTAACAAGAGGCCCATGGGCCACGTCACTTACCTCAGCACCCTGGTTTAAAGTGAAATCAGTTCAGCTAGTACTTGTAAGTGGTCACCCCCAGGGGGTGATAATTTGAACAAACTTGCTTCCAATTAATATCAACTAATCATGGCTTTGCTGTTCTTGAGAAGATTTTAAATGCCTTTTCCCCCTATATATTCCCATGTAAAACTGCCTAATGTGGCCCAACTCTAAAAAGTTGAATTTAAACTTCCTGGGGATACTTCCATATTAATTTGACTAATGCTGATCATCAAAAAATGATATTTAAAAGATATTTCCAGTATATTCCTATGTCTAGCTTTGATCCCCTGTTGTGGCCCAACTTTATAACCCCTGGGGCCATGGTTTGAACAAACTTTGAATCTACACTACATGAGGATGCTTCTGTATTAATATGACTAATCATGGCTTTGGTTTGCTGTTCTCGAGATGATTTTTTCCTACACAATTTCCTAATTGTATAACTTTGATCCCCTGTTGTGGTCCAATCCTAATCCAGGATCCATGATTTGAATGAATTAACTTGAATCGACACTCCCTGAGGATGCTGAATGTATTAATATTCGCTTAAATTATACCCAAGCTTCTGGGTATAAAGACAATTAAAGTTAACTTTAGGGAATGGTGATTCCCTTCGACTGAAATAAACCAATATGGGAAAAAAAACATTGCATCACATTATAATTGTGATGCCATTTTTTACATCAGGTTTAATTGTTTACATAGTGACATCATTATAGTAAGACACTTCAAGCATGGTAGCCAATTTTAACTTTTGATAAATGTGAATATGACAAAACAACAAAATCAAAGCCATGTTTTTGTATAATTTTCTAAATATAATTAGTCTCATAAAAAAAAAGAAAGAAAGAAAAAATATGTGTTATTTATAACTTTTATTTCTGATTGTTTCAGAGAAATGAACATGTAATGTACCCTGAATGATTACACTGCAAAACTCATTCAATGAATATCAAAAAAAAAAAAAAAAAAAAAAGAATATATTATTATCATTCCCTTTCAAATTAAATATTCCGAAAATTTAAAATAAACAACTTGTGTGTCTAAAACTATTGAAAAAGAAATTTCTATGCAGCATATGAATACATCTTTTCCATGATGTATGGCATAAACAGTCCCCAACTTCAAAAATTCTGTAAGTTAAATTTACAGTAGCTTAAATAGCAGTTATTACATATTTAAGTTTACATTACACTCCTGCTCACATTACACTTGTATCCTACAACATATCTTACACTCACTTTTACATAAAGCTTACATTACTATAAATTTTGCTAACATTACACTAAGTTGTTACACATGTTCATACACACAGCAAACATTACACTTCTGTCAATCCATACAGCTTACAATTAATATCAATAATTGTACAACGTACATAAAGCTTACATTACTATAAATTTACCTAACATTACACTAAGTTATACATAGCTTACATGTTCATACACACAGCAAACATTACACTTCTGTCAATCCACACAGCTTACAATTAATATCAATAAATGTACACTGTACACAAAGCTTACATTACTGTCAGCCCTAACACATAGCCTTATACATAACATTACACATTCATATTTCAAAAATATTGTTGAACTTTTATCTCAAGCATTTGATGTCTTATATCTTGGATATGTATATATAAAGTCAGTCATGATCTTATACAATTATTGCTGTTTTTTTTTTAGGTCAATACGATGATTTAAACACCTGAGGAGTACAATATTCACCGAGCCCGAAAGTGTCTAAATCATCGTATTGACCTCAAAAAACAGCAATAATTGTTTTATTATATGATTATCTATTTTTGGTCCAATGTAGAATAAATAATTCCTTATATTGACCTGGAAATAATTCCTTATATTGACCTGGAAGATCACATGCAGGTCAATGTAACATAGAATTTTTCTAACATTGTTGGATCTCAGCCAATCAGAGAGATGGGAATTATTCAATCATATAATAATATAAAATATTGACTTAAGTTTCATACCTTGAACTCTCATATACAAGGTTCATCTACATGAAGGTTACAAGTACATGAAGTTTTTTTGACAGCTCTGACATGATCTTTGAGACATTGACAGTTGACAGTAGTTCATTTTACGCTTCTGAAATCACAGTTAGCTCACAACTTGTAACATTCTAATATTGCACCAATTTTCTTCCAAAGGATTTAAACCTTTTGATCAAGTCTTTTGTTCATGTTTCTCTTTCCTTTTCTTCTTTCTTTCTAGATTTTTTGCCTTGATGTATTTCTGTTTCTTTCTGGCCTCTTCATCTGGATCCTGTAAATATTTCAGATACAGGTAATTGTTTTCATAATGAGAATTACAGGTACAGAGTCCAAATTAAAACTAATGAATTTAGCAGGTCAGACACTTTATTTCCCAATGGCAGGGGCACAAGATTCAGATGATGAGAGATCAATTAAAAATAAAAACCTAATACTAATACCAATACTGGTACGTTGTAAACCAAGTGTCTTAATCCTGATTCTGTGTGGGAGGGGGTGCTTTTTACACACTTTAAAGATACTATTGATATTTCTTGCACATACTTGCTAGACTAAACTGCTGAAATGAGGGAGGGTGCTATTTACACTGCCTTCTCACTTGTTACCTTTTACACTGAAGCTTACTATGGTCAAAAACTAACTAAGATCCAATTTTAAAAGTACATCAATTCAGGAATGGTTGTCTGTTTCTTTATTGGGAAAAGTATGAATTGCAAATACTTGAGCAGATTTGAATAAAAATTATATACATGTACATATAAGATACTTGCTTTAAATAGTAACAGGGTGAAGGAGAGGAGAGGAATTTTAATCGTAATCTTTTTTGTATTCTTGAGCAAAACTCTGAACCCCCTTGTGGTCTTGCTCTAGTATTAAAGCCATGATAAAAACAAACCTCAACCTAAAACAAGTGGATCTGCCTGCATACTGATTTAACTAATTGAAGCTTTCATGCTTTTTCCTTTGAAAGGGAAATAACTCTTCAAAAAAAAAATGGTTTGAAATTAACCAGTGGTATTAAAGAAGTGAATCATGTGAAAGACTTACAGTAAACACACACTTTAAATCAGAAAGGCTCATTTGAACCCTAAACTCAGTTAGCCATGACCAAAACCCTTCTCATCTTATATCTTTAAACCCTACCCTATTGGAATTTATACATGTGTATGATAGCATCTGAATTCAATCTGTCTGTCCAAATTAACCACATTGCTCCGCTTATGCACCATCAAACAGTTCTACAAGAATCTATATTTGATTACAACCTGTATGTAATACAGTATATTAAAAATCTTAATACTTAAACATCAAACAGTCAAGAATTTCTCAGTGACTGACAGTTTGCAATACTATGATGGTTTTTGTTCCATTGACTTTGTCTCAGATTTTTATTCTTACCTGTTTAACTATTTTGGTTTTATGTTTACTAAAGCTTTTCTTTATATAATGTCTCATCATTATTGTATTTTACAGAAAAGCTCCAGTACTTTACAGAGTATGCTCTACTTGAGTAGCAAAACAAAATACCTCGTTATACAGCTAAAGAATGGTTACCTTTCCTTCCATCAGCAGTCTCTTCCTTTTGTTGATCTCCTTTTGGACCCCAAAGTCTCTTTCATCCAATCTCTATAAAGACATGAAAGAAAAATTAATATAAATACTGGTGGTTAATTAACAACCATTAAAGTAGAAATACATTACATTACTCGGATTCAAAAATACGAAGAATATTTTTTTCTACTCAGTATCAGAAGTACAGATTACAAATACATGTATACAAGAACAATATGTTCCTCAGCAAAAGAAATAAAGGGTATTTAGTACAAAAAACATCACTTAGTTAAAATTAAAGGTAAATACTGACTACATGGTATGTTAGTTTAGGCCAGAAATACAATGTTCTGTGGTTTCATCATTTTTCATTGAACACCAATTTTCATTGTTTTTGTGGTAGAGCTGGACCACAAAATTAGGTGGTAGAATAGGGTAAGATAAATATTCATCAATTTACATATTCAAAACCATGAAATCTAATCCCCATAAAAATACATGAAGCCATAGAATACTAAGGACCAAAAATACTGCTTAATACAGTAAGTTACTGAGGGTTACAAATAAGTATATAGTATATTAGTCAGTGTCAGAAATACAGTAAATATGTAAGGGATACAAGACAAAGATGGTCTAATATGTCAGATACAGGACTGAGACAAGGTGCGACAGAGTTTACATTACCCAGCATCAAAAATAGTGGTACTAGCATACAGTTTGTTATGCATGATCAAAAATACAGTGTATAGGAATTAAATCTCAAAATGAATGTACAGCATACAGCTGAACTTTGGTATCTCGAACGCTGATATCTCGAATACCATGGATATGTCAAACTAATTGGGAAGTCCCAACCACTTATTCTTTAAGTATATTACTCTCGATATCTCGAATCCTTGGACATCTCGAAGTTTTTTTTCTCGGTCCCATCGAGTTCAAGATAACGAAGTTTGACTGTATGTTAATCAGTATCAGAAAAGCAGAGTACATGATACATGATCAGTGTCAGAGAGACTGGCTTTCTACTATAACTTACAATCTCTGCCTCTCGTTTTGCAGTAGCAACTTCTACCAAAATTTTCATTACTTCTTTTTCCTTAGTATCATACTCATCCATTTTGGAATCTGTTTGAAATTACATCAGTACAAAGTTATACCCATATTCAATCAAAAATGTTTGTAAAAATGCACAAAGTATTAATTACAAATACAGACATACTGACAAACTCCTCAATGGCATGAACTAGCTTGACATCAAACTGGGTTACCAAGGTAATAGCTGTTCCATGACGACCTGAAAATATATTTACATTTATTCAATCTATTATCATATCTAATCTCTTTTGACATTATGTAATCTGAGTAAATTAAATGGACATTCATAAGAATTTGTTTTTAAGAATTTTGTTATCTAAAAGTAACATAGGAGGTGCCCAAAATATAGCACCATGTAATGAAGATTCTGTTAAGTAAACAAAACAAGAGGCCCAAGGGCCTTGAATCACTCTTCTGATAAACTGTACAACCTATCACTTCTATCTGAAGCCTCTAAGTATCCTGTATACATGTATTTAGATAAAGCCTTGAAATTCCAAAGGTAGGTCATCATGACCTACATTTTAGATGAAACACTCTGAGAACCCAAGATGATTCTAAGCCAATTAGTACCTTAGAGTAGGTCATGGTGACCTACTTATCACTTGTCATTACCATGAGGACCCAAGATGCATCAACTAAGTTTGATGATTCTAAGCCAATTAATACCTAAAATATTTTTAAAATTATAACCATAAAATTTTAAAAGTAGGTCACAGTGACCTACTTTTCAGATGACATACTTTGTGGACCCAAGATGCATCAACTGACAAAGTTTGATGATTCTAAGCCAATTAGTACCAAAAATATTTCATTATAGCCATATAAATTGAAAAGAAGGTCACGGTGACCTACTTTTCAGTCGACCTACTCCGAGGACCCAAGATGCATCAGCTGACAAAGTTTGATGATTCTAAGCCAACTAGAAAACTGATCAGTCAGTAAGGGCCCAGCCGAGGGGTAGAAATATAAGGGTGCAGTTTACAGAATGAGAATTTTACTTATTACAAAAATTAAAAAATATATGAAGAAGAATATGCAACAACAACTGTGTTAATAAAATTTCAAGATAATTCCTAAATATCCAACAACCTGTAAATAGTATACCTGTATTTACACAAGGCAGTAAAAAACACCATATCTATAATATCTCAGTTAAATGTATTTAAACAAAAAATAAAGCATGTGTTTTATAAAATGCCAGCCTTCAGTGAATGCAAATAACACCCAAGCTTGACCTTAACTTCAAAACAAACATCAGTTGCAGACAAAGGTGTTAAGGAGGTTGGATCCTGCCATCAAAAGTAATGAGAATTTTTTAGCAAGTATATTTTTAGTATTTAGACACATAGCTTAATTAAAAATCAAAACAAAAAATGGGGGTCAATGCGCTTCTTTTGACGCTACAGAGCATTTAGTTTGACCTTTTTGCACTGTAAACACGTCTTATACATAAATCAATTTTTAAAGTTTTTCCTCCAAATTTTTTATTCAAATAAATTATGGGAACAAACACAGTCTTATTTCATCGTGAATAGACACATTAAAATTTGTGACAATGAAAAAAATTTCGAATGACTCCGCATGTATAATTATTTGACCTTTTTGCACTCAAAAAATTTCATTTTGCTGGAATTAAAAATTTAACAAGCAAAAAAATCTTTGAAAGTAATGACATTTTACTGAATTTAAGAAGAATGGTTAAAAGTATGATATATATTCAGAAAATAAAATTAAAAGTGGGGGTCTGTGATGTTAATTTTTAGATATTACCAAAATAGTGCTATTTTTAAGCTTAAATTAGGGCTATTTTTTCTTGTTTTTTCACAGTATATTTGCTATATTTATCAAATATGATGATAGAATTCATGACAGTTAATTCCATATATATAATTAAGGACCAGTATAAAACAGTTCACTGCACAAAATAACTCTGTGTGCAGAATGCTTGTAAAAATAGGAATCCAAACTTAACATACTTTAAATACTTCGAAAGAGAAAAAAATGATCAAATTCTTCTAAAAACTCTTCCGCCACAAAATATAGTTCCTCACTAAATGCCTTTGGTATGGAGTTTAATCATGGAGTTTTAACTTAATATAGTTTAAATGGCATTGTAGAATCCAAATTTATTGTAAGAATTAAAACATTATGCATAATTTTTAAAATATAGGTTAAGATAAAAATCTGCTCAAAAGCTCAGGAGCGAACCTCGTTAATTTATCTTAAAGTGACAAAGAAAGATGAGCCTCTAAAATATTCTGCACTAGGCAAGATAATTAATCCCAGGGGACTAATTGTACTGCTCTCTCATCCTTTTCTTCCAAGCTTACAAAGAGAACTTTTTCAGTAATGATAGAATAAGGTTATTATCAGACTACCTGTTAAAATTAATAGTGTTCTTGAATTTACATAAGGCAGCAATATATATATATATATATATATATATATATATATATATATATATATATATATATATATATATATATATATAAATTAATTCATTAAAAAAATAAAAAAGATATCATCATGTATATCTTGTTTTTAGAATTCAATAAAATCATAACTCATTGTGTATTTTACCAAAACAAAGGATAAACATTTTTTATTCCACATTTCAGAGAATGTAAACATCATTCAGAATTGACCTTAACTACAAAACAAACTTCATTTGCAGACAGAAGTGTTAATTAATCTCATTTTGACAGAAACAGATAATGCTTTAGATTTTGTTCAAGAGGAAAGTTAATTAATCCCTTGGGACTAGTTGAAGCTTTCACAGTTTACAATAAGAACACTGTCAGCAGTTATCTCTCTTTGCCCTGGAATTCATTCTAATGTAAAGTTAAGGAATCTACCCCCACCACCCCAGCTCCAAACTGGATGAAATAGAGAACCAAAATTAGCTTCAAAATATGTCTTACTGCCTATTCAACCAACATACCAAATTTGAACCTAATTGGTCAACTAAAAAAAAAGTTATTAGAAAAAAACAGAAAATTTGTGGACGGAAGAATGACAGACGGACGGAGAGACAGACAGAGAGAGTGATTACTATAGGGCATCCGCAAATTCTTGCAGGGCCCTAATTAGTACCTGAAATATTTGATTAAAACCATAAATTTTCAAAAGTAGGTCAAGGTGACCTACTTTTCAGTTGATTTACTCCGAGGACAAGAGATGCATCAACTGACAAAGTTTGATGATAATAAGCTAATTAGTACCCGAAATATTTCATTGTAGCCATATAAATTGAAAAGTAGGTCACGGTGACTTACTTTTCAGAAGACGTACTCCGAAGACCCAAGATGCATCAACTGACAAAGTTTGATGATTCTAAGCCAATTAGTACCCGAAATATTTAATTACAGTCATATGTATAAATTGAAAAGTAGGTCACGGTGACCTACTTTTCAGTTGACCTACTCCGAGGACCCAAGATACATCAACTGACAAATTTTGATGATTCTAAGCCAAATAGTAAATGTCATTTTTGGTCAACTTTGAAGTGACCTTGAGACCACGCCCTTTGCCCCAGGGTTAATCTACAACATATCCTCATTCTTTTGTGTAAGTTTGGTGTTAATCTGCCCAATGGTTCTTGATAAGAAGATTTTTTAGCAACCAGTACTTTTGTTTCTATTTTCCTAATTATCTCCCCTTGTTTAAGGGTCACAACCCTAGTTTTAGTACAAATGGGAGCCCTTGGGCCAAGGATACCCTGTGACAAATTTGTCAATAATTGGCCAAGGGGTTCTTGAGTTATGGCCCATATTCTAAAAAAGTTTACGCACACACACAAATGGCCATAGCATTAGCTCTTTGAGACTTGGGCTCAGAAGAGCTAAAAATTACAGCATCTAAATTTTCTACAATCTACAGTCTTTGTGTTTGTCTGTAATGGTAAGGAATTACTCAAAAACTCAATGGTTTTTTTTTTAATTTCAAGGTACCATTAATCAAGGAGTGTGTATATAAATAAAAAAAATCAAGTATTAGGAACTTAATGAAAATATCATGACATTAAAAAGTAATCTTTAAATGCTAATATACCGGTACATGTAAATACCGTACATGCATTCATAAATACTTTTTCCCCATTTAATATACTTTTGTGCATGTACATGTATTTGTTGAATTTGAGCCTGCTTTAATGTTACATTATAGACTGTAATGTCATGCTTGTTGAACACTGACACAAGAAATGCAAGTAGTTTAAAAGGAGTTTACACCAAAACCACTGGACATTTATTAATTATTTAAATTTTTTGGATTTCCTAATGCCCTTGTTTTACCTGCCCTGGCTGTACGTCCCACACGGTGTACATAATCCTTCGGTTTGTTAGGAACATTGTGATTGATAATCAGGTCCACTGTGGGAATGTCCAAACCTCTAATAAAATTATCAATCTTCTATGAATTTTTTTTGATTTAAGAAATATTGCTCTAGAGAATTTGAGAAATGTGTGATGATATATGTACATGTAACTGATATGTGTTTCTTACATCTTTCACTGTTTGTAAAATTTATATGGTATGTGCAGAATATTTGCATACAGATTTTCATCTTATAGAGAATATAATTTTCAAACTCATGAATACTAAACACGAAAATTTGTGATCAACTGATTCAGTAAACAAAGCCTTGGAGTCTCATACCTGCTGGCTACATCAGTAGCAATTAGAATGTTGATCTGGTTAGATTTAAATTTAGCCAATGCAGCTAATCTCTCCTTCTGTCTAATCATCGAGTGTAAAACTACACAAGGAAGGCCCAGCTGTGTACAGATCATTCCTAAAATCTGGGTGTATCTAAAACACATAAAACATACACCAACCTTATCATGATATTCAACAATCATCAGTTATGCATACCAGTATATACAGAAAAGGGTCTCCCTCTTGATATATATATGTATAAGCATACAATTTTTTTTTTTGCCAAATGCAGTGATTGGGAAGACCATGAAGGTTAGTGGGAACTATGAAATGTTTAAAAGAAGAGGTGCTTTTTAGTTAACAGAAACATACATGAATATTACATATGTAATCTAAGGATCTTACTTGCATGTGTTGGTAAAGATCATAATAGAACTTTTCTTGTTAGCCTCTGTATACTTGTCCAGGATGTGTATAAGGTAGGCATCTTTAATATCTGCTGGCATCAAGACATAGTACTGCTTCAAACCCTCAACAGTAGCTACCCTATTCAAAAGTATTTACCAAGTTGAAATGTACTAAATTGGACACAAAGCAAGAGCATGATCATTGCAGGACATGGAAATGGTCAATGTTTGTTGCTTAATGGGGATGTTTCAAAATTTCCAATTTCTATGCTTTGTCATCACTGTATGAATTCAGTGAAAAAAGTCTACATTTTAAATTAAAAATTGCAGAGAAATTAGCAATAAAGCATGTTTCTTAGGATATTCATTACTCACACATTTGGTTAACAAAAATAAGTCACTAAACTTATTTAAGGTATATTACCTTGAATTTTTTATTTTACCTCTAACAATTTTTTTTCTTTGTTAACTTGTTTGTTATCTGTTCATTCTTATGAAGAATACACAGGTAAACAACAATTACTCTGATTTTTGTTGCCAGAAGAAAGGTTTGTTCATTGCCACATCCTGTAAATCTTTCAGATGTTTTGTCATTGTAGCACTAAACAGAAGTGTTTGTCTCTTTTTGGGGAGAACTTTAAATATAGTCTCTAGCTGCTCTCCAAAATCATCTTCAATCAAACGATCTGCCTCATCTAATACCTACAGAAAACCAAAATCATCTTCAATCAAATGATCTGCCTCATCTAATACCTACAGAAAATCACGAGTAACACATGTAGAAAAACTGAAAGATATTAAACTTTGTATGCAAATGACAAAAATTAAGTATTAAACATTAATTTGTCTTCTCGTTGGTAACTAACCAGAAACTTGATTTTGCGTAAGCTGAATGTATCACAGCTCTGTAGGTGGTCAGCCAATCGTCCAGGTGTGGAAATCACTATATGGGGTTTTACCTGTAGATCAATACCCTGCTGCATCATGTCTACAAGTAAATATAATCATTAACTTTGGTAAATATGATTGTCAATTATTGTAGATACGATCATTAACTATTGTAGATATGACAATTAACTATTGTAAGTATGATAATTAACTATTGTGGATATGATAATTAACTACTGTGGATATGATAATTAACTATTGTGGATATGATAATTAACTATTGTAGATATGATAATTAACTATTGTAGAGATGATAATTAACTATTGTGGATATGATAATTAACTATTGTAGATATGATAATCAACTATTGTGGATATTGTAATTAACTATTGTGGATATGATAATTAACTATTGTAGGTATGATCATAAACTTTTCATATAGAAGTATGGTAGATATGATTGTTAACTATTCTTAAAGAATTATGATAGGCAACAACTTTTTGAACCATTCTTTCAGATTTAATACTGATTTTAACTAGGGCTTTGTTGATATATCGATACATACCAATATTCAAGAATGTATCGTATGAAAAAAAAACTTCCAATATGTATCGAGCAGGCAGTTTTTCTCATAATTCTTTGAAAAAGTTGGGAATTTCAATCACCAAAGGATACATTTAAGTGTTTTGAATGAAAAATGATCAATAATGATATAAACATTAAGGAGATAGCACATCTTAAATAATTATTACAAAATACATGGACAACTATATTTTAACATTTTGAAGTGTATTTGAAGTGTATTTTGTAATGACAGTGAGTGAGACAAGAACTTTGAAATGGTTTATGAAACACTCAGTTTTTATAAAGTTTATGCATTAAATGATTAACAAGACTTTTTTGATTGACTTGTTAAAGAATCCAATATATCGCATATTGCTTTATAAAAAATCATATTGTATCAAAATTTTTTGCTCAATACGCAGCCCTAATTTTAACCCAACAACAGTTCATGATTCTTTTTGACTCAAAATAAATTAATTTTTCCATTCTACATGTAGTATTTAATGCATTATCATTGATCTTCATGCTTCTGATTTAAAAAAAAAAATCTGAATTTTTTTTTAACATTGTGTTACACCTGTGATGACAGTAACTCTGTACATATATAGATCTTACCCAGTCCTCCTGTGATGACAGTAACTCTGTACATATATAGATCTTACCCAGTCCTCCTGTGATGACAGTAACTCTGACATTGATTGGTTTACCAAGGACATTAAACTGCTCTGCTATCTGGAAGGCCAACTCTCTGAATATACAAACACACACTTGTTATGTAATATTGACTGAATTTTAACCTGTCAAGATCACCATCATTTTTAGTGAATGGTCAGATTTTTATTTTTAAGCAATTACATCACATTGTACTAAAATCATTTCAAAAATTATGAGAGATACACAAGAATCACAAACCTTGTTGGAGTCAATACCAATGCAAAAATGCCAAAAGGGTCCTCTGAAAGTTTTTGTAGAACTGGTAAAGCAAATGCTGCTGTCTTGCCACTTCCTGTTTTAGCACAACCAATACAGTCCCTCCCTAAAAAAAAAATATGAAAAATGGAACAATTTTGAAATAAATTGTAATGGAAGGTAAATACATATGCAAAAGTTTCCCTAAATTACAAACATACAATTCGTTACAATTAATAAGATAAATTAGGTAGGTAATTCACTCAGGCAGTCCTAAAATCTAGATGCATCCCTATAAATTAACTAATGGTTATATATAAATTTCTCGGGATGCATCTAGAATTTAAGACTGCCTGAATAATAGTGATGAGACATCGGTTAATTTTCATAATCGATCATCGGTTGGAATCGGTTACTGCTTCCGATGCGATTTTACCGATTATAATCAGATTTCATAGTTTTGTATACAAAAAGCAGAGAAGAAATTACTGAAAGAGAAAATACACAAAAGAAAAATGAAGAGAAAATTAGCATGAAATTTAGATGGAATAAAACAATACCAGAGTAATTTTGAAATTTCAATATATTTTCAAGGTTATATATATAACTATTTGAAAGTACATAGAGGCCAACTCATATAAACACTTTTTTATAGTATTATTATACTATAGTGGTATACTAGCTAGCCAATATGACTTACACTACAAGAAATGAAAAAAAAATTGTAGAAAAAAAAAATAATAATGACTGCTGATTTGCTCGATTCTGTAAAGATAACATGACTATGTGATAATTTCTGGCTGACATCTAAGGTATGTAATTTTTAGGTAAATGTTTTTTCACACAAAAATCAAACTTAAATTATTTTGATATTGCTAGTTTTGTTTATCAAAGATAGATCAAATAAATGAAACTATATATAATCTGACCTGACATAGAACAGTTACTAAAAAATTCTCCAGCAATAATATCAATTGTTATGAAAACAACACTGATCACAATGAATAGTACACATACATTATAATTATTATTTGATAAATGGGTTTGTGTATAGTGTACATCATCAGACACTGTGAGTTTGTGTTTGCCAATCAGAGTGGGGTCACAGGTAAATGATATGTGATAGGTAGCAGGTGGCCAGTGTAGCATGCAATGCTGAAGTCAATTGAATACAGGTAATCATTTTAAGAACATTGGACTATTATTATTAATCATAATTAAATGTCAGGTAAGGAGCTGAAATTTTACACTTTAAAATTTGCATTTAATATATCCTTTGGGTCTCTTATACTGTGCTATGTATGTTTGGTTGTGACCCTTTGTTTCCAAAGCTTAAGGTCAATAGGAAACTTGGTTGCTGCGTGCCATAGGTCATACAATATGTCAACAGGGACCTAAATACTAAGTCCCTGATGTCAATAATTTAAAATTTTAGAAATGTAAATCATGTAGCCATAGTAGCTTCTGTACCCTGGTTACATTCAGAATCCAGATAATATATATAATAATAAAAGTAGAATTTGTATTATTAAGTAACACTGTACCCGGAACGACTTTACTTTACCGGTCCCCAGAAAAACGCGCTAAAATATAGTGTCGCCGTAGGCGACTTCAATATATACGAGATCGCGTGAGCGATCGAAAAAAATAAAAAATATGAGGTTTTAAGCCTCTTTGACCCCAAATTCGAATTTTACGGTTAAAAGTTTAGTTTAAAACTTCGTTTATAAACGAAGTTTTTAACCTCGTTTTCTGAAAAAAAGTAAGAAATGTTGTTTATTCAGTGGAAAGGAGACAAAAAATAATTGTGAACGAAGCGCGTGCGGCGCATGCTTAGTGCCGTTTCTTTCGTACTTAGCCATTTTTTTCATGTAAACAAACCAACGAGATGTCGTTGAAGCTGAATTAAGATCTTGCAAAAAATACAGATGCAACTGAATTTCTTAATTAATCTAAAAGAACAAGACACTAACCCTTATCTCTCGGATGGTATGCGAGGCCTAACCCAAATCTCCCAGGCGGATGCTAGACCATGCTAGACTAACCCATGTGCGAGGACTAACCCTAATCTCTCGGATATATGCGAGACTAACCCTAATCAGTCGAAAACTTATGCAAGGACTAACCCTAATCTTTCAGGTGGGTGCAAGACTAACCCTAACCAGTCGAAAAATGTGCAAAACCAACCCTAATCAGTTGAGTGACGTAAATCTTACGTCATAGTGCAATGAGCGCGCGGATCTTGCGGATCTGGGGACCGGTAAAGTAAAGTCTGTAACCAGGTCACGTCAACAGTCCTTCAGAAATTTTCTACTTTCATTTTTCAATGCTTTTATACTGAAACCTTTTTGTAACCTTATTGCTAAAGGATAAATAGGGGATGTACCCTAGGGTACAAAAGTATGACCTAAAAACACAGTACCAATTTCTTGCCATATATGGTCAATGTTTGCAAACGGTTTGTACTTTTATTAATTAAGGTTTAAAATTTGGCAGTATACGGCACCAAAAAAAAATACATGGTAAGAAACAAAACTTATAAACAAACGGGGGGTTCCCCACTTTGAGGTGCCTGTGGTTGTATGAACGAGTCCCAATTTTTCTATATAAATCTTACCTTCTAAAATTGGTGGAATACAGTTGACTTGAATTGGAGTGGGCTGACGAAGTCCCATTGTATGACACTGTGCCCATAGCCATTCATTAAGTTCTAACTTCTCAAACTGTTCTCCAGACTTTAATTTTTGTTTACTCGAACTTGCCATCGCAGCCATGCTTGTGCTAAAATTGTCAATGTTAGGTATACGCTTCCATTCTATTTTGAGATGTTTCCTACCTTCAAACACAGTATTGACGAAGAAACAAGAGAGATGTAAAAGAGAAAATTTATTCTCGAAAGGATAAAATTTCCCGGTTTAGAAAGGTATCGTTTGTGTGTAAATGTTCATAGCGTTTCTTATATAAATAATTCTTTGCAATATCCCAACATCCACTATTGCATATAATAAAATCCAAAGCCCCTCCCCTTCCCCCTTTGCTGCTCCTTCAACTGTTCAAGTCCCCAAAACTTTCTGTATTCTCAAAAATGCTTAGAAAAAATTAATAAATGATTTGGCATCCAAACTTTGAAATTGCCTCACTCACTTGAAAATCGTGGTGTTGGCCTGGTTAACCAACTGACTTTGGAAAAAAAAAGAACGCTGTGATAATTTGATTTTTTTACAAAAAAAATCTTTTGATATTGATCCATTCATCAGCTCTTAATTCTGTTAATAACTACGATAATATTGTCTAAAAGAGGTTATTTTCTTGGCCGTCAAAGTAAATTTTGGAAAAGTTGATCTGGTCATCTTGTAAAAAAAAATTATCATGTGATACTCATCCTTTTTGTGTTCCCTTGGATGTATGAAACATCTATATGTATATATATTTATTATAAGTAAAATATTCACGCATCATTTCAGATTGGTAATTAATGGCAGGGGCTAAATATATCTTAGTTTGATTATAGCAGGGCTGGGTACAAATCTCAGATCAATATTAAATAATGGCAGGACTGGGTACATCTCAAATCAATATTTCATAATGGCAGGACTGGGTACATCTCAGATCAATATTTTATAATAGCAGGACTGGGTACATCTCAGATCAATATTTTATAATGGCAGGACTGGGTACATCTCAAATCAATATTTTATAATGGCAGGACTGGGTACATCTCAAATCAATATTTTATAATGGCAGGACTGGGTACATCTCAAATCAATATTTTATAATGGCAGGACTGGGTACATCTCAGATCAATATTTTATAATGGCAGGACTGGGTACATCTCAAATCAATATTTTATAATGGCAGGACTGGGTACATCTCAAATCAATATTTTATAATGGCAGGACTGGGTACATCTCAGATCAATATTTTATAATGGCAGGACTGGGTACATCTCAGATCAATATTTTATAATGGCAGGACTGGGTACATCTCAGATCAATATTTTATAATGGCAGGACTGGGTACATCTCAAATCAATATTTTATAATGGCAGGACTGGGTACATCTCAGATCAATATTTTATAATGGCAGGACTGGGTACATCTCAGATCAATATTTTATAATGGCAGGACTGGGTACATCTCAGATCAATATTTTATAATGGCAGGGCTGGGTACATCTCAGATCAATATTTTATAATAGCAGGACTGGGTATACATCTCAGATCCATCATGGCAGGACTGGGATACATCTCAGATAGATGCAATGGCAGGGCTGGGTACATCTCAGATCAATAAAGGCAGGGCTGGGTACTTGCATTTACTTAATAGAATACGTGACACTAGATAACTGAAAAATGAACTGCTCTATCTTATGTATTGGTTAACTAGAAATATGTCCATAGGACATGAATGCCCCGCCGAGGGTATATTAGTAATGCAACATTTTAACACAAATTGAGAAAAGTGAGGTCAAGGTCAAAGGAAAGGTCAAGGTGAAAAAATATTGATGCAGTTGAATAGCTTACAGTATGTATCAGCATATGAAGTTTGACACTAATTTAAGAAAAGTGAGGTCAAGGTCAAAGGAAAGGTCGAGGTAAAAAATTGTTGATGCAGTTGAAAAGCTTACATCAGTATGTATTAGCATATGAAGTTTGATAAAAATATTATGAATGGTTTCTATAAAACTGAGCTAAACACTAATTTAAGAAAAGTGAGGTCAAGGTCAAAGGAAAGGTCAAGGTCAAAAAATATTGATGCAGTTGCATAGCTCTTGTCAGTATGTATCAGCATATGAAGTTTGACACTAATTTAAGATAAGTGAGGTCAAGGTCAAAGGAAAGGTCAAGGTCAAAAAATGTTGATGCAGTTGCATAGCTTACATCAGTATGTATCAACATATGAAGTTTGATTACACTATCTTGAATGGTATCTTTAAAACTGAGCTAAACACTAATTTAAGAAAAGTGAGGTCAAGGTCAAATGAAAAGTCAAGGTCAAAAAATGTTGATGCAGTTGCATAGCTCTCATCAATATCTATCAGCATATGAAGTTTGATAAAAATATCTTGGATAGTTTCTTTGAAACCGAGTTTTGAACAGAGCTAAACGCAAAGCGTGACGGAAGGACAGACAGAAGGACGGAAGACGGACATGACAAACACTATATGCCCCGGCCATATTCATGACGGGGCATAAAAATATCTCATTATATAGCCAATCCACTAAAAGTGCACAAACATGCATTTTTGGAGACATGTGACTCAACTGGTATAGGCAGTAGTAAAAAAAAGAAAAAAATTCCAAATATTTTGCCAGGTTTGCCTCAAATTGAACCATGTCTTCAACATTCTAAGGTTCAACTTTTCCTAAAATTTTATAAGAGTCATAGGCCGGCTGATCTGTAGCTCATTGGTGTGAAAAAATTGACAGTTGCCCATCCTAATGTTTTCAGACCAAAGAGATAGAGATCTGCTGAAAAAATTAATTCTCAAGTTTTTTTGAGATCTTCTACAGTCAGATGGATGGACAGATTGACATCACGGGCAAACATTAAAGGTCACTCCTTACATTCTTGGCAGGGGTAATAACAATATACACATTGTACGGTATTCTCTTGATCAATTTTACATGTAATGATTTTATTGAACAATATAATTTCTAACTGTTACAAAATTTAACATTTGTATCAATGCTTATTCTCTAACAGTGAATGTAACATATACTACTAGACACACATGTATATATCAGTATAAGATTAATCAGATTTGTTAATCCCTATAAATAAATATAGAACACAAATACATGGAAAGATTAATTGGATTTCTTAATCTTTACAGTACACATTAAACAAGACATGAAAACAGTTTGTGTATCAGAATTACATTTGCTGCAACTGAAAAAAAATTGCATTTTTTTTTTAAAGGAAAGTCAATTATGCACGGTAAAACACACTTACAGCAAAGTGTCAGGGATGAACAATATTGATTCATTATAAATGTAATTTGTTATATCCAATAAGAATATGTTTCAAATCCACAAGGAATGTAAATCACTTCGCAGTAAGCATGAATTTATTATGAGTGTGTTTGCTATAACCATGTTGTTCTGTACTGATTCATTCACCAACAGTACACCAATAATCAAAAGTTTTAAATTCAAGGAACAGGATATAAAATAACAGAGGTTTGAAGTTATACCTTAACAAATGTACACTGCACGTTATTCTACATGTAATACATGTATATAAACTAAACTATACAACATGCATGGAATTAGTTCTTGATAATCCATGAAGAAAGGAGCTGTGCCTGGAGTTATTTTTTTTTTCAATAGATGATGTTACCATACATGTACACTGGCACAAGCTAGCTACATGTACATCTAATGATATCAGATATCTAGCTATTCACACGTATACACATACATTACTCATGATGCATGAGAATTTCTCTTTCCTATATTAATCAAATTGTAATTTATTTTGAAGTACATGCAGGTTAAATAATGGTGGGAAAATAAAAATTTCTTAGAATACATACCCATGTCAAATGATCAACAAACTATACAGTGCATGAAAATTAATATTATGCTGCAATACAGTCATCCAAAAACTAACAGTATCAAACAATACTGGCCTTATATTCAGATTAATATATCCACATCTCAATACAGGATTATGCTCTGGAATCACCAAATGAGTCAATTCTATTTTCTCAATGCATTTCTGTCACATTAAATTGTAGTACAGTTAACTATTAATTTCATTCTTCATGCACAAGCACTGAAAGTTTAGGTTTCCTTTGTGTAAATTTTGCTGTACAGGAATTTACTGTATGACAAAAACTAAATATACTGTACTTGTATAATTTAATCTATCAATTTTTATGGAAAAGTTTCCAAGAATAAAAAGACTCATACTTAGCCATTAAATATAATCTAACAAAATGACTACCATGAGATTTCTGAGACAAACAATCATATTAAAACTGTGTAATAACTGATTTATACACACGCATCCTACATTGTATATTGCACATTAGTATTTTAAAAACGTAAAAGGACTAGGTGTTAGAACAAATACATATACTGTATACTCATAATATAGCACCATAAAAAAATCAAAATTAAAAAGATACAATTATTAAACAATTCTTGTGCAAAAAATAAAGAAATCTGAGATACACATAAAAAAGTTAATCTGACTGATGAACTGGTTATTAAAAATATCAGTAATTGCCAATAAATGTGAACACTAAATCAACAAGATCTTTGAATTTTATTCACAATGAGAACCCTCATATCTGCACAGCTTCATATGATGTTATTCACACCGAATTAACCAGAATATTTATTTAGAGAAGTTTTCTATTACTTTATCAGATTTGAAGGGAGTGGACCAAACATTGGAATTAATTATCCTGGTTTTTTGCACTAAAATTTGACAAGTATGCAATTATAAAAAGAAAAGGAAAAAGTTTCAATAACAATTTATAAACAACAAAAATTAAGTTTTTTTTACAGTGAGTACTTGTAAAAGTACAACAAACTTATACATGAAGCTCCAACTCCCTCCACCTTTCCACAACTGTTGCCTTGTGATGAAGGTGTCTTGGTGTCACACTTGTGATGAAAGAAATTTTTAGCATTTCAGAAAAAGTGCAATAACTATCAAATACTGCTATTTTAAAGTAACAATGCTGAACATAGATGAATTGCCTATCCCTATGCCTTCTCATACATGTACAATGATATATTGTATAGTGAACATGTAGCTTTCAAACATGTAGAAATGTGATATAGTTTTGACTCATTGCTATGTTTAAGTACTGTGACATAAAAGTTCATAACATTATCAAGAAATACTTGTTTTCAACAGTGATACTGAATATCATGTTCCATGGAGTAACATATACATGTATATACAATTTTTTCATTGTTGTTAAAATAAAATTTACAGAATAACATAGAGTTGGTCCTTTTTAATTGTACCTTTAACAATTCCCTGTATAGTACTGTGGAATCATTTTAATTCGTGGGGGTCAATGTTCGTGGGCCAGCAAAATTTTACTTGTTCGTGGGGACTTAATTTCGTGGGTTACTCGTTTATACGGAAGATTTAATGAATTAATATGTTTGCAAAAAACGTTCGTGGGGATGTTAATTCGTGGGTACGGGTGACCCACGAAATCCACGAACATTGGTCCCCCACGAACAATGATGATTCCACAGTATGACATGTAGTTAAAATATTCTGCTGTGTATAGATGAACTGTATTGAACAGAACTCATATATAAAATTGTACTTCCAATTGTACATGGTGAGTGAACTATATTGAATAGAATTCATACTAAATTGTGCTTACATCATGATATGGTGAGAAAACTTTATTAAATAGAAGTCGTTCTCTGCCATGTGTACTATTGATACCTCACAGGCAGGTTTGACTATTTCTTGGTTATGTGTTGTATTTTCAAAAAAAAAATGTAGCGCTACTGCACACAAGAAATCAAGGTGAAAAGTAGCAGTAATGAGTTGTTATTTCTAGCAATGTAGTGGTAATGTGCTGCGCTCCTTTCCCAAAGAGTATATCCTTTCAATTTACCCCATTCTGCACTACTTCTACAATGTATATCATACATTTACCTATTACACTTTTCACATCCATACATCCTTACACTGCAGGAAAGTAAAAATTTTCCTGAACACCTACACACTGAATGCAACACATGACAAAAACTCTAAATACAATATGTCTGAAGATAAAACAGTACAAAAATGTTGCTCCTATAAAAAATGTGGTCCTTTCTTGAGACATGGAAAGCATTCCTACTTCACATAATTCTGGATTTCACATGTGCTCTATATATGCTGGTAATAATTATGCCCATATCTGAAAAGAGAAAGAAGAATAAGATACATTACAAGTAATGGCTTTATTAATACACAAAATATACGTTGTTAATTCATGTCAAACCAAATATTTCAAAACAAGAACTAAAATCATTGTATATCGTGGACTTCCAAATTGACCAAATGCAAAGACTGAAATGAAAGGCAGAAAATCATTCCCTGATCTTAATTAAGGAAATATGATAAAACAAAAGCTGCAGGTAACAATACAGAACATTCAGAGTCATAGAGTCAAGTCATAGTACCAGATGACTTTTCCATCAAAATCTGACCTTTAGTGTGTAATCCCAGCTTCCTGTACATAGAGCTGTCCCATCAGGAGACACTCCCAGACAGCTGACTCGGTTCTCATGAGCATACAATATGGAAACTCGGTGACCTTTGAGAACATCCCAGATGTTGACAGTGTAGTCGTTATATCCTCCAAACAGAAGACGTCCTAGGAAACAAAGGTAAAGGTATACGTAAATCATTTGTTAATACAATGTTCATGTAATCAGATGTTAATGCTTTCTACACAATGAGGTTAAACATTTACATGTACACTTGAATGTACACAAGTAATAAAACTTGCAAGCCAAAGATATAAACAAAAAATTTGGCTAGCCTTTACACAGTCTTCAAAACTGTTAACTCTGTTTACATGAGTATTCTGGTACTTGATCACATATTTCACTACTTTTGAAGAAGTAATCAGAGGTCTGACTTGTACAAGTACTTACTGATGGAAAAGCAATTTGAAACCTGATTTTTTACTTTCTGAGTTATGTGTCACTGATTTGAGGTCTGATTTGTATTAACTACTGATGGAGAACTGATTCAGTCTGAATTGTGTGTTCCATAGATTTGAAGTCTGACTTGTACTTACCACTGATGTAGAAGTGATCTAATGTCTGACTTGTACTTAACACTGATGGACAGGTGATCCAATGTCTGACTTGTACTTACCACCGATGTAGAAGTGATCTAATGTCTGACTTGTACTTACCACCGATGTAGAAGTGATCTAATGTCTGACTTGTACTTACCACTGATGGAGAAGGATATGACATCTGACCTTTACTGAACACTAATGGCGAAATGACTATCTTACTTGTACTTACCACTCATGGAGAAATGACTGAATGTCTGACTTGTAATCTCCACTGATGTAGAAGTGATCTAAAGTCTGACCTGTGTGGGCCCTCTTATATGAATCTGACTTATGTGGACTACAGATATGAATTCTGACTTACCACTGATGTAGAAGTGATCTAATGTCTGACCTGTGTGGGTCCTTTAATATGAATTTGACTTATGTGGACTACAGATATGAAGTCTGACTTATGTGGACTACAGATATGAAGTCTGACTTACGTGGACCACAGATATGAAGTCTGACTTACCACTGATGGAGAAGTGATCTACTGTCTGACCTGTGTGGGCCCTCTTATATGAATCTGACTTATGTGGACTACAGATATGAAGTCTGACTTATGTGGACCCCAGATATGAAGTCTGACTTATGTGGACCCCAGATATGAAGTCTGACTTACCACTGATGGAGAAATCCACAGAATTACAACCAAAGATCAGACTCTCCTTCTTATAACAGTTCACCTCCCTGTCAGCTCTCAGGTCAAACAACCTGCACTGTAATCAATTATTTAAAATTGTAATGCAATAACTGCACTTATTGACAGATTTAGCCTATATTTAAACTTATTTCTGACAATTACTAGTTAGTTCACAATATTATGCTGGTTAAACCAAACTTCATGATGCAACAAGAGATGTTTGTGAAACACTTATGCCCCCCAATAATTGGAATTTTTGTAAGTCCAAGGGGCATAACTCTGTCAAAAATTGCTCAATCATACCCAGAACAGAACTTGACTTGATATTTTTATGATAAATCTGTAAACCAAATTTCATTTCAGTGTGTGCAACCTCTGTAAAGAAAATGAACGGAAACTGCAAATAATTGGAATTTTCTTAAGTCCATGGGGTATAATTCTGTCAAAAATTGCTCGATCATACCCAAAACAGAACTTGACCTAGATATTCTTATGATAAATCTGTATACCAAATTTCCTTTCAGTATGTGCAACCTCTGCAAAGAAAATAAAGAAACTGTTGGTGGACCAACAGACAGACTGACCGACAGACAGCAGCAAAGCAATTCTTTAGAGCTTATACATGTATATAGGTTATGGTGAAAATACTGAACATACAGTGGCGTCATCAGATCCTGTGGCGAAGGCATCTCCACTAGGATAAAACCTGACGCTGTTGATATCTGAGTCATGGCCCTCAAACATCTGTACACACTCTCCAGTCCGCATGTCCCACACATTGGCCACTTTATCACAACCCTATTCACCAAGCAGACTTTATTATCTTTACTAATCTTTCTAAACATAACATTACAGTTGAAAAAAAAAAAAACCCAACAGTTTTCTAAATATTTCCCACTTTAAGTTCATTTATATGAGGAGGAACAAAACATACCCCAGACACAAACATATTTCCAGTCTCTGATGGGGAGAGATCAATACTCATGACATCACCAGCATGTCCATGGAAACTCTGTATCAGCTGACCACTCTCCACATCCCATAATGCACATGTGCTATCTCCACTTCCTGTTAAAATCTGTAATGATGAAAATATTTGTCTACTTACAAAATTTATGTTAAACTTGACACAGGAGAATTCATATACATGACTACCCTAGCAGGATTCATAAAATCATACATGTATTTGAATGCACACATAGTAATGAATGCATATATATATGATGTACTATATATATACCTATAAAACAAGTCTTATGTTCATATAAAATATTTTGGGTATTCCCCTACTTGTATGTCTTTTCTATCAATCAAGCAATTCTTTCCCTCTTATGTATATGTATATTGTATTTCGTGTGTATGATCATAATCATTATATACATTTTAACAATGTACTTTCTTTTTGCCGCATGAGGGCCCTTAATTGGTCAATAAACGAATTGAATTGAATTCAATATACATTACATGTAAAAAATAATTACAATGCAAATGGCACATGTATGTTGATATTTGACTCTATGTTTACAATTCACTGTAAATGTAAATTAATTTTAAATTAGAACAAATGAAAAATTAGCTACCAATGATAACAGATCTTATAATAATACAGTTCTGATGACGACCGTCTCTGGTCGAAACCGGTCAACTAAATAAATTCACTTATGCATTCTCACAAAGTGTTGGAGATCTGTTTGTTCCGTTAAGATCTTATAATAGTTAGAATGTCTTGCTGCTTGTCTGTTGATCTGAGAAGGCAAACACACAACAATAAAAGTTTCATATTAAGTGAATGGCAACATTTTATCCATTTGATTGATTACCTGTTTGTCTGAGGTGGTAAAGATACAATGGGACAGGCAGCTAGTGTGGCCGGTAACTGATTACCTGTTATCACAGGTGGTAAAGGTATAAAAGGACATGTAACTAGTGTGGGTGGTTACTGATTACCTGTTTATCACAGGTGGTAAAGGTACAACAGGACATGAAACTAGTGTGGGTGGTTACAGATTCTCTGTTTATCTGACAAGGTAAAGATACAACAGGACATGTAACTAAGTGTGGGTGGTTACTGATTTCAAGTTTACCAGAAGGGGTAACATACAACAAGACATGTAACTAGTGTGAGTGGAAACTGATTACCTGTTTATCTGAGGTGGTAAAGGTACAACAGGACATGTAACTAGTGGGGTGGTAACTGATTACCTGTTTATCAGTGGTTGTTAAAATACAACATGTATCCATTGTGGGTGGTTACAGATTACCTGTTTATCTGAGGTGGTAAAGGTACAACAGGACAGGTGACTAGTGATGTGGGTGGAAACTGATTACCTGTTTGATTGACTGATTACCTGTTTGTCTAAGGTCAATAAATGTACAAAAGGACATATGAATAGCACAGATGGTAAATGATTATCTTTTTATCTGAGCCTTTAAAGATACAAGACAGTTAACTGATTACCTTTTTTGACTTATTGATCAGCTGTCTTAATGGTCAATAGGATAGATAACTGATTACCTGAATGATTTATTGAGTTGTGTGATGTAGTAAAGGTACAAAAAGATTGTAATCAGTGTGAGTTGTAACAGATTTCCTGTTTGTGTTTAGGTGGTAACAGGTGAATGGTGTGGGTGGCAACTGATTACTTATTGGATTGGTTGATTTCCTGATTGTCTGAGGTGGTAAAGGTACAACAGGACAGGTAGTTAATGTGGGTTGTAACTGACTATGTTTGTCTGAGGTGGTTAAGGTACAACAAGACCGATAACTAGGTGAGAGAGTAGGTGGTAGCTGATTATCTGTTTGTCTGAGGTTGTTAAAGTACAAAAAAAAGATAACTAGGTGGGAATGTGGGTGTTAACTGACTACCTGTTTGTTTGAGGTGGTTCAGGTACAAGAAGACAGATAACACAGTGGGAGAGTGGGTGGTAACTGATTACCTGTTTGTCTGATGTGGTTTAAGCACAACAGGGCAGGTAGCTAGTGTGAGTGGTAACTGATTACCTGTTTGTCTGAGGTGGTAAAGGTACAACAGGACAGGTAGCTAGTGTGAGTTGCAACTGCTCTCTTTTTGGTTGCTGGGTCATCATCCATACTCAGAGGGTAAATTGTACATTTATTGTCTAACCCTCTACAATGTAAATAACCAGTCTGCAAGATTTTGAATTTTATATAGATAAATTATACAGGACTATTATTTGTTTGCACCACACATGTTTGGGATAAGTGACAGTATAGATCTTTATCACAACTATTGCTGCAATTGTTCTCAACTGTACATGTAAAGTAATGCATAAGTTATGACATGTCATGTTTAACTCACCTAAAAACAATAACAAAATATTACCACACAGCACTGTCTTCACTCACTACCCATCAATTATTTTTCACTTGTAGTTTCTGAACTGTTAAAAGCCTAGAAGCTTATCTTAAATTCTGATATGAACATACAGAAAAATTAACAGATTTTACTTTGCTCATAATTATTTTCACATTTCCTTTCCAAAATATATTAATCAAATTGAATTGACAGAACTTAATCTATTATTTAATTTACAATGTTAATTTTGTATATCTATCCTGCCTAAATGCTTGGAAAACAAACTGCAACAACAATATAGCTGTATATTTTTTTCACTAACAATATAGCTGTATCTATATTATATTCACTAACCCACAAGCAACAACCTCTCCAGTCGGTCCGTACGAACAAGCCATCACCCATGTTGTTGGCATAGTAACTGCATGTTCCTGTAAAAAAAGAAAGTAAAAAAAGAATATACCATGCCTTTAACTGTTTTGTGCCTAAATATCTTTAACTGTTTTGTGTCTAAATATAAAGCAATGCAAAGGTTAAAAAAATACAGGCTTCTGTACCTTGTTTGTTGTGAATGCATCCCAAACCAACATCTTTCCATCCTGAAATAATCAGTGATACCGAGCTTAAGACAAACTTTCTTAAAAATCACATACATGTATCCTAGTATACCTCAAGATTCTTGTTTTAATTCAACAATAGTATCTACTTACAAGAATTATATTGATATATATTGGATAAACAAGTATCTGTAATTACATTCATGTCTAGACAACTATGCAAAATTTGACACAAAATTTTCCCAAAAAATTGATTAAAAAGTTATATGTATTTTTGGACTAAACATAAAAACCCTTTGTTTTGCATGTTTAAGCCACAATTTGTACTAATGTACACATCTGACACTGCAAAAGATGAAGTGCCCCTACCAAACAATATAAATTCAATTTTGAGAATCATTATTTAGGACCACTAGTCCTTGAATGTCTTTGGAATAACATATCAAAAGATTTGGACATCCCCTTTCCCATACATGACTTAGAAGTAGTTGCCTAGATGTTCTACCTTGATATATATTTAACTCATGGCCTATAGTTGCATATTTTTGTCATGAAAGAGATTTGTCAACAATCATTTGTTTCACAGGAGTCGTAAATTCTTTGCATTTCCCCATGTTTACATTCACAAGACCTTTTCGTGTTCAGCTGACATAACATTTTACAAATGGTGCCATTGATCGAAAATGGAAATTGCTTTAATAGCTACTCTATGTGTACTTAAAAAAAGTGGGCTTCATATTTTAGCGGCTTTGGCACAGACAACGATGCACTAATTCATGAATACCGCAAAGAAATCATTTATAAATACAATATACGGCATGGACATGTAAAGTGCTAATTCATGATTTCGCCAACATCTCCATACCCAGTGATTGCGCTAAATTTTGAATGTGCCAATTTATGAACACGTACAGTATTTATAGAAGCAAGACACTTGTATGGTATGACTATGAAATTTCGAGGAAACATGTATTTTTTTTTTTATGATTTTTCTCAAAAATCATAACATAATTTTTACATTTGTTCATATTAAATATATGACACAATACTGTAGATCATTCATTGTGGCACAGTTAATTTTAAGGCACATTAAAATACCCCTCAGTATTGTTAAAGAATTACCTGTGAAGAACTGACAATATGCCGTTTGTCTTTGGACCAGTCCATACATAACACTTTTCCATGATGTCCCTTTAATACCTTTCTGGCTTTCATATTAAATTGTGTTATGCTATCTATCTTCTTTGTAACTTCACCCACTGTAATAAAATTCTTGTAATGAAAAATCAGATGATCACAAAAGATAAAAGAGAGTGAATTTTATACATTGATGACAACAAATGTATCAGAACTTGTACTTATCATTGTATAGCAAAGAATGAATAAATAAAAATGTACAAATGTTGATTCTATAAATTTATACAATTCAGATTACAATCTGAATAAAACTATAGATCTAAAATTTTGCCAGAAGCCTCACAACAACTCTAACTTCAAAGTTCTTTTCAGCTTTCTCTCATAGTACTTGTCTGCTAGCCCATCGTTTTTTGGTGAACTTCATTGCAGAGACATATTGCACAGAATTGATTAACTTACAGTTTTAATTACAATCAACAGATTATGTCAGAAAGTTCATGCAAAGTTTTTTGGTGCAGTTATAAGAATTTTAAATCTCTAGGTGTTTAAGGATCTGGCAATTTTAGGGATGTTTGGTGTTTAAGGTCTCAGGGTGGGTTGATAGTAAGATTCTGAAAGGGGGGTATTTCTTCTTAAGGCCATAGACATAGATTTATTAATACAAATTCTGAGATCTAACGAATGATTTTAAAAGCTTCCATGTAGGACTTTATCCTAAGACCTCAGACCAAACAAGGCATAAGGGCTTGGTTTCAGGATGGTGTTTTTGTGTATTGTGTGTGTTTTTCCCATCTAAAAATTGAAAATCGCTGAAATTAGCAGTTTTTAAAGAAAAATAAATTGTATTTCAATGTACATAAAAAATACAAGGTTGACATTCGCCATCTTGGATTCAGATTGCCATTGAAAAAGTTATGGTACCCATGTCTGTCTAGAGAAAAAAACAAGTTTAGTGTGGTTTCTGTTCTCTATAGACATTCTATGTACCTCTGGAAGACATCTGTATTTTACATATTAGAAATCCGTTGTTTTCAATCTTATGTGCTAGCCTGCTAGGGATGTTCTGATTCACTTTGTTTTAAACAGCATGTGCAAATCAGCCAAATTAATATTTTCCAAGCTTGATCTTGCCCAACATCAGAAAGAAATGTGAAGATATTGATTTATAAATCAAGTGTGAATCAAGACACCCCCTGGAATCCATGACTCTGAGTGTTGTCCCTTGTATTTTCTTTTATGTACATTTAAATACAATTTATTTTTAAAAAAACTTCTAAATTCTAAAGTTTAATTTTAATCAATGTATTAAGACAGACACAAACACACAATATACAAAATTAACCATCCTGAAAACTGAGTTCCTATGCATATAAGCAGGGACCTATATACTAGTTTATAGGTCCCTGATATAAGCTACTCAATCTCTCCCTTCCTATTTATGTCTGACACTCAAAGTAAATTGAACAGTATAATGTGTGTGTTTGTGCAGTATGCGTGTGTGCATGTGTATGTCCATACATCTGTGCATCTCATCAATCAATCACTCATTTCATTACTTCCCTTTTCTCTGACATTGAGCGACATTTTCCTCAGAAGCCCTTACCGCATCCCCATATAAACCAAAATCCCACCACTTACTGTCCATATCTGCTAGCTTTGCCTTTTCTTCTTCTAACTTTTTCTTGAGATTCGCAGCCTCGGCGCTCAGTGCATCCACAGTGTCCTGATTATCAATCCTCAGAGCTTCTGTTGCCATTTTCACGGCAAGTTTCCCTCCACCCGGAAGTGTTTACTGTTGCTTGGGGTTTTGCCGATGGGTCGTAAAATTCCGAACAGGGATGTTAATCATATACTTTCAGGTTTTACTGAGAAAAAAACACATGTACATATTCACTGCTTATCATTGAGAATTCTTACTAGCAAGGAAAGTTTCTCAGACAGATCGTCTGATGTAAACAAATCAATGTCAGGTCAAATAATAGTGTTAAGAGTTAATTTGAAAGGAAATCAAAATTCCGAAATTCTTTGCGGATTAACATTTTTTTTTTTTGAAAAGGGGGGGGGGTATTTTGGCATTAATGGGCTTCAAACACTCTGTTGGAAATCCGATCTCCTTTATTAGTGTTTTTACAATGGCGGATCCAGAAATTTCGGAACGGGGGGGGGGGGGGTAGGGGGACGCAGTTCAAATATTCAGACTTCTTCGACTAGAATGTTTAAAAAATCGGCACGTGGGGGCTACATTGAGAGTAAGTTAAAAAGAACAAAAACAAAACAAAACAAAACAAAAAAAAAAAAGAATAAGGGGGAGGGGTGCTAGATCCACCTTCAAGTTTGTTAGTTTCATATGCCTACGGAGCAGAATTTTTTTTTTCAAAAACTCCAATATAAGAAGACGAAGAAGAAAAAAAACTCCACTTGCTGTGGCCCTCAATTCGACATTCAGATATATTAGTATCTACAATGTTTCACTTTTATTCATATATCGACTCAATAGAACCCGAAATAAGACACCATAGAGTCTGTCACATCCGTTTCATATTTGAATGTTCTACTGACTATAGACGAAAAGAACCAACTAACAACTAAAATATATGACAAACAAGATGAACCTCAGTTTTTCCATATTCATCTTTCCTTATTTATGTAGTAAATATTTCATTATCACCCGAATATGGATTTATGTCTTCCAACTTATTCGATATACTTAAGAGCATGCTCTAAGTACGATCAATTTTAAACCGAGATATGCTACTGACAAATCAGATGATGTTACAGAGATTTCAAAGACCTCGGTCGACATATGTGAGGATTCTTTTTACGTGCCCCCCCCCCCCTTTCCAAAAGAAAAAAAAGATGGCGGCCACGGGACATAAAATGGAAAGTGTGGATTCAAATGTAGGCGTTTTCCAGTTCCTTTTTTTTCTTTTTTTTTTTTTTTTTTGATATTTTACATTTATTTCATATTTTTATTCTTAGATATCTACGAAAAAGATAAAATAATAATTAAACTAGTCCTCATTAGGAAACGAAAATCATATGACTCCAACTATGAGGACTGTTTCAACATTTTAATTGTTTTGTTTAATCAAAAATTTGAATTTGACTTATTGTTATATTAAAAAAAATGAATTTGGGCTTTCAGATATCAGAATATATATATATTTCTTGAGTATATATTTAATTCCTAATATCAGAACAAAATTCTATCAGAAAATGAGCTACCTTTTTATGTATTCTACATCCTATTACTTGACTCTAAATACTTTGTACTTTAAACAGACAAATATTTTTAAAAATCATTTTTGGGGGTATGAAAAATCGTTTGATTTAAAAAAAATTAATGAAAAAATAACTTTAAATAATTTTTTTCAGATAGAAAAAAATCGATTTTGTTATATAAAATACAACAAAAATGGCTGTGTTCATTCATAAACAAGACGAATTCTTCTCAGACCTTGCAAAACATGAATAATATGCCCCCCCCCCCCCCATGAAGAAATAAGGAAGTAAACAAAAAGTTGAACTAATGTATACTCAGTATAGTATTTTTCAAATGTAGATTTAAGACTAGTGTTGATAAATAGAAAAAAGATGTTCTATTAATGATTTTTAAAAATTAGCCATCACAAATGCCTCAAAAATACCTAAAACGTTATCTCATATCTAACCGCATATTGGTTTTTGGTTAAGGAGTAAGGACACATGCAATTAAAAGAAAATCAGAAGCATTAATTAAAAAAATCACTATATAATATAATATAACATGTAAGTTAGTAGACCCTATGTGTTTCTTCATACCAGTTGTTACAAATCAACCAAAATACATGTAGCGCACTTCGTTTGAAGGTCTCATGGCTTGCACGATGTATGATATAAGTATGTATGCATATATATGATGTACATGTATATACAAAAATATTTTTGCTCAGAACTTATGTATATGTATAAAAACTATCTGGTTTATTCTTCCTTTTTATGACTTTCCTACCAATCATGCAACTTTTGCTCTTTTGTATATATGTATATTGTATTACATTTATATCAAAATATACAGGTGTTTACAATGTACTTCCGTTTTCCCCATGAGGGCCCTTAATTAGTAAATAAACAGTTTTAATTGAATTGAATTGTATGCATGGGAGAATAAAGAGGGGGTGGATGTCCTCATTATATGTTTGCAATATTCAAAGAAAAATAAAAATAAGTGAAAAGCATTGAGAAGGGTTCAGTAATATTGTGAAAAGGTTTTAATGATTTCAGTTGCCATCGTCTGGTCTAAAAATGTACAGTCTGTATGCAGGCACGTGCACGTAGCATGGGGATGGGTCCCCAACTTTTTATCCTCTTTGTTGGGCTATATAAATATTGTATGGATACTTTCATTGAAAGACCTAGCTGTTGCCCCCCCCCCCCTTTGTTGCAAAATGGTCAAACCTTCCCATGTTAATTGTAGTATGGAAAGGAGGAATGAGTTAATATGCATTGAAAATTCATAAATATATATATAATGAAAAACATATGGCCGGACCGGGAATCGAACCCGGAACCCCTGCATTACTAGTCATGTGCTCTAACCACTGAGCAATCCAGGCCGATGTCCTCAATCCAGCCTAAATTCCTACATTCCCCCCTCCTTAAATAGTCTTCGCCCCCGAAGACACAACACAAGTTCACCTTGTCAGGACTTAACATTTATTATATTTATATAATTATTATATTGCCTGAACAAGGTAGGCCACGGCACCATCTGTAGTATGGAAAGGAGGAATGAGTTAATATACATTGAAAATTCATAAATAGATATATAATGAAAAACATATGGCTGGACCGGGAATCGAACCCGGGACCCCTGCATTACTAGTCATGTGCTCTAACCACTGAGCAATCCAGGCCGATGTCCTCAATCCAGCCTAAATTCCTACATTCCTCCCTCCTTAAATAGTCTTCGCCCTCGAAGACACAACACAAGTTCACCTTGTCAGGACTTAACATTTATTATATTTATATAATTATAATATTGCCTGAACAAGGTAGGCCACGGCACCATCTGTAGTATGGAAAGGAGGAATGAGTTAATATAGAAAATTCATAAATAGATATATAATGAAAAACATATGGCTGGACCGGGAATCGAACCCGGGACCCCTGCATTCCTAGTCATGTGCTCTAACCACTGATCTATTCAGGCCGATGTCCTTAGACCAGCCTAAATTCCGACATAAACAAACCTTCCCATGTGAATGTATCCAAAACTTTTCTTATGGAAAACAAAAGTTTGAATCTATACCCTCTCCCTCCAACAAAATAGGTTTTTTCGAGTTTGGGTATTTTTTGCCCTTTTTTCCCTTATTTTTCTCCCATGTAACTGGAAAGCCCCCCCCCCCCCACACACACACACTTGAAAAACGATGCTACATGCCTGGTCTATAATGTCAGACAGAATAACGCCAAGGAAAAATAATTTGACATTCAAATTAACTGGGGAACTTCGTCCTTGGAATGAAATATATACAGCTTCCGAAAAATCGATCTAAAATCTGGCCACTTTCAACATAGCACGTAGATTTTTGCAAATGATATATAGACTTTGCTCGACGTTCTTCCCACATGTTGCAATAGTGTTTTACACAGCCACAGAAGCAAGAGTGCTGAGCACCACTCCTCGCTCTGATAACTTGGTGTAGCGATAAAAACTTATGCCCAATCTGAATTTATAATCAAGCTTTTAGTATATTGAGTGGCTTCGAGATGCTCCACCAATGCGCTTCGACCTCACAGAAGTTATTTTTAGCCAAAGATAAGGAAACGGCGGTGGGGCTTTCTTTGTGAAGCTTGTTGAAGTTCGCTGAAGAAAAATCAGGTCTGTATTGTTTACGTTCTATCCTCAATATTTATCCTAAATGTGTGTTGATTGTTTCGTTGTGCTTTATATTACTGGGAAACTTTCGCGCTAATGCCAAACTAGCTCTCATGGTTAGAATATTAGAAAAATATATGTAAACACAAAGAAATGGGGATAGTCCTTTGATATACATATGTAGTTTTGAAGTTCAGTTCGCAAAAGTGTGTATAAAAACCTAAGAGAAATTCACTCTTTTTTATTGTTAGCGATGTGTCCGATTAAAAAGTATAACGTACGAAATAATGGTTTTTATTAATTGTTAAGTCGTTTAATTCAAAAGTAAAGAAATTCGACTGAGAATCCATGGGGCTCTCGTGACTCAGAAGAGTACTGTTTCTTCAACACGTGCGGATATTCATTACAAACAAAATATTGGCACATGTCAGAAAAGTGTCCTGTTGCATGTTGTACAGAATTATGCGCTATACAAGTAATTCACTTAATGCAGTACTTAATTCATTATTAATCACTCTAGTTTATCATCTATACATATATATGTCACAAGATCATAGGCTTGATAGATCATAAGAACGGGTTTTCCAAATCATTGAACAAATTTTAAAATTATATTTATTTTATTTCTGGAGGATTATTAACGGTGAAGTTAAGTATCATACACTGACTTTAGAAATAATTCTAAATTAATTTTCTATAAAGTTATTTCTTAACAGTGATATTTAAGTTGTAGAGATGTACGTCGTTACCTTAAAATTGATAATCATCAAGGTAGTCATATTCTGTAGGAAGAATTTGATATATTTATCTAAGTAAGTGATAAAAAAGAAATCTCAAGGAAGAAACAGCCCGATATATAGCTCTAATGCCCCCCGCCGTATCTCCCCCTTCATCAATCTTCCATCTCTCTTCGCCCAGCCAGGTCCCGCTGTGCAAGCCGTCTCTGTCATTCAGTTTGGATTTGCAATTCTAATCGAACTAACTGAACATGCACCAAATAAGAGATAAAGTTAATCAGTAATGTTCACATTCACGCCAGCAATAACACGTATAGCACTCGCTAACATCTTAACTTTTGTATTTTGTTTTTGTTTTCTTCAAAAAAAAAAAAAAAAAAAAAAAAAAAAATCCTGCATTACTTCATTATCCTTGATGTAACAATGTGTAACACTGTTAGGAGGATAAGAGCTACACACTCCTAGACCACTGCTTAATGAGTGCGATTTGGAAGGAAGGAACTCCTTTAACTTCCCCTTTACATCTTAATTTTGAATGAGATTTATATATTATATATATAGTTTTATATGAAGTAGGGGTAATTGTTTCCTGGGGATTTAATAACTTTACTTCAACCTGCTTTCACAAAGACAACCGGACGAGAACGTCATGTAATGCACTTAAACCTGCTTTCACCAATCTTACATTTATATCATAAGCTCTCTCACATGTTAGTGAATTTCTGCCTCTTTGTTGATTATTTACTGTCTGTGGAGGAGGATAAACATTATGTAGGAGATAACATTGACCTCCCACAGCTGTGATTTGTCAGGTCACCCCGGGGATGGCGCGACTACAGTCGTAAGGTCACAGTAGGACACCGGACTGGCCGCGGTGTCTATCCTCTGTTATCTTCATCACGCTTTATTGCAAATTAATTTGTATAATATTTCAATTTTATTCTGGCAGCAAATCTTATAGTTTTTAATGTCATTAACTCAATCATTCAGTTGTATGTTCACAAAAACCAAAAAGTTTGAAGCTTGATTTATTAAACTTTCAATTGGTAACATTTTTGGATGTAAATATTCACATTCACTTTTTGTATATAGGAGAATAAGAACACACTTAACGAATCTTTATTAACACTTAATTGATCTTCATTAAAGTCATATTACACTGACGAAGGAAAACACATGCACCACATTAAGGTATAAAACTCTTCTCTTTTTCGCAGGTAAACCACTGAGAAATCTTTAAAAGTCAGGTGCTCTGCACTTGAAGAAAAAAACGTAAAGTTCATATTTTTATGATTTTTTCTAGATAACCATGGCAACCATTAAGCCTGGTAGGATTGCTCTCATCTTCACCACCCTATTCCTGTTTGCCGCAATGACAGCGCTCTCCATACTGAACAAATATTTTGGGAAGGATTTAGGTACGTTAAAATTGCTACCACAAAAACTCGAGGCTAATGATGTAGCCGACAGACCATAATTGGAATAGAATGTCCAATTACAGGCTTTTATTACGATCACGGATTGTGTAAACGAGATTAGTTTTAATCTGCTTACGGACACTCTTGCATCCCTGTCCTATCAAAACATTCGATAATTATCAGATCCATCTTCTTTTGAAACCAATAGCTGTACTTGTCTATCAATAGTTAGCAGACGATGAACGGTTTTTTGCAACAAAACAGATGAGGGAATCTACACTGTGCAGGAAAACACGCGAAATTCTTTATTATTATAAAATCTCGTTTTCTCAGGAAAAACCCTCCGTCAATTTCATATCCTTCCACTCACATTCCATTGAGAGGAACGTATCTCATATTTTGAATTTTATGTAACCAAATATTCTTCAGTACTGCTGAAGCTTTTTATGTAGGAATACAAGTCATTTTTTGTTTGAACAGAGTCAGACTAACATCTATTCCGACTTTTATTGTAGAAGAATTTTATATCAATGTAAATCTAAGTCTTTAATGATAAGAGCTGCCAAATTACAATCCAGGATGTGTTTGTGATTGACAAAGGGAACTTATTATTTTCTCAGATAACGGTTATTACTTGCCCCCGTGGTAGATTTCAATAGTTCTGCACACATCCAAGAATGTTAATTGATGTTTTCTGTTGAATATTGCGTAACAATATTAATAATGTACACGCACACATCCCCTTTAAATGTAATTACATTAATCCATTAGGCATGGTGAGTCGCACGAACATTGAATCTTAAATCAGCAATATTTAGGAAATTTTAATATATGTATAGAATCAGCTGTCGTGTTTGTGATCCAAGATTTGTTTTTTTCTATTTCAGGCATATTCCACCGGTCGACTGGCGATGTTTCCAGAAGATACCCCTTAATGATTACTCCGCCATGGCCGATCTACTTTATATGGTACATAGTGTTCGCATTGGAACTAGTTCTAATTCTTTACGGTATTACGACAATCTGTCGTAAAACGAAGGGCGGAAGGAGTATTTACCTACTTTCCCTTACTCCTCCGCGGATCTACGGTCTTTTGGTAGCCAACAATTTGGCGGTGGTGCTATGGTTGTATCTTTGGAACTGGGAATACACAGTGGCATCTTTCATCATCGTTTTCACTTTACCTGTCACCATGTACATCAGCTTCTACACCTCTCTAAAACAACTATTCAACAATTTTGCAGTACTTATTCAGGAGGACACTCAAAGCGAAATATGGGTTGTGAGATTTCTCGTTCAAAATAGTCTTGGATTTATTTCTGCATGGCAGACAATTGTCATGTTCATGAACCTAGGAGTGGTTCTGAGGTATGAAGTGGGCATTTCTGATGAAATCATCTTTCTAGCATTAATAGGCGCTATGGCGTTGCTAGAACTGGCATGGTTCTGGTTGGACGTCTTCGTGTTTGACCGATACACAAGGTATATCCTTCTGCCTTATATCCCATGGCTGGCAATATGCTGCGGACTAATATGGAAATTACAGAGTCTCTTTGACGAATGGGGTAGAGACACCATTACACTTTTCTGCTGTAGCGTGCTTGCACTGCTATGTATAACTGTCAAGATCATCTTCTTGATCTTCAGACATAAGAAAAGTAACATGAAGAAAAATGTAGATAAAAGTATCGAGGACAAAACCGAGAAGACTGACGATGAAAAGAACACTGAATTGAAAAATAAAACATGCGTCACATTTGCCGTTGAGAACGAACAGGTCAACACCGCAAATGAAAATCAGAAATCTGGATCCGAAAATGATTTGGAATCTAGCAAAGGGCCGTTACAATGTCCTTTAGTACCAGCAAGCGAGGTTCAGTATAACAGAATAGAAATGCAGGAACAAGCAGCAGATGCTACGAACACTGTTATTGTCCACAGCGACGCAGTGGAATCGAACGCCATTGAAGCTATTCCAACAACTTCGGGACCACCAAAACAGGAGGTACCAATGGAAGAAAGTTATCTTGACAACAACAGTGTCGCGGTTGAAAAGGAGGAGAATGATAAAGTTGAGCAAGCAGAGTTGCCAGAGGAGAATTCTACACCAGAAACAGCGGAGGACGACGTGTTACAACCAGACGTACTGGAAGAAAGAATTGAAGAACCGATAGACGAGGAAAGTGAGGAAAATACTCTCGAGGTACAACCAGAAGGGGAAACTGTACCGTGTCACACAAAGGAAAAGACAATCCAAGAAACTGTACCAGAGCAAGAGGAAGTGCAAAGCAAACTAAATCCATCTGAGCAAGTATCTGATGACATCGAATGTGCAAACCAACCAGAAAATTTAATAGACGTTGATGAGCAAGAAAGTCTTGCACCTAACCAATCAGAGTTTGTGATAGAATCATCGATACCAAGCGACCTAAATAGTTTAGATCAAATCTCCAAAGAAAATGAAAGAGAAAGTAGGCCAATCGATAATGAGTCTGTCAATTCAACAACAGCGCAAGTCGACGATCCGATGGAGGATTTTGACGTAGAGAATGAGCCAGTGGATGAGGAGCCGGAACTGAACCAGACCCCTCCGCCTCTGTTGGAAGATGAGGAATATGAAGGCACATACATCGTCAGAGAACCTGGAATAGATGACGAATATCAATATGATCCCTCCGAGATTGAAAACGACCAACAGGATCCCGTCCCTGACGACACATTACCATCTCCCCCAATGTCTCCTGATTCTGACACCCTCCCAAGTCCTCCAACCGCTCCGGTGTCTGATGGGGAAGAGTATGATGAATCAGACGGAGAGGAGGCACCGCCCGTACCACCTCAGGACTATAACATGCCTAACAAATCATATCAAATCCCATCAGAACCCGTTGAGTCCCAACCGATAACCACCAATGGCTATAGCGAGCAGAGGCGACCAGAAAGCTTTGGGACTGTCGACACTGCTGTATGACTCTAATGGTGTATACATGTATTGAGCTAAATTAGAAAAGAAGAATAACAGGGCATTTTCGATTTTTTGGGAGGGGGGGGGGGAGATAAACTCTGGAGCTAAGTGCTACTTACTGAAGAATACTCATGACAATTTTATACTGTTTTGTACAGTTTGTAAATATGGGACCATAGTCGTCTGCAACTTTTCTTCATTTTTTAGAGATGCACTTGATATATTGCATGATTCAAATAAGACTTGCAAAATTTTCATACAAGATGATCGAGCAAAGCGGAGAAACACACGCACACACACACATAGGAAAATATAGCTCAGAATTGAAAGGAACTCCAAAATAAACTGAAGTGACCGATGTCACTTGCACTGATTATACTCGCATAAATGTTAACGTCGCATTGGTGATCACATTTTGCTAAATAACAGGGAGTGATTTCTATTTGAATAAAAAGAATATGTCTGTAGTCTTAGAATCATGCAATATTTTATCTCTAATTCATAGTCAGTTGAAAATGCATTCATTTACTAATATCTTTCACTATTTAACAATATTCAATCGTCAGTGAATGCATGTACATGACATATTATAATTATTCATGCACTCTGACAGTTGAAAATTGGTAATTTGTAAAAGATAAAAACTCATATTGTATACTTGTTTTCATGTCTACTTCTGCTTTCTTTATCCGACATGATGTACTTTCATTTGCTATCTCTTGTACATATTCATTTGTGTTTTCATATCGTATAGATTTTAAAATAAAATAGATAATTAGGTATATACGTGGTATATCATTTATTAGCTCACCTGAGACGAGGGACTTTCTAATCACTTGTCCGGCGATTGTCCGTCCGTCGGTAAACTTTTAACATTTTCGACTTCTTCTCAAGAACCACTGGGTCAATGTTCACCAAAATTGGTACAAAGCATATTGGGGTAAAAGGGATTGTAAACAATTAAAATGAAGAGCCAAGCCTCGTACCAAGGGAAAATAGTCAAGAAAAGGCAAAAATAGAACGGAGTCATTATAAAAATCTTCTTTTAAAGAACCACTGGTCCAGAAAAGTTAAAACCCGTGTATAAACTTCTTGAGGTAGTGTGGTTTAGATTCTAAATTGTTCAAATCATGACCCCCGGGGCTAGGGTGAGACCACAATAGAAATTCGAAGTTTTATATTAAGATATACAGGATAAATCTTGAAAAAATCTCTCATCTCAAGAACCACTTGACCAGAAAAGCTGAAACTTATGTGGAAGCTTTCTGAGGTAGTGCAGATTGTAAATTATTCAAATCATGGCCCCTGGGGGTAGGATAGAGCCACAATAGGGGATCAAAATTTTACATTAAAATATATACGAAAAATCATCAAAAATCTTCTTCTCAAGAACCACTTGGCCAGAAAAGCTGACACTTACGTGAAAGCTTCTTGGGGGTAGTGTAGATTTTAAATTGTTCAAATCATGGCCCCCGAGGGTAGGGCGGGGCACCACAATAGGGAATCAAATTTTTACATTGAAATGTATAGGAAAAATCACTAAAAATCTTCTCAAGAAGCACTGGACCAGAAAAGCTGAAACTTATGTGAAAGCTTACTGAGGTAGTGTAGATTGTAAATTGTTCAAATCATGTCCCCTGGGGTAGGGTGGGGCTACAATAGGGAATCAAAATTTTACATTGAAATATATAGATAAAATCTTATCAAGAACCACTGGACAAGAAAAGATGAAATACAGTTGAAAGCTTCCCGAGGAAGTGTTGATTGCAGATTGTTTAGATCATGGTCTCCGGCGGTACGATGGGTCTACAATAGGGAATCAAATTTCTACATGAAAATATACTGGAAAAATCTTTTAAAAAATCTTCTTCTCAACAACCACTGGACCAGAAAAAATGAAATCTAGGTGAAAGCTTCCTGAGGTAGTGTAGATTATGATTTGTTCAGATCATGGTCCCCGGGTATAGGGTTGGCCACAATAGGGAATTAAAGTTTTACATTGAAATACAGTGTATATTAGGAAAAATCTTCTCAAGAACTACTGGTCCAGAAAAGATCAAACTTAGGTGAAAGCTTCTTGAGGTAGTATAGATTGTTAATTAATTTGTTTAGATTATTGTACCCGGAGATTGGGTGGGGCCACAATAGGGATTATAAAGGGAATAATCATTAAAACTCCTCTCCTCAAGAACAGCAAAGCCATGAATCATATTACTTTGGAAGCATCCTTTGGTAGTGTAGATTCATTTTTGTTCAAATCACGGTCCCTGCCTATAGGGTCAGGCCACAAAAGGCGATCAAAATCTTACATAGGAATACAGGTTTATTGGATAAAAATCTGATGCAGAACAGCAGGGCCAAATTGACTCCGGTGAGCGTTATGGCCCATGGGCCTCTTGTTCATATTTAGGTCACCTGAATCACTCAAATGCCCTATTGCTATCTATTTTTGTCTGTCGACGTGCGTTGTGCGTCGGTCGTTTTCAGCTTCTTCTCTTGAACCATCCCTCTGCCTCTGGGGCCTTAGTGGTGGGGCTAAAACCATCAATGTGAATTTCATTTTTCCCTCGGTCACGGGTTCTGGTGTTAGGACGGGGTTTTATTGAATAAACTGTGAAAATGCATCAAAATCAAGAGACACGCTGCATCGTTTAAGAAAGACATAAAATTTTAGTCCTGGACATATCTGTATGCTTTGTACAGCTCAAGCCAATTAAAGTGAAATGAAGGATAATATATAAAATTTCCTAAATGATTGCAACCCATATTTATTCAGACGCCAAACATTTACAGTACAATAGATCTACAGGTATATACGCAATCATATGATAGCAATCAACATTCAATAAGTCCTTGTTTAAAAGTTTTCAAGGACCCTGTCATAGGCGCTACCACAGATAGTCAACCAATACAATGAACATGTATTTGACTTGCATTAGATGAAGAAAATGCTGCACTGATAAGTTGCAAAATATTACTTATACTTTCTAGTTATTTTGTAAAAATAATTCCATCGCTTACACATGAACGTATATACTTTTTCATCCTCTCAAAAATATTTCTAAATCAAAAAGAGAACCAGAGAATATACCAGGACGTTGCCAAATGTATATCATGTGGTCTTGAGATCAGTCCTATCTAAGCCTTCTTAAGCCTACTGCTCTGTGGAAAGGGCTACTGATTCTTATTGTAAAAGAACAAATGTATAACATGGCAGTAGGATACCTACTATTATATATATTCTTGTGCCCCCTCAATAATAATCTGATGACCTTTTTTCTGCCAAGGAATTTTTAGACCCCCCCCCCCCCACTGAAATTGCTTCCTACGGGCCTGTATAACGGGTTATAATTTTCAGCAGTATTCAATATCTGTGACTTGCCTTTTTGGTGGTCTTAAATTTTGTGATTCCATTCAGTTGACTACATATACAGAAACTTAACGTAATTTAACATTCAATACGCGTTCAATCAACAGAAAACAGATACATTTCCTTCGATTTGGAGGCTCATCTCTCAACATGCAATCCAAATATGACAAATTAATCTATGACGTGTATTTATCCAGCCAGTCCTCCACCTCCTCCACGTGATACCCCTGTGGTCCCCTCTCTCCAAGATACACCACAACGTCATCCAGGACGATATAGAGACGCTCGTACATGGCGCCATATTTGTAATTCAGACTATTTGAAAAATCATCTGCCACGACTGGACAATTTGGCTGATATTTTATTAAGGTTTTTACTGCTTTTATTCGATCATGAATCCCCTCGTGATTATTTATGTCAAAATTGTTTTTGAACTTCCATCCATCACTAGGATGTGCTTCTGTAATGTAAACAATTAAAAAATCTACCACATGACCAAAGCGAGCTATCAATTTCTTGAAATGCTCTAGCTTCTTCATAAACGGGGGTCAAGTGCAGCTCCCAAAATTTATAACAAGTGGTCTGCCTTGTCTGCCAAATTCAAGCAGACGTCTCTTCTTCAAATTAGAAGTAATGACGTCACCATCTGGCGCTTTGCCGTGTAGCTCCGCTTCCCGAAAAACGTCAAAAAAGCGGGAATTTATCATTGCCTTCAAATGAACAAAGGTGTAAACCGTGTCCTTCCAGTCATCTTCTTTAAGATAGGAGTCAGCCATTATTTCTCTGAATTCTCTGAATATGGTTTGGTCGATAGAAGGAATGTATTTTCCAAACATTGTCATAAAGGCTGCTTGGAAGGAAAATCGAATCAGGCGCAAGAGGCGCAAGCCAACTGTTAGGCAGTACTTCATCTACAATAAAGGACAAGGATATTAATTTGATTCATTCAGCAAGGTCAAAGGTTATGGTCAGTGGAAACTCTGTTTGCATCTGTATAGAGGATGGCCTATCCAGATTTGTTTGCTCACCTGATTCGAAGGTTCAAGTGAGGTTTTCTGATCACCTGTTGTCCATCGTCTGTCTGTCCGTCTATCCGTTTGTCCGTCTTTTAACTTCATGCATTTTTGACTTCTTCTCCAGAAACCACCGGGCCAATTTCAACCAAATTAAATTTGCCACAGACCATCCCTTGGTGAAGGGAATTCAGATTGTTCAAATGAATTGTTGATACGTAAAGGTTGGGTAAAAGACATAGTGTAGATTCATGTTTGTTCAAAACATGCACCTTCTGAGGGGGATAGGTTTGGACCACAATGTGTGTTTAAAGTTTTACGTAGGAATATATAGGTTATGTTTCATTAATTCTTGGGAGGGGTGGCCTCTATGAGCTAGTACTATGGTTGAGTCTGCTATAATAATAAAATCATTTGCAGAAAAATCTATACAGTCATAAGTATTCAGGTTAACAAGATCTTCAAAGGGATATTTCCACATTAACCGTTGTTTATAACATCTATAATCATTACTGATAATGAAATGAACAATTAATCAAGAATACTCCATTCATTTTGAAGACAATACATCTACATGTACATGCAATTCATGTTTCTTAAAAAATGTTTTGTTTCGAATCGAGCAGTAAAGGCCTTGCACTAAGAAACACTGCTATATTTCCCCTTGCAATTGGGGCACCTGATATCGTCAAGGGTCTCTATATTAGCTGAAGCACTCAGGTGTCCCTCAAGTTTTTTTTTCAAGTGCTACTTCAGGTATTGGGCACTCTGTTTAGACCCCAAACTGCACATATAATTATATGTCATGTTGTTGTATAAGCTCTTATCGACTCGCCATATTTCTTAGGTGCCAGAAACTGTGTCAACGTAACTTTTGCTTCTGCAAAATATATGTGAAAACATTGTTTATACATGTAGTACTTTTAAAGTACATTGTTACTTTCAAGGAAGCATCCAGGATTTTTCCCGAGGAGGGGGGGGGATACCCTCTCAAAAAAAAAATGTAACGAACAAAAATAAGAAATAAATTTCGGGAGGGGTGGATATTTCTCGCGAATGGACACTTCTCATGAACCAGCTGCTTTTGTATACAATTTTACAACTTAGGAGATGTCTGTGCTTCCCGCGGGAGGGAGTCTATAAGGTCACTATTTAAATTATTTTACTATATAACCTTGACAACTTTGCAAATCCCGGGGGGGGGGGGGGTCCGTGCACCCTCAATCCCTGCAGGATCCGCTACTGAATTTCATTTTTGTATGCATCAACATTACAACAACATTATTATATATACAAACAAAAACAAATACCTTAATTTTCTGTACAATCTGACATCAGTAGACTAGCGCCAGTTTAATCTACCTGTGGACCGACATGATTTATCGAAATGTTTGCTGTCACCCTATATCTTGTCCACGGTGGTATATTTAGGACGTGCAAATATTTTTCTCTTACACGAAATATTATTTCGTTCGAAAGACTTATTGTTATCTTCGTAAGGAAAATCATTGGGGGGGGGGGGGGGGGGAGTGGTTCGTATGATCCATTGACAACCCCTCTCCTCAGATCCCAGGAGATTAATTCTTGGGGGGGGGGCTGGCTGCAGAACTGTAGCGTAATGGTTTTATATTTTAGTCTTTGACCATAACGCTACAGATCCCGTAATGTAAATTAAGTGCAATTTACGGCGCAAGATTTTCTGCACACTTTGGGGATATATTTCCCTCACTTTCCAGCATGGCCAATCAAAGACCTTTCATCCCCTAATTCTAGACATATTCTATAACTAACCTGTATATTTCAGGCCCGTAGGAAGCAATTTCACTTTGAGGGGGCACAACCATACATTTTCAGATGGGGGGCATTATTAACTACCAAAATTCATTGACAAGCAAAAAAAAAAAAAAAGAAAAAAAGAAGGTCATCAGACGTTATTATTGAGGGGGGACAAGCATATAGTAGCTATATTTTCTATAGTATTCTATATATCGGCAAAATCATTGGGGGGGGCACGCCCCCCCCCCATTTCCTACGGCCATGTATTTTATTCACCTCCTAACCCTTTATAGTCGTCTCTACAGACCAATAAACTCGTATATATCTTCCAATACATAGGCTACATAACTAATACCAGATAAATTTCAAGTTTAAATTTTCATTCCCGCCCGCCCCCTCTCAGAATGTCCTATACCATTGGGGTTTTTTTTTTGTCCCCCGCTTTTGCGAAAGCGAGGGGGCATTACATTCCATTCGTCTGTCAGTCTGCCTTGTCACAAAACGTTAACCTTTGTCCTAACTTTTGAACGAGAGAAGATAACTTAGGGTCTTCATACACTGTATGTGACATGTGCATTGCTTGTGAGTGAAGTTGTGACAAGATCTTTCCAAGTTTACTTATATTTTTTACCATATGACCTTGACCTTGAAGGTTGACCTACTTTTCAGTAAATCTAATACTGGAGATAACTTTTGAATGAGAGAAATTGGGGCATTCAAATTTGACACGTGCATCACTGGTTACAAGACCTTTCCAAAAGTACACATAATGTAATATGGCTTTTGACCTCATAACTTAACATTTTAGTGTTACCTACAATAGTTTTCAAAATTTTTAACATTGGTAATAACGTTTGAATGAGAAAAGATACAGATTTCATAATTACATTTGCATACCTGGGAGAACACCTTTCAAAAAGGACTATCATTTTTGACTTCATGGCCTTCACCTAGACCTAGAAGTTTGACCTACTTATAAAAAAAGTTTTATCTTTGGCCGTAACTTTTGCTTCAGAAGATACGCTGTTTTTATATTTTTTTCACACGTGCATTACCCTGGACAAGATCTTTTGGATTATATGTATTTTATATGATGGACAGACAAGACAGGACACACAGACAAGACAGTTACAATATGCCATTAATAACTGTATCCCAACCACTAAGACACCGACAGCGGGGACCCACAATTCTTTGGATTTGCTTATTTGGTATTTTGTTATCAAAATAAAGTCGCTTATTTTCACTGAAGGAGCACGTAGAGAAATATGAGGAAAATCCCTTCTTTCAATATTATAATTTTCTCAGTGTCTAAAATATATTTTGCTTGAGTGTATAAAGGGTCCTTAAAACAGAAATGATAGAAATTATTTTTTGAAAATATTTAGTTTAAAAGTATACACTGACACAAATAATTTTAAATGGTTGTTACGTCCACTCTAGAGAGAGAGAGTCATCTTCGCTAGCCAGGGGTAGCGAAGATGATGCTAGCCAAGGGTTTCTGATACGCTACTCTCCTCGGTGTGTTCCCCGAATGTCTACTGGACTAAACCAACATCTAACTAGTATTAATTGTAACGGAGACCGTTACAGATGTTCCCCAAACGCTCCCCGACTTCCTTTTGGTGTCTTATTCCCTGTAAGCTTCATTAAATAAGGCAATCAAATATATTGGGGTTTTTTTCCGCATTACACACGCGCGCACGGGCATGCATGTACAAAATGACCATGTCAACTTGTCTACACTTTTAATACATCTTTATATTCAAATTTCATCAAAAGATTTTTAAAAAATTCGGCTATATTAAGTATATCTGTTATTTTACGCATTGCAAGCGCGCGCACGTGCATGCATGTCCATGATGACGGTGTCATCTTGTCTACACTATTAATATATCCTTATATTCTGAGTAACAAAGTATTTCATCAAAAGATATGAAAGTTTTCGCTATATCAAGTATATCTGCCATTTAACTCATTGCACGCGCACGCACGTGCATGCAAGTGCATGCATGTGTGCGCTGATTATGTCATCTTGTGTACACTTCTAATATATATTTATATTCTGAGTTTCAAAGCAATTCATCAAAAAATGTACAAGTTAAGTCTATATCTTTTATATTGGTTATTTTAATCATTGCGCATGCGCACACGTGCATGCGTGTGTATTCTGATATGTCATCTTGTTTACACTATTAATATATCTTGATATCCTAAGTATCAAAGCATTTCATCAAAAGATATGAAAGTTATGGCTATATCAAGTATATTTGCCATTTAACTCATTGCACGCGCACGCACGTGCACGCGCGTGCATGCATGTGTGCGCTGATCAAGTCTTCTTGTCTACACTTCTAATATATATTTTTATTCTGAGTTTCAAAGCAATTCATCAAAAAATGTACAAGTTAAGTCTATATCAATTATATTGGTTATTTCAATCAATGCGCATGCGCGCACGCGCATGCATGCGCATTCTGACCATGTCATCTTGTCTACACTATTAATATATCCTTATATTCTGAGTATCAAAGTATTTCATCAAAAGATATGAAAGTTATGGCTATATCAAGTATATTGGTCATTTTACTCATTGCACGCGCACGCACGTGCATGCACGTGCGCGCAAAATGACCTTCGTTCCGCAAATCTACATAACATTCCTATTAACCCTAAAAAGGTTTCACCTCAATCGGATGTGTAGTTTCGGAGATCACTCACGGACAAAAAAGTACCCAGGAAGAAAAATAATAATAACTAGAGCAAAGCTCGTTGCAAAGCAACGAGTAGGTCTTCCATCCGATTTTCAGAAGCACTGCTTGTAAGATGGATAAATGAAAGTAAAGTATTCGTTAAAAAGAAGGCCTCCAGACCAAAAATTATGTCGATCTGTATTTAGTTTTTTATGATTTTTATGCTGATTTTCGTTAAATAAAACAAATGAAGACTACTTCCGTTTTGACCGGAAGTGAACCCAATCGACAGAAAATTGGGTAAAAAATCTTGGTTGAATTCAATCATTTGAATTTATGTTGATATCTGCAGAAATACATCTTTTATAGTTACTTCTGGTTTAGCCGGAAGTTGACAAAAGAGACGATACTCGACAGGAAATACAATTTGACGTCCTCTGTGACATGCATAATTCAATTCAATACAGTGCTGCTATCCTGTAAGTTGACAATCCTATCCTATCCTATCGTGAAACCTGCATCCACAATCCAATCCTGTGATTTCAGTCTAATCCTATCCTATCCTATCCTGCTGCTCTCAGTTTTTTTTTAATATTAAAGAGTTAATTTGACAAAACGAAAAAAAATTATAAAATGACCATCAAGTAAAAATCAATTATAGTTATGTAATTAATTTAAATGTAATAAATTTTAATGGAGAAAAAATAATCGAGATCGACATCCATTAATTTCCGACACCTCTCATGAATTAATTTGCGAGTAACCAGTAAAAATGTAAACAAAAGGATTGTAATAAAACGTAGGCAAGTACTACTTGATCTAGCGAACATGTGAAGAAATTGGAACTTCGGAAGAATTGAAGAAAAAATATAGTTAAACTTATTTGTGTTTAATTTTACATACTAACAATGATCAGGAGACGCCAAGGTATTTGTGATTTCTTTTCGAATTTGTTCTCTACGAAAAATAAATGGAGTTAAAATTAGAGAGAGAAAAAGGGGGAAACAATAAAGATTGCAGATACTTTTCTAATGTTATGATAAAGTAGACAAAAGGAACAAAATTTAAACTCTTTATAAAAATTAGACCATGAATACCAAATCTTTCATACAGGGTAGGTACACTGAATTATAACCATACCCATTGAAGAAATAATTTCTCTATCATGTCTACACATACAAAATAATGACAAAAGTAGGACTTGTTTGATGTTTAAACAAGTGTATGTTTCATCTGTTCATGTAAAATTTATGCAAAACTTTATTTTTCCCTTAACTGGGCATCACGAAAATAACATATAGATCTAACTGCACCTATATCAGCTGTATATTAGATTTTGCTTTTGACATAAATCTAATTTAAATAAGAACTTCAAGATATGACAAGACCATAAACCGAGAACAGACAAGTCAAAATTTAGATCTAGAATATGTTGACTTCATTTATTAAATAAGTTAAAATTGTCTTTAATATTATATTCAATTTTAAATGTATGATAAAAAGAACAAGGTTCACTTAGGGTCTTTTTTGGCCCTGTGAATTTCTGAAAAAACTGAAACTGCTTAGTTTTAGTTGACAATGCATTACATTTCATTTAGACCTTTGGCGATTGTGATTCTACCAAAAATGAGGTAATTTTCTGGCTAGTCAATGCATTATGACATCATGAAATGCGTCATTTTCCTCATATCCTGAACAATTCTACAAAAACAGCCAATTTTTAAAGCTATTTTTTCGATATTTAATATAGAGCGCAATCTCTGATCTAAAATATGCAATTATTTACTGATAGAACCATTTCTGAGGATTACAAGACATATTTTATTTTTTAGATCAGAGGGTGCGCTCATATTATTTTTCTTCTCTGAAAGTACTTAAATATCCTGTTAGCCTTAAAATTCAA